TACATAAACCCAAAAATATATAAATCAAACCTGGCAACACACGCCATACAAAACAAACATAACTTTCCCCCACTAGAGAACATAAAACTCATAAAACAAGACACCGTATGGACATCTGGGAAAACTTAAACATCCTTATCGAGGAACAAATACAAATCAGAACACAACAAGACCTAACATTCAATATACTTCACAAAACAATACACATTCATAGAATCAGTGAACCTAGAGAAAATCCAGCCCAAAGGATGTTACCTGATGTAACCCAAATACAGGCAAATTTACCTACAGTACCTGAAGTACCTGCACTAAGGCGTTCTGACCGCATAAAAGAACAAACAAGAAGATGAAACGTTCAGTTTGAGTAGAGCCTTGAAGATGACTGCACAGCCAGCTATCGATAGCGCTCGCATATAATAAATAGAAGTTATAAAGCTTCAAATCCTTTTTGTGACATATGTTAATATTAAAATATCTTTATATGTCTTTATATCGTTCACTTGAACTACACCTACACGTCCTTCATATCGAAAAATTTAGAGCGTCCTCAAATACCACACATTTTTCCGCAAAAATTAATACCGCAGCGATGTTATTTAGTGTAATTCAGCTTTTACTGTATGTATGCGCGTTACACTAAATCGCGGAATATTTTTTGCTGTGAATTATAAATAGTTATAAAATATTCCAAAAATATCTCAAAATGAATAATCATTCTCAAATAAAACAATATCTACCTTCAGTTTCTCGAAATTCGCCAGTTCAAGGCGAAACGTTAATACCCAACTTAAAAGCCAAAAGTTTAATAAGAGAAAAAAATTCAAACTAATTACTGGATCACTCAGTATATTGAGACGGTCTTGGTGAAGAAATCTTGTGGATTTGTTTGTTTGACATCATTACTTGTTTATATGTCACCTAAAGGTCAGAATCTTCGCAGAAATGTTGGCACCAAAACTATAAACATACAATGTTGTATTGACGTTACCAAATATTTTTTCTTGAATTTCTTGGAATTAACGTCTAATCAGACATAAGTTCCTTGAAAACTATTGAGTGAATCGACCGCAAAGATGATAAGACGTCGAATCACTAACCAATCTCTGTCACCAGTCTCCATCTGTTAAATCAATAATCATCTAAAAATAACCGCTATGATGAAATATTTCGCGAAATATAAATCATTTGAGAAAGAAATTACTGTGCTTATTTTATTATAACTTGTAAGAATCGGTTCATAAAATGAATTCAAGTTGTCGAGTGTCCAAGAAGAACTCTAATGACGAAAAAATAAATGCACATCTGCATTACGACAATGGATGGTTGCAGTTGAAGTAAGCTACTATATTTCCTATTATTATTGCCAACGTTGAAACATTTTAAGTGTTTTTCATACAACTAGAGTAAAGAGTTTGGCAAAAAATTATTAGAAACCAATACATTCAGCTGTATACACTTTACTAACTGGCGGTTTTGCATGTTAAAATTATACACTCTCGGACAAAAATATTGCATATTTTATTTCAAGATTTGTTTTTATGTTAATTTATTTTTCCTTAACATTTTTATTGATAAATGTTCAAAGGCCAAAGTATTTTACATAAATGTCCATTCAGTATAAAGAATGTTTGGACATAGTCGCTATAGCTGAATAAGTAAAATAATGGTACACACTACAAACTTTGAATACTGTGACTTTGCTACTATTAATGTCTATTATTTTGTTTGTCTACACCCGTACTCTAACAATACAATGTTCAATACAAATATAATATTTATAGTTTTTCATTATTTATCGGGTTTAGAAAAAATAGCGTATGCAACTCTCATGTAATGGTTATTAATACACTCGCATATACCATACAAAACTTGCTTCGGCTCGTTTCGTATCCCGGTTAATGCTCGTGTCTTAATAACCATCATTACATTACATGATCGAAACGAGCCGAAGGCGAGTTTCAGGTACCTACATTTCTTTTATTATCCTATATTTTTACCTCTAATAAGTGTCCCCATGTCGAAAGCAGTCGAATACCCGTAGAATATTTGTAAAACAAATGTATTATGTGGTGAAATAATAACAATAATAGTGTCGCAAATCATGCCCTAAAGAAAATTACGTCGGACGCCACTGGTAGCCATAAACCAATCGTGACGTAGCTAAGAGCGCGCGAATGTACGATGTAGCGAGAATAATGCTCCCGATTTCGACGGAATTTCGACGAAATTTTCTAGCGCATTCGATAACGATATATAAAAGCTAGCCACGAGCATATCGACACAGTCAAGTGGAAGTTACAGTGCGGTACGCGAAGCGATCTAGGGAGGTGATAGACATTCGAATCATAGTTGAAGTTTTAGTTGAAGTGTTTGTTATATTCAAAGTGAAATAAAGTTAAGTTTGATTAATTCAGTGTAGTCAATCATTGTTCAACTCACGGGAAAAAAAGGTGACAAGAGGACGATGCGGGGACTACGGAAATGATGTGCAGCTCGTAGATGGAAACATCCGACACCATCTGGATGCCGGAGAGACGTACCTATACTCACCTTGAGGTGGAACAACGCCACTTACAAGCAGTGAAGAATTCTCTCCGCGGCAAATGTCAGCTCAAACTGTAACAGATCTGGTCATCAGAACTGGCTGGAAGGAATAATTGCACTCTACTCGTTTGGAGTACTGAAGTAGACTCGGAAGGAGCTGTATCAACGCGACGGAAAGACCTGAAAAATTATGTAGATCCATAGGAGTTTACATCCCAGATCGTTCGTTCCACGGTCGTACTACCCACGACAGCAGGGAGGCCGCGAACTTTCGAGTTTGTAGTGTCTACATGACAGAGTGGTACTGGATAGAGCCTGTAGAGTCGTCAGGGGGTGGATCCCTTGCTCTGCATGGTCCGCCACCATGAGAGAGCAGGATTTAGAGCATTTCTTTTTGAGGCAGCTGCCCGAGCAACTGGTGAAGTCGGTTTGGTTTTCGAATCTGATCGAGGTGATCACAATTCTGTAATAGAGTTGGAATCCGTTCAGCAAAAGGCCTATATGAACGCCGCAGCAATCACTTCACTTCTTCGGCAGCACAAGGATAAGCCAATGCATGGGGTCTTCTTTATGGGGTCGCTTATCAAAGCGACTGACCTTCGCTTTTTTAGGTCGAGTGATGTGAAGTCGGAAACTAAGGGGTTCATCATGGCTTGCCAGGATGGTGTCTTCAACACCTTAGTTTACCGCAGTCGCGTGATGGGTATAGAGGTTCCTAACACAAGGTGCAGGGCCTGCCGCGAGGCGCCTGAGACCCTAATGCATTTGCTATCAGCTTCTCCAGCATATGCGGTCTCGGCCTACATCCATAGACATAACGCGGCCCTAAGAGTGCTATATTACCATCTACGGCACTCTTACGGTATTGACGAGACACGGGTGTTGCCCTACGCACGGGGGGATATTGAATCCGTTATGGGGAAGGAGAAGTGCCGAATTTATTGGAACTATTCTTTCCCCACCATCAGGCTAATCGAGCTAATAAGCCTGATGCAGTCCTTCTCGACCACCAGAGCAAGACGATATTTATCGTGTAGTTTTCGGCTCCTGGTGAGACGAATATTGTCCGAAGAGAGGAGTGTTGAAATCTTAGCCGGACAGATGCAGAAGGCAGTCATTCTTGGCTCACTGCGCATACTCAGGGCACATGATTCTCGTACCCAATGGTCGTTGGTTGATAATGCTGGCGCGCCCTCCTGAATGTATCAGGGTATGTGGGCTTTGAGAGATAGGGCCTGACCAGCGCAAACTTGGGTTAAAAAATAATAATAATAAATTGTTTATTGTTTGCTAGTAAAATAATTACCGAATTGTGTAGCTTATCCTAAAAGAAAACAGCAAAACAAAAGGTGAAGTGTTAATTCGATCGATCGATTCTTCCACACTCCCCTGGTACATATCATATGGTTTAACCTGTATATTCGGAAATAATTCCAGGTATGAATTGAAGAAGGTATAGTTTTAGAAGAGATTAATTTTTGGGAAAGAAAGGTTTGGCTTTCTAAGTACTTCATCCGCCAAATAATAGCTTTTGCGAAATTAAAGGTAGAACTTTCAAGTAGTTGGGTTCTCACGTCGAATAACTACACCTGAAAACCTTCTTTTTTATATTATGCAACATGTCTATTACACACTTTCACAATAATGACTAAGAGAAAGGAATTTAGAATGTATTAACATACCCTCCGTTGTAAACAATGTATTATATCCATGTATAGCATAACCAATAGTAAAAATGACTCTTAATTATTCACAAGAAACAACACATCGCTAATATTTACTTGCCAATATTCGTATGAATAACTTGCTCCTTGACTATACGAGTACGTATCGCCTATGTTATCTTAGAGTTCAAATAATATCAGAGTTTTATAGATAAAACGTGTTTACAAAAAAATAAACTACCAGTCTCGAAAACCATAACCTTTGGCATTCGTAGAAAATTCTCCAGACAAACCATGTCATAACGATATTGTAGTACGTACCGTAAATTTGCATTACAGTAAAGCAATTTCATGAAATATGTATTAGTTGATCTCTCATATAGTGCAAAACTCGATCATAACTTTCCAGTTATCTGTTGATAATGATTGAGTTCAGTTCCATTAGTGAAGATTTCTTGATGAAACGAGTTCGTATTAGAGATAAAATTATTCAAAGGTAACACCTCGATTATATTTCATTCCCCCGAACACTTTCAATTGAATTGTTATAACTATTGTCTAAATGATAAATTGGTTAAGGCTTTTGCGGCCGAGATTTTTAGTGTTACTATCTTTATTCGGGTTTGCAGGCCGTCGTAGTTTGGAACTGCATTCATCAAGATAAATAAACCTCTGAAGAAGCCAGCCACTCGTGCGAAACGTTAGCATGCAGTTCCAAACTACCCGAATGAACATAGTAACACTGTTTGTTGTCTAAATATTGTTGGAAACTAATTTTTTCGTTATTTACAGAATGGGAAGTTTCACTTCTGCTCCAAAAATAATAAATAACGATGTCCTCGATGAGGATGTGAACTTTTCGAAAAACATAAGTAGACATGAACTGATACAACACTGTCAGCAACAGCCGAAAGTACACCCAATGGTGAAGAGGGTTTTCAGAAAGGCTAAAAATCCAGATTCCGATTATGGACTCAAAGTCAAAAAATTAAATACGTTAACAAAAGGTAAGTGTTTTCAATTGTTATATTAATAGGGGAGCCCAAGCGGGGATTTCGGGATTTACTAAAGCGCGGCAGATTAATATACAGGGGGATACCTTGTACCCGGTTAAGTACCTCCACCAAATATGAGCCAGAAGATGATCACTTGGTGATCGAAACACGTGTCGAGGTGTAAAAATAACGATTTGGTGTTGGGAAAAAACTCCAGTAATATTCATTACTACACCAAAGGTTCCAAACAGTACATCACAAAACCGAATATTAGTGATTCGGCGAAACAAAAATTCATTGAATGAATTATATATGATTTATTTGACGAATATCTGATGAAATTTGCCGGATTTGATACATACACATATCATATTTTTTTCAGCTTGCAGTGAGTACATATCCAATCCCCAAAACTTGAGGATAATGCAATGGAATATTCTCTCCCAAGGTAATATTTTGAAATATCATTCACCTCACAATATCAATTCTTTTATAATTTTTTATATTGAAAACGAGAAGCAATTTCAAAATACTAAGGACTTAGGTAACTAATAAATTATTGAAACTGTGCTAATTGAACCAAGAAAACCATACATTTTATATTTGTTAAAAAATTTAATTCAGAATAGTACAAACAATACGATTTCAAATAACGTAAATTGTGTCACATGGCAATTTTTCTCCATCATAAAAAAGAAAAGCTGTCCAAAACATTGAATTGCCATTAAAAATTACACTATCAAAACTATCAAGATGCTACCACCGCAACTTCTGATGAAAGAACTGACGAAAATGGGTTATTCAATTTCGTGTGAACTCAATGTTACCGTATATTTTCAGCTCTTGGACAAATGAACGACAATTTCGCTAAATGTCCTGATGAAGCATTGGAATGGAACTCTAGGAGATATCTCATCGTAGAAGAACTTGTGGAATATTGCCCAGACATAATTTGTTTACAGGTAAATACTGTGTTTGTCCTGTTATTTGAGTACTTACTAGATTTTTTCCATGAAAATTATCAATCAAAAGTTCTTAAGTTTCTCGAAACCAGGAGTTGATTTATTGACGAAACATTTCAGGAAGTGGACCATTTCAACTTTTTGAGTCATGTATTGCAAACACAGGGTTATACTGGGATGTTCTTTCCAAAACCCGACTCACCTTGTATATACATTAATGGAAATAATGGACCCGATGGCTGCGCCATCTTTTATAGAAAAGACAAATTTGATTTACTCAAAGCTGAAACGCATATTTTGGAAATTTGGAAAGTACAAAGTAATCAGGTATGTTTTATTTTTGATAATAAAAATATTTCAACAAAACGTGTCAGCACGGCTTTTGCAAAGATATGTCCATGTGTAGACCATGATCTTCTAATTAACAAAAATTCAAAGTAGGAAGAAAATGGCGCTTCGTTGAATTGGCTTGAATCGTTTTTGTGTTCACCTACATAGTACACCATTATTAAACACCAAAGTAATAACTGTTTGAATAATATTAAATCTTGGACTTTGCTTATGAATTTGGGAGATCCCCAAGTGTCAATCATCAGACTTATTTTTTCATCTGCTGTATAAATGATCTCGATAATTTACACACTGATGCTCATTTCACTTCGTATGCTAATGACACTTTCGTTACAGTATTTGAAAAAGCAAATGATCTAGATAACTCCATCTTTGGTGGCTTGGTTTTTGTGAGGTTGCTACGAATGGTATTCATGTATCTGAAGCAGAGTCTTTCGGACCTACTTGGACCAAATTCTTCTTATCCTCTCCAACAGTCCTCTGAAGTGAGCTAGGGTTAGCACTAGTTGTGACGGCTTCTCCATTTTGCGAGCCTCTAGCTGTCTTCTAGTCAAAGTATGTTCCACCTGCAGTAACCAATCTGCTGAATGCCTTTCCTGATGAAACTTAGTTTCTTGTTGAGATTTTCCTTCGTGTTACAGAGCCTGAATGCACGATCAATTAGGGTCCTGACAATGCCTTGTTAGTGGATTGGTGATTGGGTTCGTGATTCAGATACTGTCCGTTATGAGTGCATTTTCAGTATATAGATTTTTCCTTCTTGTCGGTCCTCTTCACTATTACTTCTAAAAACAGCAATCCATTGTGGACTTCCTTTTCATTTCAAATGCAATGACAGATCTTACACTGTTAAGGTACTGCAAAAAAGTGTCGAGTTCCGTGTCTCCATGGTTTCATACTATTAAGGTATCATCAATGTATCTTATCCAGACAAAACCCCTGCTCACCAGCGTATCTAACAAAGAAGCACTTCAAATCATTAAGAGGAAGCTATATGAAGTCGAGGAACTAGAAGATAGAACGAGTTTTTCAATTGATGTGTCCAGAACTGCTATTTTCATCTAAGGGGCGAATTCTTCATGCAAGATGGGAGACTGCCAATGGGATTGACACTTTTACCGGTTATAGCCAACATATATATGAGTAGTTTGAACCACTGGCTATTGAAGAAACCCATGGGAAGCTTCGAGTTTGGTTGAGATTCGTTAACGAAACCTTCATGGTATGGAACCGTGGATGAGATACGGACATTTCCTGCCGCCCTTTCTATTGCGCATATCACTATGGGCACTCACGAAAACTGGAGACATGAGGTCACCTATTTATCGGCCCCTATGAATTCTAAATAAACCATCAATTATAAATCATACATTGAAATTGAATATTATTTTTAGGTTGCCCTACTGATGATACTCAAAATGAAAGAAACTGGACAAGATATATGTGTCACAACAACTCATCTGAAAGCCAGAAATGGTGCTCTTCTTTCAACTCTCAGAAATGAACAAGGAAAGGATCTTCTCTCTTTTGTTCAAAACGAATGCAAAGGGCGGCCATTAATTCTTTGTGGGGACTTCAATGCTGAACCGAATGAACCAATTTATCAAACGATCCTGGAAAATCCCTTGAACCTAGGAAGCGCCTATGCTGACTGTGATCCAAATACAACCCTAAGTTCAGCGCAACGAGAACCCTCTTACACTACCTGGAAAATCAGAGGAGAAGGCGAGGTCTGTCACACAATAGATTATATATTTTATTCCAAAAGTTCGCTAGAATTAGAGGCTGTCCTAGACTTTCCTTCAGGGGAAGAAATCGGTGAACACAGGGTGCCATCATTTTCGTATCCTTCAGACCATTTTTCATTAATTTGTGATTTCAAAATTGGCCATGGTATGTGATATTAGATTTTTAAAAACATAGGAACATAAGGTAATTTCTCATTAGATTAATTAAATTATTATTGTATCTGTTGAAGCTGATAACATGTAAAAGGTATTATGTTTGTTGAATAAAATATCATCCTGTTTCTTGTATTTTCACTTACAAACACTAAATTACTTTGAAATTGATTTATTACACCAAACTTACTCAGAAAATACCTGTCATCTGTTTTAAACGGTTGAAAGAGCTTTCAAAATCTTTATATGAATATATTCAAAATAATGAAGCAATATTTTCTTCAAGTGGATTTTCCTATTAGACAAAAAAAAGACCATTGAAGGTCAAGGTTGAATTCAGAAATAAGAGATCTCCACAAAACTTGTGAAATTGTAAAACTAGCCACAATTGTAATTATCTGAGAACATAACAGAAATTTGAAAGTTATTTATATTGACAAGGTAAAACAAGTTTCTTTACTTTTCGAGGCCAATAATTTGTCTAAAGGATGTTGGAAAGTAGAGAAACAAAAATTACCCAATGTCTACTAGTCACTTACAAATACATGTTGGTTAACTAGAAAATGATGAATTTGGAAAATATTTTCATGAATGTGGGACCTAATTGGGCCAAATATCGATTTGCTCTTTTTTTCTTCTAACATAATGTTAACTCCAAATGAAAAAAAACAAGTTCTGCGAAATGTTCACAAATGTCTGTTTCCATGAACATAAAAAATGTGAAAATGTGAAGATATCAATGTAAAGACAATAGTTGGAGAATAAATGAAAATTACATTAAAGCAGTTTTTTTTGTCCATATTCGAAAACTAGAAATGAATGGTTTTGATATCAATTTTGAAAAGGAAAAGGTGTGAATAAGAAAAGAAAACACATCATAGCTGTAGCAAACCGAAAGCATAAAATGTATGATCTTGATTTCGTTCTGAACAAAGAAGCAAATATTTGTTCTTTAGCGGATAGTTCGATTTGTGGCATATACGTTTGAGCCATACTTATGGGTTTTGACAGTATGAGAAAACTTGAAAAAGTGTTAGTTGTCATGAATTTCGATAATTGGGTTTTCGTTGAATTGCCACAGAAAAAAGCAATTATATAAATAATCAGTTGTCAGGTATCAAAATTACCTTTCAACTGCAGTAAGGCATTAGCTGTTCTTATCACAATTCTCACTCTATTTTGTGTATTAATTTCAAATCGAGCACTAAAAGTTTCACTTTGATACCTATTTGGTTTCGAAAGACTAGATTAAATGAATGTAAAATTTCATCTGATTGTTCTTCAATTATATAAATTATTTCACAGGATAAGCAAAATGAAATAAGTATTTAAGGAGCAGTTACAAATTAACAATTTAAACCTCAACTTAGCATGTTGTTTTCAGCCATCCACAAATTACAAAAATTGTTCTTCGTAATCATCATTTACAATAGGTAAGTATTCTAAATTCACTGACCTTTATGGTGGCATCTCTAGCTAAATGTCGAGATTTTTAAATGTAATGAATACGTGATACAAAAATAAGAAAAATATAGGTATTGCAAATTCATAAATCATAAATATTTGAATTGATTGAAAAGTCAAAATAAAACCAACGAACAAACATTGTCAATATAGATGGCGTTTGTCAGTTCAGGATAATGTGGATCACATAACAGGTCTAGTCAGCTAGGAATGTACACGTCGAAAGTCTGACAAAATTTAGTTTATTATGACGTCATCATCGCTATTTTAGTTGAAACCGTTCAGCAAAAAGCGCACTTGAAGATATTTTCCAAAATAACCACTCTCTAACCGCTATTAACTAGAATTTTTGTCAGCAGTTGCCTGAAGAATATACTAGTGATGGTTACTTTTGAAACAGGATGGTTGTATCAAACTGAATATTGAAGTTAGCCGTTTCTATTAAAGAGTGCTGCTGACCCCTTAGTCCACTTTTAGCAGACATATTCATGAACAACTTGGAGACCAAGATAGTAAACTCCAACCTGGGTAAAAAACATATTCATTTTTCGTACAGATATGTAGACGATATTCTTGCCTGTTTCAGAGGTACTACACGACAGCTGAACCAATTTATGACATTCATGAACAATCTCAATAGCAACATTCACTTCACACTCGAAAGAGAGATAGAGAAACAAATAAATTTCTTAGACCTGGCCATTACACACAATCGGAATAAATTCGAGTTCAATGTTTTCAGAAAATCTAGCTACAGCCTACAATTCAATGCTGCACAGAGCATTCTCACTGCCTTTGTCTGCAGACAATCTAGCTAGGGAAATTCATACAATTACACAGATAGGTCATAATAACGGTTTCAACGCAGATATTAGTCAGGAAACAAAGCCGGAAATTCACTTGCAGATTAATATATCCTCAGATCAAACAACCAGAAATCAAGAAATGGGTAACGCTAACATATTTTGGAAAAAGAACAGAAATAATCGCAGGTTTCTTCAGAAAAAAAACAATGTGGAAGTAGCATTCAGACCACATGCCAGGTTATCTCATTTTCTTTTCAATGCCAAAGATAAGGTCGACAAGTTGGAAAAATCTGGAGTTTATAAGCTTAAGTGTCCGGAGTGTAATAGTGTTTATGTGGGACAATGCGAACGAAATTTCCAAAAACGGTATGCTGAACATGAAATGTCCTTCAGACTTGGAAAAAATGATTCGACGTTTTCAAACCATTCCTTGGCATGCAACAAGTTTCCGAATCTAAACGATACGGAAATTCTGCACTATGCAAGGAAGGGTTGCAAACTCAATTATTTAGAATCCTTGGAAATTCACAAGCATATGCATTGCGGGTGCAACCTGTTAAATGACCAAATCGATTTAATTCACTCTCCGGTTTTTAAATTGGCACATGCGCATTGTGAACTGTAAATTCAGGTACTCAATCAAGTATCTGAATGGTATATATTAGCGAATGTAATGAATCATTCTTAGTTTACTGTTTAAGTTTGAAAATGTCCATATAGGACGAAACTGTAGTAACGTTAGTTACAAATAAAAGTGGTAAAAAACATAGAGATAGTGACTTGATTATTTCTTGCGAATATGAGTTGAGTACAGTTTTGTGTTCAATTGTGACGAATAAATACACATTCTGATGTGGAAAGTTAGTTCCTCATTGAATGTTTTTCATCTATTAAATTTTTCAAATTGTGTTGAAGAGAAAATATAGGTCGATTAGCTCACGATAAATGAATTTTCAGCTGATATTTTATGCACACAGATACTCTCAATTGTTAACTCAGTATTCACATGAATATATAAAGCAGAGAGAGTTAAAGAGAAGGATCGGTGGATTTATTATACAGAACTCAGTTCAATATGAGCAAAACTTCATCTGTGGCCTGGATCGATTACCACAAATATATGTTACATCGCATGAGCTCATCTTGCATTTACTTAAATTCCTTGCAGTATTCGACCAAATAGTGAGATGCCTTGAACAACTGATACCGTTTGAAGAAGTGATTCATCATAACATCTAATCTGACTAGAGTCCAGAATAAGTAATTATCATAAGGGGTGTAATTTAGGACGATTTCTGTAGCCCTGTCTATTGCGCATCTCACTATGGGCACTCACGAAAACTGGAGACAAGAGGTCACCCATTTGTTTTATAACAACTATTTATTGGCCCCTAATCCAATTTCAAATTAAATTAAAAGATATCATAGACTTCTTTCCACTTCCATTTTTTTCATCGCTACCGAAGCAGAAACCAATGTCAAAACGTCATATTTCGAATAAAGCTATCAATAAAAATTATCTAGTGTTGAGTTCAACTGAATCAATTTTTTCTGCTTCATAGGGGCTGTCTTTATTACTGTTGTTTGAAGACTCTTCACATAATGTTATCTTGAAAATAACAATAAAATCTTTAGGTTTCAAGGAGGAATTGTCTGTAATCTGTGCTCAGAGAGAAAAGCTAGCTAATGTCTCTCAGAGGAAATACCAGTAATACCACAATTACAAAATGAGAAGAAGTATTTTAGGTTATGATAAAAAATCCAATCCTTCCAACCAGACAGAAATATTAAATTCATCTTATAAATAATTTATAGTTAACATGAGTACAAAAACAAAATTAATCGAAAAAAATGGTACCGTAAAATCATCTTTGCCATCAATTTGGTCTAGAGCGTTCTCCTCCAATTCAGAATGGCCAGATAAGGTTAGATTAATATTGAAGATTTTACATTCTACTTGATCTTTTCAATTAAAATCTTTCAGGAAGAATTTTTAGACGTGATATATTGGGCTCGACAAGCCCTAGGTATACTATTAGGCATATTTTGGGGCTTATTGCCTCTAAAAGGATTGATAGGACTGATATTGTAAGTATTTGGTTCAAAAGGTCAAAACATTTTTTAAAGTATTCAAGAAATTACTGTTCAGTTTTCGATATGATGGATTATTTGTTGAAAATGTTCTTATTCATTTATCACTGACCTATTCAAGATAGGACACCGTGTATATGTGTATGCTTTTGGGGTACCGCACCTATTTAAAGCAAAATACGTAATATTTGCATAAATGCAAACAAAAATTGTGTATTGCCGAAAATTATACGTATAAAACTGACCATTAAAAAAAACAAAAACAAGTAAAAAGGGTTGTCTTTGAGTTATTTGATATAAATCATTTTTAATTTTTCATTTTTAAACATAAAATTTAATAAATCTGAAGGAGACTTGCAATTTCGAAACATTTGAGGGCCGCTGTACATTACGATTAATTCATTTTTCAGTTGAATAACATCGAAAAACGGATACTGAGCTATTAAGTCGTTATAAAGTTTTTGGGGAAAATCTTTGGTATAGGACGAAAATTTTTCAAACAACAACAAATCAAAGTAGTTTAATTTAAGTAAATCTTCAAATCTAACTTAGATTTGCATTAGAAAGATGTCCAATATTTCATTATAAATCTGTTTATAATTTTGTTTCAAATCGGGTAAGTCTAAATTTGTTTTGAGAGTTATATCAATTGATTCAAAAATATTATTAAAAAATGTATCGTTATTTCTAAAATTCATCAAAATTTCTGTTAAATTGTTTAACTGTTGTTTTGAGTAATTAATATATGTTGATTTATTTTGAAGAATAAAAAAAACAACATCAGTATGTTCAAATAATAATTTAAATATTGCTCACAAGAAACAAACCTTGTGATCATTTAAAATATATTTGAAACCTCTCGCCTCAATAAGACTTTGGTCGTCGGTTTTAAAATGGTCACTGTTTAGGATAAAATCAAAGACATCAATCAATTTGTCTTTGTTTGAATGCACTGAAATTACTGCTCTAGATGTAGAATTCCAATGCATAACAGCAAAAGTTGGCATTCGGCTACCACATATTTCATTTTATTCATGGCTTCTTTAGGTGGATTTTGAAAAGAATGCCGAAAATCCAGACAAACTTGAAAAAAATACGCGGCAATCTTTTATGTTGTTGTACGCTTTGCTTAAAACTGAATTTAGGGCATGGGCATGACAATGCGTAAAAAGTGCATGAGGAGCTATGGATTTTATTTTAGTTTGTAAACCATTTAAATGGCCGGCCATGACCGCAGCTGTGCGCCCAGATGAAACATCATGAAAACCCATAAAACGTTCTACCAAATTACCATCTTTGACATATCTAAAAACGATTGAAAGTTGTGATGTACAGGTAATATCGGTAGTTTCACCAATTTCCCACGCAAAAAAAGAAACACTTTCAATCTCCTTGCTTATATTTTCCTTAATAATATATGCCACACTGTCTATAAGCTCATTTGGATGGTTTTTGAGGTGACCAAAAAAACGCTACCGTTTAAAAAAGTGCCAAATTGTGAATCATATTCGCCCCGTAACATTAAAAGGTCCTTGTAATTGCCGCGATTAATCGAATCTTCGGTTTCATCGTGTCCGTGTCCGCTAATTCTTGGGAACCCAAATAAATCATAATATCGATAAGTCTTTTTAAATTCGACCGATTTTCCCTAATCTGATTATTAAAAGAAATTATGGTCTTTTTTTGAGCTGTATCTAAAGTTGATGCTATATTATGTTTGCTAAACAATTTTAATTTACAAGACGAAAATATATGCTCCTTGGATTTAAAATGTCTTTCTGTAGAATCGGAGTATCCTATTTCAGACCACGTTTGGTATTCGGTTTGTACGGAAAATAAAACACAGGGCCAACAAAAAAGTTTTTCTCGTTTAATGGAGCCGGTTAACCAATCGCATTTATCGTACCAACTAATATTAAATCTTCGATTTTGTCGATTATCTAACGCTTCAATTGAAATCAAATTTGGTTGAGGCCTTCCCAGAGTTTTATTAATGTAAAATTTATTATCATAAGATAAAGATAAAGACTTGAAATTATTTGTCAGCAACCAATCGACTATATCGTAAGATTTTTCAATTTCGTTCAACTTATCCATAAATGGGAAAAAAAAATTACCGAAAAGTGAAAACCTGAAAACACCTTGAAATTGAAAGGAAAAACTTTAAAAACACATTAAAAATATTACCAAAAAGCACTGCTATATTACAATACTGCCTGTTTTATACACAAATAACAAATATTACCAAGAAACACTAAAACGATTTACCGAAATATTTTTCAGTCCCAGTCGGTCACGGCATACCGTCCGAATAATTAAATAAAAAACAAACACAGTTGTACACTAACAGAGACCAACTGGAGGCTAGCCTCCTCTAACGCTATAATTTCCGCAACCAAAATTACAAATCGGGACATATGTCGCTGGTTGGTTCGGTTTCGCGGAGCTTGTGTTTTTTAAAGCGGTCGGAGGCTTGGCTCCCTTGCAACGTTTGGCATTTATTATTTCGGGTTGATGGTTTATTCGTTCATGGGCGGTGCGTTTGTTAATGTAGGATACAGTGTGGTACGTACTACATAGTGAGTGATAGTGTTTTTTCGGGCATATTATGTATTTATATCAAAAATTAATGGTAAAGTAATGATACCCAAGCATTTTCAGAAAAAAATAATCATAATTATTTGTCAATATCTTTTAATTTATTGCGATGAATAGCCTAAAATTTTATGGGGAGGGTAAGCCTCCCTTGCCTCCTCCGACGAGCCGCCGCTGCTTAGAGCTTAACATCTTTTATTCAAATAAAGAAATGATATCTACGAAAATTTGAAGTTTTGTGTATCTTAACCATTTTCAGAGAATCATTTTTTGAACCTGCAAGTTGGTTTTCCTCACAGAATTAATCTGTCATTTGCTGATTGTTGAATATATCAAGGTGGTTTTATGCAGCAATAACTTTTAGTACGAAAGATTTACTTTTGGTTTTCAGTTAAGTATTTTATGCACCAAAACCAAAGAACATGATAAATTATTTACAGTAACTACTCCTCACCAATCCCCACAGGGAATGTATCATCTGGGTTTTTTGTGGGTAAAACATTGAAACGAGTAATCAATTATTTTAAGTAAATAGGAGTCATATGTTCAAAGGTAAGATCTTCTTAATCTATAACTTGCACAAGTTTTGACTTCTGAGGGTTATTGTTTGTAGAGAGCTACAACTGTTTACTGGGAAAATAGATTTTTTTCAACTACTTCTCCACTAACCCCCATATAATGTCTTCAAACCTCTATAATATGTATTATCTGGGTTAGTTTTTGTGGTATAAGGATCAATTTCAGTTTTTTTTTCAACCCCCTTGATATCAGGCACCTGGGCGGAATGCTCAGTTTCATCTTTTCGTGAAGTAGAATAACACATTTCCACAATAATTTCTTGAGAAAGTGAATACTAATGTGTCATAATTATTGTTGTGTACATGTGAGGAAGTGAATAACTTCTCAGCAGGTTTTTTTATTGGCTTACAATATGAAAATATTGTATTTGAATGGTCCAGAATATTTATTTGATTTCAGATTTGCTTTAATAAATGCAGGGGTGATATACATTTACTGTAGTAATTTTCAAAATGTAGATGAGGATGATTATGGTGGTACATGGGAATTAACTAAAGAAGGATTTATGACATCTTTTGCTGGTTTTTTGGTAAGTTCCTTTCTTTACTGTTTCAGTTATTTATGAAATGATTTTTTTAGGTAACCTGGATAATCATATATTCTGGTTTATATTACGAAACAGATAGAATATCAGTATAAAACAATTAGTGTAATCATAATGTCGGACTTATATATACTTTGTATTTATTTTATATTGAGTTAAGGGCTCTTATATCCAAAACTTGCTTCAACTTGAAAACATAATCCACCAACAGAAATAAATATGGATAGTTTCATTTTAAAACATAATGTACATGATTTTTCTGTTTCATGTTTGTTATAATTATACATTATTAGTTCTTTCAAGTTTTATTTATACAATTGAACTTCAAACCGACACTTTTTTTATTTATATTTCAATAAATTAAATAATTGCAATTAAGAAGTATATCTCTTTGGAAATACCTCAAAAAAGTTGGGATCATTGAACTTGGTGGTCAAATGGAACCTGAAGTACTGAACGTTTTACCTCCACAGTGGCAGACATCATCAGTAGTATATGCATTGACTGTAGAGACGAAGGTTATATCTCGAAGTCTCAGCAATGTCTGACTGCTTATGCTATTATGCATACTTGTCAACTACTGAATGTGAAAATTTTTAGTGCAGTTGGACCACCCACATCAGTAATCTTTGCAACAAACTAGCAAAATCTGTTTATGCCATTAGTTGAATAGCTACAACGGCTGGTCAGAAAGCAGCTATAATGACATACTACTCCTTGTTCCACTCAGCAATGAGTTATGGGTTGCTGTGCTGGGGTAATGCAAGCTAAACCCATCTTCAAAGAATATTTGTCTTGCAAAAGGCTGCTATATGTAGCATTGTAAAAGCTGAATATAATGAACACTGTAAGCCTTTGTTTGAGAATACAAGAATCATGACTCTATTCTCACAAATTATCTTTGACAATGTTCTGCATGTCAAAGAAAATTATCACACACTCACAACATACTTGGATATTCACTCGTACAAAACACGCAATGGAAATAATATTGTGCCCCTCTTAAGAAGATTGAATAAATGCAAATCAATTGGCATCACTTGCTTCAATTTACTTCCTGAAAAAATCAAACATCTGCCACTCAGACTTTTCAGAAATACAGTGAAAAAACTTCTCACTAAAATGAGCCTGTATACTCTGAGTGATTTCAATGTTACTCTTAAGGATTCGCTTGGAGATACCTAAGGCATCTTTTCCTGTTGGTTTGTACGTTAAAAATTTTTAAAATGCATTTCATACTCTACATTTAATTTTATTGTTACATTTACAGCTTCTTTATGTAACTGTGCAATGTAATAAGAGGCTTGTCCAAAATATTTGTATTTTTTATGGGCGCAATAAAGTTCTATTCTATTCTATTCACATCACCGTCTGGAAAACAAAAAATCCATATCTATAAAATTATAGGCAATGAAGAATCTATCAGTGAGAAGCGAAGGCTTGGCAATGTGGAAAATTAAAATATGCTTTACTTTTCCACATCAAAACATACATTTTAAAAATGGTACCACTAGTTTAATTTGGTCCATAAGATTCCTACTGAATGACTCTCCAGCTCATTTAAATTAAATGACTGAATTTGTATATATAAATGTATTGTTATTTCTTTCAATTTTTCACCCATGAATTAAATTGTGTTAATTTTTTTTCTTCTATTTGATATAATTAATTGACCTGAATTTAATTGAATACGAGTTTTCGGAAATTTCTACGTAACAAGGTTAAATAAAACAAATTGTTGTAAATAATTGATACTTTTATTCAATCGAAAGTATAAAAAGATTACATAAAATGGAAGCATCTTTACACCAAAGTGTAAAAAAGTCGTATATATGACATAAATAACAATAGATATAATAATTAAAAACAAAATTTGTTGATAGTAATAGGCAAACATTTTCAAAAAATAATAAATTTAGAGAAATATATAATGTATTTACAATTATAAGGTTTCTATAGAGTTTTTGTTCAAGAGGAATGAATTATTTTAATAAAATTATCACAAAAAATTCCTAAAATACACATATTTCAAGTAATAAAATTCTCATTTGTATTTACTCACATACAGTTCATCTATGCGTTCTATTTAGTCAGTTGAGTTTATAAAAATTATATTTGTAACTGGATATGGCAAACTTTTTCATCATTACATGCAGATGTGTGTTAAAAAAAATATACCTGAATTAGACGTAAACAAATTAATATGAAATTATGCTTCCAAACTAATTATCTTCCATGCCGTTGGAAGACTAAGTAATGCATTTATCTGTATATCTTTAGATTTTAAAATATCTAAGTGTATACTGAGCACCTGAAAGTTTCTGCATATATTCTTATAAATGCAAGGAATTTTGTTGAAACCTCACAGTGAGTTGAATTGCATCTTTTACATTTAACAACTGTGAAATTTAGAAGAATATAGTTCTTCGATGTCTTTATCGGAAGTTTTTTTATTTGAATTTACTTTTCATTTAAATTCTGCACTACTTGTGCAGAATTAAAATGAAGAACTTTACTTTAATTGGGTATTAATTAGTTTTTAGTTTAAATTTATTACATCATTTTTTAATACACTTGTGAACATAGCTCTAAACGAAATGTTTCATCACCAGTAAAGATAACTTTCAGGCACTTCAGACATGATTTGTGAAAAATTCCTGAAATGCATTCTTTCACAAATACGGTCAGTTTTTGATACCCTCAACAATTTGAACTGTCAAATATGTAAAAAAAGTAGAATATTTTACAAAAAATTGATTGACAAATAATATGACTGTGGTCAAAATCCTTAAAAAACTTATGAACATGATTACTTATTCTACAAAATTACATTGTTATTGAACGTGCTGGAAAAGTAAAGCATAATTTCTGAATATTTAATAAACGAAGCTCGATTGTGTCGATGTCAATTCTAAAAATAGTGAACATGCAAAAATGTTTATTCTAATAATACCATTATCGACTTGAGTTTTAGTAAAATACATGAAAGTCTAAAAAATAACTTTGTTCCTATATAAAAATGTGGCAGTCAAGAATATTAATACTAATTAAAAAATTTCCACTTTTTTTCTCGAAAATAGATGCCTACTATTGAAGCCAAGGTAACAAAAATACAACAAGGTTGCCTCCAATCCAAATACTTCTAGAAATGGTATTAGTTTTCGATACCTAATTTTGGAAGTTGAGAAAACTATCTACTTATATGTGCATCTTCTGTCTCTCTACAATTATAGTTGGTATCCCTTCTCGTTTCTACATTGTTAACCGCATGTTCTTGTCTTTTAATCGTCTCCTGAAAAGGTTCCATATAAAACAAAATTCTAGAAATTTCATCGTGATGAAAAAATCATTCATGCAACCGTTTTCTGCTACAAGGTATCAATGTAAATACTAAATGAACGAAATGGATGGCAAGCAAAAAGCTATAGATACTGAAATAAAAAAATAAAATACCTTGTAACGGGATAAAAACTTGAAATCGCCACGATCTGGAAAATAATTCTGCAAAATGCCTTGCAAAAGAGAAACAAAATTAAATTAAGCCACCAAATAAATACTGATTACATAGTCATTCATAGATAATTCCTAGGCTCAACTTATTACATTAATATTGTTACTGATACTTAAGACTTATAAGAAGTAATTATTTTGCTGTGTTACAAAAATCTACAGAAAAATATTCAAGAGATTTGGTGGGAATGTCATTTTGGTGGAGGCCCAAAATATTTTTTCTGTAGGTAATACAGAGCTACATTTTGTACATTTGGTATCTACTTTAATAAACTATTTCGTTGATGATGACCCAGAAAAATATGTTTCCAATTATTGACTTTTCTGTAATGCAGCCCGATTTTTTCTAACATTTCATAACATTTATGGTCCTGGACCACTTGAGCACTTTACCTATATACGTCACATTGTGGTAGTATAGGGTAATTTTTAAATTATATGTAATGTTTTCTCTGGATGTTATTTGTTCGAATTTTGTCGCCTTCTTGTTGTTTCTTATTGAAGCCTTTACTCCTATCCAATTTGTTTCAACTTGTAAATCTTTCTTTTTTTGCTTCCCCCATTATATCCAGGTGCTTTCTCTTACATCAAATTATAATTTCTCATAATTTTTTATAGTTACATGGTCTTTTATTGTAATCTTTTTTATTTTGTATCATGTTTTATTACAATTCTTGAAAATATCGAGCTTCCCTTAGAAGTTTGAGGTAAATTAGTAAAGTTATGATGAAATGCTTCATATAAAAGTTCTAAATAACAATATCATTTTCATTACCTCCACTAAATATGTATAAAGGATCATTTCATTTTATATTTCATCTTTTCCTTGAACATTTATATTTCAATTTTGCATGTTTTCTTTTTTCTAGTTTGTTTTGGGTTTTACAGTCGCTATTAATTAAATAGCCCAATGCTTCTCCTGTTCATTTATTTTAATGTACTTCGCTAAGTATATTTACAAGATCTTGTTCCATTTTAAACTTTTCGGAGACCGCTTGTAATATTTCAATTTCCTTTTTCTAGTTTGTTGTGTCTTCTCTTCTCAAAGGAAGTTTCTTTAGTATTTTCCTTAGAATCATTTCATATTAATCCACTGACCTTCCCTGTATCGTTCTTTAACTCTCTAATTTTGATCATAACCTTTTCTATGGCTGTGCCTTTGTTGGTCCTGTGTCTCAGTGGAGATGGCGCATCGAAGGAGTGTTCCGAGGACTGGCTTGGACCTTCCTTATCCCTGCCAGATGTTTTTGATTCACTGAACATGAAGGCTTATTCAGTTATTATTTGGAGCTGGGATTTTTGAATGGGGATCATTTAAAATTGTCTGCTGGAAGGCATTATCTGGACTAACTAGGTTTTGTAACTATTTGTATTGTATTTCATTAAACAAATACGGCAACCAATTTCAGCAAAATACACCTGCAGATCTCTCTTGAGGTTATTAAATGTACTTGGGCTATACTTTCTGTATGATTTATTATATGAAAGGCAAAATAACTTGGATAGTGGATTGAACAGTGGGAATAGTGGGTAGTTTTTTCCTGTAAGTAAATTAATATAAATAAACAGAAATTCAAGGAATTATGCTAGGTTTCACATTGCAAGTGAAGAAATGAAGGTACAATCAAGTTTCATCTACTCAATGCTTGAATTGGAACCTCTGGAATAAAATAAATCCAAAACAAGCACTCCATCATTCTTCTCGGCGCATTTCACCAACCAAGTCGGTGTCATCAGGAGATGCATTAAACTAATTACTACCTCTAAACTCGGTATCTATTTATATATAATGTACTCACTTTCATCAGACATATATCAATTATTTCGGATATAAAATAGTGAGAAATTTTCTTGTTGAAGTTTTTCAAGGTGTGTTGAACAATGCTTGATTTTTCTGATCTCCAAAATTAGATATGTGCTTCATATTCTTTGAATGACTCGCTTAGTATCCTTCAAATCTAGTAGATAATTCAATTAGGAAACATAAAATCTTCGTGAATCTTCGATCTTTCAAAAAAAAATTGATTCAAAGTTCATTGTTCTTTCATATGAATCCAGATATAATGGATTATAATAATAATAATAGAATTTATTCATCAATCAAAGGTTATACAAGGCAATATACATACACATATGCATAACACTTATCAGGCTAGTCAAGAAAGAAAAGAAGGTAATCTACAAATAAATTGTTAAGATAGTATAAGTATAGTCGCAAAACAAACCAGAAAAATTGTACATACAATAGTAGGAACCCCTGAATTTATTACTCTTGAATCTGACTTCACACCATAAAATCATATTGTTAAAAAGTTAAAAGTGAAAGTAGCTTTCAAAACTATTTGTCACTGCGATACACTGTAAATACAGGATGTTGAAAAATGAAAACTTGAGAATATATGAAATAAGCTATGAGGATTGTGAGGAAAAGTGTATCCTGTTAAATATAGAGAAAAGGTTTACAGTTGGAAATTAGTATACTCCATTTCTTGAAAACGCCTGCTTGGATGGTGAAACGCGCGTCGAGAAAAAGGTTCAAATCTGGTGTTTGGGAGAAGTACTTGTTTTCAATTTTCATTTCTTTCAGTGAATATGTTGCTACTTCTATTTTTGCTCAATTCTGTATCTGTCTGTCTTTATTGCCTGTTGAAGCCAAACATCATGCTACATGGAATGAGTATGTGCCAATAAATACCTAATCATGTCTGTATACTTACCAGTTCGCTTCAATTTAATATCTTTCGCAAGCCTTCTGTCAATCGATGAAGATTCTGAACTATCTAATGCTTCGGCTGAATCAGGGGTGTTCCCTGTAGAATTGTTTGGTGATGAACCGTCGCTCAATAAACCCAAATCTCCTGACTTTGCTTCAGAATTCACCATAGACCACGGACGCTGCTTTGGCGCTGTTGCTGGACAATTTTTCAGTTTCAAATGTTTCACCGAATCAGATTCATCTTGAAAATATTTTCAGTTATTCGAATACAGCTGTCAAAATAAAGTTCAGAATTATGACAGTACCTGTTAGTCCATTCGGAGACACTCTTTTTGACAAAGTACTTGCAGGAGATTGATTAAAACTAGATTCAGTCGCAAGGCTGCCGTTACTGCTTTCTTGTGATTTAATGCTCTCTCCAGTGAACCGTCTGCTAAGTGGAGATGCAGAATCTCCGGTACTCTTTCTCAGGAAAGATGGAGAGAACTTTTCTAAGTTATCAATAGATCTGGACCTTGGTGTTGGAGTCATCAAACCTTCCAAATGAGAAAAATAATTTATTGATTTGATAAAACATTGAAACAAAAACTTTTATCGAACTCACAAATTTTTCATTGATTTATTAATCAAACAAGCTCATATCCTCTCAACTTATCGAAAAAAATCCAGTACTAACCTCGTAGAAGTGGTGAATTTCTGCTTAATTTAGGTGTTCTGCGATCTTCACTTAATGTCGGTGATGAAAAGTCGTGATTTGGACTTCCAACAGTATGGAACGAATAGCAGTCATCTGATGTTGGTGTTACAGAGCCTGGACGGAAGAATGAATCCAAACCTTCCACCAAATCTTGTGATGTCGAATCTGTGTTATCTGGGGGTTTTACCACAGGTCGTGTTGGAGCTCTAGTTTTTGCTCTTCTAGGACGACCTGACCAATCGAAAGTTGATTTTTAGTGGTCTTACATATCGTCAACAGCAAAAATTAGATATTTCAGTAAAAACTGTTTTCCCAATATATCAAATCAGATTATTTTGATGATTGAAATGCCACTTTTATATTAATAAGTGGAAGCTGATCTGGCTTTCTTGTATATATTTTAAATTTCACAATATCTGTCATTGATGACACTCTGATGTTTCAATTGAAATATTCAGAATATGGGCCGAAAATTCTGATCAGATAAATAATAAGCCGTTGATGATTTTTCATCTTATATCACCCTCAGTAACAAACTAAAAAACTGGCATTCATGTTGGTGTAACCTTATTTCGTTTTCAATAAAAAAGAAAAATAATGTTAACAAATTGGTTACAATTGAATAGAACTGGCCGATACTTGACGAAAATCCATATTAAAACTAATTAATACAGTTTATAGTAAAAATCATACAATAAACTGTATTGATGAGTTTTAAATTGGTTATACAAAAATAATTATTCATTCCACCATAAAACTAAATACATTGTAACCTTTATTATTGTTCAACAAGATATTATTCATAATAAGAACACAGCATACACAATTCACTGATCCATCTAACAAGTAACAAGTCATTATTTTTCAACGATGCTGAGTATTATTATCTATGGATCATCAGAAAAAGCAGGTATGTAACTGTAATGATGGAGAAAACCGTGTCTCATCTCATTTGTGTACTAAATGATAATGGCGATGTAGCAAATCATATGTTTGAGCAATAAGAAAATTTCAAATACCTGCTTTCACATTGTTAAATTTCCGTGGTATAATTATCATAGTTCGTTATTGACTGAATCCTTCTTTCAATGATTAACAGGTATATCATTGTTTTATATATCTGTTACTCTGAAAAAAAATCAATATCCAATCTCACCTTTATTAAGGAAAATGCCTTTGACTAGGTGTTGCAACTGATGACCAGCATTCGGTAATTCTGTGACGGAATCCTCCTCTTCTGAATTGCCAGGAAGTGATGGTAATAAACTAGGTATGTCGTCCGCTGATATTCCTTCTACACTATCGACAACTGATTTAGGTCGTAACTTACGACCGTGTAAACTCTTTCTTTTGATTGAAAGATAAGGTGTGGCCTAGTAATTAAAATGATATAGTAAAAAAAAATCGTGCATCAAAAAACATGAAAAATTTCAAAACCCTTTCATAGTATTTCAATTTGAAAAGATTTAGAATGGCGTCATGTTATTTCTCTTATTTTTTCCAGCAAACCCTTTCATCAATACCCATAACATGGGGGTGCATGAAAAACTAGTCCCTCATTATGTGTAAGGTGTATGTATGCTAAATTTCATCAGTTCAGGAGAAGGACTTCAAAATTCAGTTGCAAAATTTGACCCGAACTGACACATACATACATACATACATAATATACGTAGATACATTACATACAAAGCAAGTTAAATAAAAGTTTGTAAAATGGGTGGGTACCTAAATACACTTAAGTACTATACTTACTAAATTTAAATATTCCAACTTCTGCATGAATGACAAAAAGTTGAGAATTAGGAATAAAACACATAATATTACAAATAGAATATAAACCGCGAAAATTTTACTTACCAAAGGAGAATGATCAGACTGGTGGCTGCTGTCGGTAATGGAAATATCACTAGCGCCATGTCTCGAACTATTGGAACTACTTAACCTAGACCTCCTAGGGGGAGAATCAATTCTTATTGCACCTGCATCACCAACCAATATCTTGTAACTTCTCATCAATGCCTCATAAACTTCATCAATAACTTGTTCTGACAAATGGGAAGCAACCATAATATTCAGTTCTCTGAAATAATGGAACAAAGATATGAATCAGGCATTAGTAAAAAATGGCTGGTTTTCATCACTTAGTCCTTAGACATGTCTGTTATAGAAGACTTACTGATTGAAAATACATTCATTGGCCTATTCAAATAGAACTTTATTGTATCTATCGATTGAAACTATTGCAGTGAAAGATGTGTTGGGGTTTTGCAAACTGTTCAGTGAAAATCTCACAATTAAGTGTCACTTGAATACGTTCTGGATTTTCATCAAGTATTGGCCAATTCCATTACATATTCATTGGCTCATTTGCAAAAAAATAGATTTTCTAGACTGTAAATAATATTCATAGAGGAAGACCACAGATATTTTGAAATTCAGATATCCAACTGTCTGTTTGAAAATCTGTTCAAAATCTGTTTTTCCGTCAATCAGCTGTCGCCCCCATACGAACGACAACTCTCAGAAGTTGAGAAACTTGTTCGAGCTAAGGACTAACGAGGTCTTACCTTTTAACGTGCAATTCCTAACACTCAATGAAAACATTCATTATTGCGAAGCCATAGCCATTCAAATAATCGTCGTTTCATTTATTTATTGTAACATTTGTGTACGATTCTAACTGAATAACAAAATATTCTGTAGATAGTTTAATACAAAATACTTGTTATCCCTGAATTTTGCAGCGCTACTTTGCGATGGTGCTCACCCCGAATAGTCCTCCACCTGCCAACACTGGTAAGTTTCCTGACAAGCTAATGGCAGCTTAGAGAAAAAGAGAAGAAGAAAAAAGGCTCGACCTTAGATTTAATACGGTTAGGTTAAGTCTTCAAAAAGTCTTAATAGATGTGTTCTAGACTTTTACTATTTGATTAAAAATATAATGGCAGCAAACAACCAAAAAAAGCGTAATACGCCAAATATTCTTATAACAGGCACTCCAGGAGTAGGAAAATCCACACTATGTGAAAAATTAGCGGAAATTACAGGATTCAAGTGGCTTGAAATTTCCAAAATTGCAAAAGATAACAACTGCCTAGAAGGATTTGATGAAGTTTATGGCTGTTCCGTTTTGGATGAAGAAAAGCTTATGGATGGTTTAGAACCAGTTATGGCAGAAGGTGGAAATATCGTAGATTATCATAGTTGCGATTTTTTTCCTGAGAGGTGGTTTGACATCGTTTTTGTCCTGAGAGTAGATAACACTACTTTATATGATAGGCTGACACACAGAGGATATACCGGAAAGAAATTACAAGATAACATACAGTGTGAAATTTTCCAGATAATATTAGAAGAGGCAAAAACATCCTATAATGCAAATATAGTACATGAAATTAGTAGTGTGACGGTTCAAGAACTAGAAGATAATTTGAATAGAATAAGTTTGTGGATACAACAATGGTGTATAGATCAATGTAAATAAAATGCCATGAATAAGACGTTTTTGTTCAAATTTAAGTTAAGTTACCCTGTATTACCAGTGTGTACTTTACTACCGATGAAGCAACTTTTTTTTCTGATTGATTCAGCCGTTACTTGCTGAAGATCCATAGTAATTTCATAAACTATACCTTACGATTTGATGTCCACAAGCTTCATTTTTTTTTAAATATCACCACGTTTCGCTAACACAGTAGCTTTTTCATAGTGAATAACGTTATTCACATTGAAAAGGCTACTGTGTTATCGAAACGTGATAATATTTTTAAGTAAAATGTGGAGATCGAATCGTAAAGTGTAGTTTATGAAAGATAAAGCAACTGTTGGTGAAACACATCTAGAAGAAAATTGTTCAATTATTATCGTGGATTACCTTGTTCTGTTCATAATATCAATTCCAGCCTGTTGATTTATACAAGTTGTTACAAAATCCAATGGTATCTGTTTTTTCTTTCGACACTCTCGCTTAATGTCTTGTATTGTCTCTTCGTCATGCAAAACATAAGGACATTGGTCTCTGCAACATTTGAGCATCTTCTCTGTAGTGGCCTGCAAAAATCATAGTGAATCAAAATCAAGTGATGTTGAACAGACTTTGAAACTCTACATAAACCACACTATAAATGAATCTGTTGATAAAACTTGAGTTGATACAGAGAAAAAATTGTGCTTTACGATTTTTATAATCCTTTCTCTAGAGAAAATGAAGTCATTATTACGTTTATTAGAGAATCTGTCTAGGAACTGTCTAACTGTACATACAAAATATGCCTGTCTAAGTTTCCAGTTGATATTGTTTCTAATTATCAGTAAATCAGTTGGGAAGTGAAAACATTTAAGTGTGGCAATATGATCAGTATTCTGTTAAATGACTAATTTCTGACTGTTAGTAACTACCCTTTAATTCATATGGGTCTAGATCTTCTCTTGCGTACATCCATACAGGCTGATTGGCCTAACTACATGGATATAACATAAAGAGAAAGTAGTTTATTACCAATACATAATAATAATATGATGTATTCATTAACGTAACTGTCAATATACAAGAACGGCATGGAGAAATACAGAAATATCAATTAAATAATTTATTATCAATTGACTAAAACTGTTTTGAGCTTAAGTCCAGTCCAATGATGTTGAGAAACCAGTCTGATTAGACAAACATCTTTGCTGTAGAGATTATATTTTAAACTTTTTTATCTATGTGTTGATGTTCGCATTATATCTAGGCAATTTATTTTGCAATTTTTTAGACCACCTAATAAATACAGTTCAATTCAAGTTTGACCAAACTTTTGATACATATTCAAGTATGAATATTAGTGGAGTGTCAAGGTGTTGAAATAACAGTTAGGTGTTTGGAAAAAACTACAGTAATACTCATAATAAAGTAATGCAATAGTTTTTATACCGTTATAATGCCTGCTTTGTCTGATTATATATCCTTACAGATTTCGTAATATTGTGAATATGGCTGGCAAAGGAAAAAGTAGAATTATAAAGTACCACCAAATCTTTTACTTCCTTTACTTTATTGTCCATTATGTAATCAAAAATAAATAGGTGTTTTATTCTATTCATAGGTATAACATGACATTTACTTATATTGAATGAAAGTTCATTATTATGATTCCATTTTACTATAGTGTTCAAAACTTTTTTTTTCATAAACTACACCTCACGATTTGTGTAGTTTATGGATTACTATGGATCTTCATCAAGTAACTGCCGAATCAAACAGAAAATTAAAACTTTCTGTACTAGTTTACAATCCCTAACCATTTTCACGTTTTTGAAAACCCTAAAATCGTCTGCAAAAAGCAAACCTGATGAATAATTAGCAGTGATGAAAGATCGTTAATGATCTTCCATAAGTTACCCCCATATCTTTAACTTACTCTACACGCTTCAATACTTCATTATTCATTGTGTAATCAAGAATAACTTGGCTGAGCAAATTGGTATCATAACATCACTGGACTGAGCTTTATCTCAAAACAGTATCATTAAATTATTCAATTAATATTTCTGTATAATTTCTTCCTGCGGTTTTTGTATATTGACAGTTGAAGTTATGAATACAATGTATTTTTATTATTATGTATTAGTATTGAACTAAAATTATATATTTCTTGATGTTATATCCAAGTAGTTAGGCCAATCAGCCTATTTGGATCAATGAATAAACAAATATAGAACAATGATCAGAAAATATTTGTTACCTGAACATAATCACAAATGCTACTATGAACTTCATTAGCAGCTTGATGTAGCTTCTCTTCTACAGGATTAGGGCGCTTGTCATCTCTATGTTGAGCAACCTCTTGCAGCCTAACTAGGAGCTGTTTTGAATTTTCTGCATCCTCTATCACTCCTGTAGCATGGTTAATGTCATTACTTGATGATATCGAATCAGATGTAAGATTTCTTATAGCTTCCTGAGTTTGTTGCACTAAACGATCTAGGGCTTGCAGCTTAGAGGTCAACAAAAACCCAGGTTGCAAAGGTATTGCTTTAAGTAAGTGCTGTTTGTGAGAAACATTTCTGTTTAATAAATCTTGAATTTTCTTCATAAGTAAATCTGTACGTTCAGCATTTGCTTTCATACAAGGAGTTATGTCATATATGGGAAAAGGCATATATTGCACAGTTCGGTTACTCTCAAGAGCATATACTATGTCATTGTATCCTTGGAGTGTTATATTATTTCTATCATAAATGATTGTTTTCAGTTTATTGTTTATTTGTAAAGCTTTTGCTAACAATCTAGCACCAGAATCACCAATGTGGTTACCACTAATATCTAACGTTTCTAATGACTTATTATCTCCTAGAGCATTGAGAAGATTGAAGAGGTCCGAACGTAAGCGACAGTCTGGAATCATGAGCGACTGTAAGAGACACTCATCATCCTGCACAATTTGGACCACTGAATCCATAATGAGCGACATGTGTTTCTTCATTGTTCGAGCCATGTTCAGATGTTTGAGAGACTTATTTTTGCTTATTGCTATCACTACATTGCAAAGATCCGAGTCCATATCTAAAAATATATAATAAAAAAAATAATACTGAAATATGAGGAATGAGCTTACTGTTCTCGGATATATCAAGACTAGAAATACATCGAACACCATGTACACAGCTCTCTAAAACATGCGCACCTTGACTACCAAGTCCACAATTGCTTATATCTAACGTCATTTCTTTGGTAAATTCATTGCAGGCCAATCCTAATAATAGATTTCTGAAAAAATGAAACTATAAATTGGGTTTTCAGGAAAAATTATCAACATCAACATTTTCAACATTCTTATATAGAAAAATTGAATTGAAACTCTTGTTTTAAATGAATGTACTCCTACAAACTAGAACCGTAACACTCTTTTTGACGCAAGTTATTACATGGTAATAGCTACTTTCACGATAAACATGCCCTAAGATGAGTTTTTTGTTTCAATGCATATTAGTCTAAGAATAAGAATAAATAATGTGTTGATCAAGAAACTGTTAAATGACAATATACTTTTTCCACATTCAAAAAAGAGAAAAAATATAAAAGTGTACAGATTACATGAAAAGAGATATTTTATTTGCTATGCAGAACTGCAGAAAAACTTACTTCAGTGCTTCTTGGGGTAATTTACAATGCGAAATATTGAGGTATTTTAGATTAAGTGTTGAACTGAAAAATTGTTTCAAAGATATGGGGGCTTCTTTGTTTTTTTTACTACTAAAGGGATTTCTGCTGCAGTTCAAGTGAACCAAGTTAGTTGTACAGCCCCGTACTAATGCACCAAAAAGCTAAAAAAAAAATAATAAGTAGGTATATTGTATTATTACAACTTAGAAATACTTACATTTTCGAGAATTATATCTGTAGAAGAAATATCTATATGTTGAAGTGCATTCGATTGTGATAAAAAGTTATGGAAATGCTGCAAAAGAATATTTTATAATAAATAAGTCTCTTAGGATAAAGAACTAAATACTTGTAATGGTGTCAAAACAGATCTCACATAACTTATAATACGAAATGTACTACTGCAGCAGACATCTCCAATGGTAAATGCTTTGACTGAAGATGTCTGTCACAGTAGTAGAAGAAACTTTTGGTACTATAAGTTCTAATCAACCACTGCCTATCAGCCCAGATTCAAACCTCACAATATAATTACTAAATTTTTTGACTGACTGCACGCTTTTTAGAAATGAATAAGTTGATGGTATTCTATATACGTCTGAAATAACTAAAATACATTGCATAAGAATGACCGATTTCAATCAAGATATGGTTCCCATTGAGATAATTGCTTCTATAAAGTTCACAAAATCTGTTGTAAGACCATTTCTAGTTTTACTTTCAAGAACTTACAGTAATATCATCTTTCAAATTGTTTCCGCTCAAATTAAGAAAAATCAATGTTGTGAGAGAGCTTGAATTGTTGTTCAAGGCACTGAACAAATTGTTAACACCTTTGGAGCTCAAACCACAATGAGCTAAATTCAAATGGACTAGACCTTTATTGAGCTTCGGGATACAGCTTCCCAAATAAGTAGCACCTAAAAACAGTGTCATTCTAATAGGGTTTTTCGTTTGTAAAATTTCTTACCTTTGTCTTCAATTGGATTAAATGATAAATCTATAGTATGTAGAGCAGTTCCTAGGTTTAGTTTCAAAACACTTGATAGTTTGTTCACAAAATCAGACTTCAGACCTAAATTATCAAGATATATTTCTTCCAGATTGAGGGATTTTCTTAAAACATGTAAAATTCTATCGATGTTGTCATGTGATAATTTTACTTGATTTGCTCTTAGTTTTGAGAACCACGTATTGTATTCAAGAGCACTGATTATTGGTATTAAGTCTCTAAAACATCACTTAATATAAATTCAGGACCACTGAAAAAGGTTCGATAAAAATTTGGAGAGTAATAACAATTACAAAATAACGCCAATATTTCACTAGGTTTGGTAGATTTTTGATAAGTCAAGTCACGAATCGTGGAAAACCAGGTATCAATAACAAAAATGAGTGTGATACTACAAAATTTACAAAACAAATTTTCTATTCAAAAGCTACATGATATAAAAAATAGAAAAAAGAAGCCCAAAGTTTGATTTTTAATAAAGATCATCCTAGACCAATTTTTGCTAGATTCCTCATTCAATAGTGTATGATTTTAAATTACCTAAAACTTGCTGTGGAAATACCCTGATCAAACCCAGATAGATAAACTGAAAGGTACTCACTTCTGATCCAGATATTCGAAATCTTTGAGACTAAGTTCTCTTGTATTCAAAGAAACATAAATGTTGTCAATGTCCCAGGCGACCTCTTCTCGATAAGTCATACCATGAAAATCACACATACAGGCATACTGGTTTGAGAAGCCCCCACAAGGGCCTACTTCCCTGCGACTACTTGCTATAGCCTCTAAATCTCTTAACTGCTGTAATCTGGTATGAGGAATTACCTCAATCTGAAGAGAAAATTATAGGTTATTACAAAATATTATCTTCAAGAGCTTCCATACAGTTTACTATAAAAGATGAAATGTTTTTATGAAAGACAGGTTTATTGGAAACTAACAAAAAGTGTGAGTTATCGAAAATAAAACCCAAAACTGCATTCGATTCAAAATTGGATCATATTTCTAGTCACTTTCAAAACTTTTCGGTTCAAATGCAGTGATTAGGGCCGTTCAAAACACAAAAATAGAGACTGGAAAATGATTCCATACTTTTCTTATAATATGATGTAGTGGCACTGTGGGGAAAATATTCCTAATGGCATTATTCAAAGCTCCTATCATATTATCGACCTCGGTGCTACATTTTGAGTCTTCTCCTACCAAAAAGGAGTAAACTTTGTCGTTAACTGTAAGGCTCAGCTGATTTCCTCTTTTGCTCTCCAACGCTTGGACTTCCAAGTAATGGAAGTGAGTGTCGATCTGAAAAAACCAAAGAAAATGTTTATTCTGCTTATTGGCAGGGCCGGATTCAGAAGAGGGGCCCTCACAATAAAGATAAAAAAATATCAAAATTTTGATGGGTTAGCAACTTACACGTTTTTCCTCCCATTTTTTTTGCATTTTTACTAAGAATACCTGCTCAAACATAATGATATTGTTATCGATATATTAGAAAGCCCTGATTGTAAGTTTCCATTTTTTTATTTTGATCGAGCATTTCAGTGGCAATATTGTTTTTAAGGTGTAATTTGTACCCATGAGTTAAAGAAAAATATAATAAGTAAAAAAAAATCTGAAAAAACGGTGACCCTGCAGGTCATCCTTACAACTTCTCCTTTCTTCAAGCTCAAAATTTTAAAAATTATTTTACGAAATCACGAAGGGGCTCCAGGCTTCCAAATCCCGCCCTGCTTATTAGCTTTATAAATAACTTACTTTTGTTGGCACCTTTGCTGTGAGAAGTAAAATTCGACATGGTGAAAATACCTAGAAAAAACTGATGGTTAATATTATTCGTTGTCTACATTATGATACAAAATATATTAGTGTTTCCCAAAATTAGTAAATAAATCTAGAATCGTTAACAAAAGATTATGGAAAAATGCTTGGCAAGTCGATTTTTATTTTGGAATTGTCACTTCAGCTTGTAATTTTCAACCCCTGTCAAACTTCAAGAGTAGCAACCCCAATTCGAAAAAGTAAAGTACCCCTTATGTTAATATTTTATTGAGAATACTAATTCACAATGAAATATAATTCATAAGACAATTGAAAGATACCCCGAAGATAGGGACAAAAATGTGTCTATGAACACATTATACAGTGTGTAAAAGCCAAATGGAGTAAATTCATTATTTCGGTTAGTGTACATATTAAAAAAAAAACAAAACACGTCAAATGTAAATTATAATTTGCCACACCTACCTTCCACCCTGTTGGAATGACAGTTACAACCCCCTATTTTTCAAATGGGAAGTACAGGTTCGTGATATATTGTTTGAAAGGTATCTTCATTCTCTATTCAAAAATATTTTCGCTTTCAAGTTTTTTGCAAAAATTAAGATATAATAAATTAAAATCATGTTATTACCGAAATTCGATAAAATACACTCAAAAACTAAAATGTAATGCAAAATGTAATGAAATGTAGAATACGAATAAGAACTATGGATGGTAATGAAGTAGATGTTCAAAATGTTCATCGCAAACGTCTTGGCATCCTAATCCTAATCTCAAATAAAACTGTCTTCATTATTTAACATATCAGGCGTGACCGACCTAATCGCCAGCGTTACTCGTTCTTTTAAGTCATTCAAATCTGAAGGTTTAGTTTTGTACACATTGCTGTTTACATTTCCCAATAAAAAGAAATCAAATGATGAAAGATCAGGTGATCGCGCTGGCCATTCAATCGATCCATGCCTCCCTATCCACAGATTGGAAAATGTTGTATCGAGGTATTGCCGGACATTAACTTGGTAATGTGGTGGTACTCCATTCTGCTGAAACCATATCGTTTTCACTGGAACTTGAGGGTTTCCTGGATCAGGATATAAATTTGCTAAAAAATGGGCGGTAAATTAGGAAATTTCTAATTAAATAGGCGAGCTACTTCCTGTTGTGCTCGGAGGTTTTATCTCCATAACCAACCATTTGTAAAACTGTTGCATTATGCATTTTCTTTAATCTAACTATTTGTCAGACTTGAAGTTAACGAACTTTAAACTAAAATTAAAATACTGACAGCTAATGTTGTGACATACAAAACAAGTTGACAAGGCGTTTTCAACTAACGTTGCCACGGAAATTATTTACAGTTTTTTAAAGGATACCATCTAAAAAGAACATTGCTATGGTTTTTGCTTACTTTCTTATTACCAATACCTCAACATGAAATAGGTTTTGAGTATATTGCAATAAGTTTTGAGTGCATTTTATCGAATTTCGGTAACCATATGATTTTAATTTATTTTATCTTAATTGTTGCAATAAACTTGAAAGCGATAACATTTTTGAATAGAGAATGAAGAGACCTTTCAAACGATATATCACAAGCATATACTTCCCATTTAAAAAATTGGGGGTTGTACCTGTCATTAGACGGGGGTTGAAGGTAGGGGTAGCATTTTTCCGTTGAAGTATGTCAAATAATAATTTAAATTTGACGTGTAAAAAAGCATTTTATGTCTTGAAACTTTCCTGAAGTGTGTACTGCATTTCTATTATTTCTCACCTTTCCTGTGACTACGACTAGTGCCAAGCGATCATTTTCAAAACTGAAATTGATTAAAAGTTATTCAAGAAATTCTATGGGACAAGACAGGTTAAGCAACTTGACTATTCTCTCCATCGAAAATTCTATGGCCCAAAATTTGAACTTTGATGATGTCATTACCACTTTTGCTGAACAGGAAGTCCAAAGGAAGGAATTTTAATAATTAACATTTATATTTTGAACACAGTGTGTGCTTACAACAATATGATGATTCGGACTGGGTATATCAAATTGCTTTTTTGTTTTTCAAATAATTTTGACCACTCTATATGCCCATATCAATTAGATGCTGACTGTACTTTAAATTAGGTACTTTTAATATAAAGTGAATTATTGGAAAGTCAAGTATAATTCTAAAGTTTGTATGTACCTACTTGATGTAGTGATTTATTATTGTACAATTACAAGTAAAAGTGTATAAATAAGTACTATAAAATCAAAAAAATTATTATTGTTGGTTCAGCTTCTTCATATTGAGGGGAGGGGGCCCATCCGATAAATTTGCCACGGTCCTCGAACGGTATAGTTACGCCACTGTGTATATTCAGACTTTTGAAGAAAAACGAATTTTGGGATGCAATGAATGAAAAAATATTATGAATTCTGGTGTTAAAATTGGTGTGCCCAGAGTTGAAAATACTCTTTTCTTGTAAATAAGGAAATAAATTTCCTGATTTTATTTCATGAATGAAAATGATAGTTTTGAACAGACAACCAATGTAACAAGTTTAACATATCCCAAATTGGTATGAGTTTGGGACATGATAAAGATATTCAAACTTCACGATTTTGCAATTTTTGAGGGCTGTAATTATATTTTTGATTCAGAAAAAAATATAATTGTAGAGCTATGCGTGCAATGGGGTAATATGATAGTGTTATATAGTTTCTGACCATATTGTGCATTCGAAAAACATTTTATTGTGAGATTTTCACTAAACAGTTTTACAAAAACGAAACATGTGATTCACTACACAATAGCTTTTTCAAGCGTATCTATACCAAAATCTACATATTCAATGCTTTATATATATTTTTACAATTTGAAGTACCTGAATTTTACCTACTCAATTAATGTTAAAAATATGTGCTTGAGTTTGAGAATGAATTCTAATAACATCAACATTAGAATGTCATTTGAAAATGTCCTTGTAAGATGAAACTGCAGTAACGTTAATTACTAAAACAAGTGGTATAAAAACATAGTAAGTTTCAATTCTCACTTTTCATACACTGATTATTAAAATGACTTGATAAATCCCATGTTACAATGATAATCCTATTTCCAAAATATTCAGCATTTTCAAACCAGTCCCATCCCATTAAATGAAAATGTTTATTACAAGGTCATTAATGTAGTTACTTCTTTGCATGATCTACACATATATAAAAGAGTGAGGAGCTACAAATTAAAACATTAATACTTATATTACACAATATATTTCTTATACACTAGATAAAAAAACTCAATAACACTTTAGTCATTTATTTTACAAATATCTTCGTATTGAATCCCACTAAGTTTTTGTCCTGTCAAAACCCCCTTAGCTATTTCTATGTCCACACAAAAATTTTTTTCATCTAATCTTAGAAGCTTTGCAATTTCACCCCTATATGCCCCATTCACTACCTTCACTATTTTGCCTAAAGCTGGAATAACGGTTTCTAAGTATTTTTGGTCAATTTTAAGTTTTTTACCACTTTCAGTCAACTTAATTATGGCCCCATACTTTTCTACAACTTCCTTTACAACACCTTTTTGTTTGTAGTATTCATCTCCCAAATTTTTAGTAACAACTTTAACTATAATGCCTTCTGTTAACCAATAATCTTTTCTATTCTTTTTTTCCTTTTCCATCTCCTCCTGCTCTTTAATTTCATCTAAAACTGTTTTTTTCTTAATGTCAGTCTTTATTTTTTTGGAATTATGTGTAGCCACATCAGCTGACCTCTTTGCAGAATTAACACTAGGGACCGGAGTTGAGAGTTTTTTATCAGATTTCCACTTCATATCCAGCTTGACAATTTCTTCATCAGTTTCTCTAACTAATTCAGTATAAACTGGATCAACAGGAGTCCCTGCTTTTTCCAAAGCAAGTCTTGCTTGTTTCTCTATGAACTCCATCTGTTTTTCTTCGTCGTACTTGTCCATTCGAATCTTTTTTTTCTTCATTTCCTCTCGTTGCACCGTCTCAGGACTTCTATCAATATACGTTATGAACCATCCTTCTTCAGTTTCATCAACAACTGCTTGACCTGTTTTTCCCAACCACTTGACGAATCCAGTAAGGGTAACCCAACGAGTACTGTTCATGTGAATATGATCGCGGTCACGGATATATTCTTGATATACTCGATTTGCATTCACTCTTTTTGTTCCGAATTGTCTCCTGAGAATTTCCACATATCCCTTAGCAAAGTCATATGAAAATTCATCAATATATTTTCTAGGATTGTCAGCAACAAGAAGCAGTTGCCTCTGATGAGACTCCGAAGTGGTATGACATTTGAAACCATTTTCATCTCGACACTGTTTCTGGCACATCTGACAGTACCATCTGAGTTTCTGCAGACCTTTTGCCTTCATTTTATTCGCCAAATACTTGGGCGTACCAACTTCTGCTTTCTTTCCCATCTTGATTAATGCAATATTACTTTGAAAACTATTTAATCAAATTCAACTTAACCTTACTTCACTCTTCACTTCTATTCCAATAAATAAATAATCTAAATAAAGAGAAAGAGTGAGCAAATATATAGAAATGACAAATCAATTTTTCTCAATGGTACCAACTGAAAGTAATGAAAACACTAATTTATGGCGGCTCTTATAAATACCTGAGAATATTGATTTTTGTAAAAGAACCTAAGGTACCTTCAGTAATATAGAAATGTACTTACCAAAACTCTGTTTTCAGTCTTGTCTCCTTTGGTTTCCAGTCGAACCACATTTTTGAAAAGTATTTTTACTTTATTTCCTACTGAGGATTTAATGCTTTCTGTTAAAATAATTATGTTATAAAAGAGGTTAGTTATTCATGAAATTAGGTATATGAAAATGAAATAGTCTGCAGATTCTCAGAATTACCAAGTATTGTTGTCTTTGATTATTCAGGATCTAGGAATAGGAATGAACTACATTCAGAGATCGCTTTATTATATGCAATTACAGATAATGTACCACAAATACGATTTTAAAATATTCATTTTCAAATTGTGATAGGTTCATAACGTTTTTGCCATGAAAAAAATCTCAAGGTTTTCGGGGCAGTATGTCATTAGATTCACCCACAATGAGTACAATTGCATTGGCTAACATAATTCTTGGAATTCTTATAGTAAATAGCAATTCTAAGAAACTGCATGAAAATAATACATAAATATCTTACTTAATTATGTATTATAATATTGGTTTATGAACACACATCAATTTTATAACTATAAACAGCGGCTTGGATAATTTTTTGGCAAATAATTTGCAAATATTTATATTGACACTCCCCATCAAAAAACAATTGAGATCTTTTATAAAGATATCGCTCACCGTTTAAATCCTTTGTTAGTTGTGATCTAGTAGACATAATTTGAACAACTAAAACGCAAACACCTCATTTAATTGTTTTAATTAATCATTTGCTCAAATTAGAATAAATAAAACTGCACTTTTTTCAATACAGCTGTCACTGTCATAATTACTTGGGACTTTGGCCTTATTAGGTTGGCGTCTTTCTGTCGTTTATAAACATCAATTTAATAGTACATAGGTAAGAAAGGAAGCTGAAAATGAAATATCACTGATCTGTTTAGAGGTAATGCGCTCGCGCCATAAATCAGAGAGTACGAGTATGAGACAATGTTCCATGTTACTAAGTGAAATTTTACCTCTTTCATTTACTATATTGTGTAGCAAGTCTGTGAATAATAAAACTAATCAATACGGTTCATTGTATGATTTTCACTACAAAAGCCGCTACACGTGTTTCGCTATACAATAGCTTCCTCAAGCGTAAACTAAAAGTTACTTCTAAATTACAATTATTTTATACTCTAACATATTACCTACTTGTATGCCTACTTTCTAATGAATGAATCTACCTGTAGGCAGATAAGAATTTAACTACATGAATACATTTTTCGAAATGCTCATATGCTCAACCATTTTCACCTGAAAATGAACAGATTCAATAATGGCGAATTATTCAATTCAGTTTGATCGTTCATAACGTATTGAGACTTTTTGAATTCGTTTATTGAATGAGTGGCATATGTGGAATTAATTTTTCTATTCTGAAAACTATTTTTGTGTTCCACAAATGCCACTCATTTAATCACAGATGGACATGAGTTCAACCGTGAATTCAAGCCCCTCCATTTCCAGAAGCTAGGTTTGAAACTTAACATGTTGGAGAATATGGAAATGAATAAATTTAAAAGCTCTCAATATCTTATGAACAATCAAACTGAATTGAATAATTCGCCATTATTGAATCTGTTCATTTCCAGGCAAAAATAGATAAGTACCTACACTTATGATACTTATGATACATTCATTAAAAAGTAGGCATAAAAATAGGTAATATGTTAGAGTACAAAAAAGTTGTAATTTAGAAGTAACTTTTTGTTTACGCTTTTATAGTGAATATCATATATTTAAACTGTATTAATTAGTTTCAATATGGATTTTCATCAAGTATCAGCCAGTTCTATTCAATCTATGAATGATATCTGATTCGATTCCATAACGAATGTTTGAAAAACTAACTGAATAGAGAAAAGTGTTTTTTGTATAATTCAGTGTTCAGTGTTTCGAAAGTATTTTCCTTTCGTGTAATTCATTGTTTATATAAAAGTAGCTGTTTCGAAAGGGTTTTTTTTCCAGTTTGTGTCTGAAAAGTTACTTCTTTGCATGATCTACACATCTTTGTATGGAGTTAATTTTTTGAAATTGATTTGATTTTTTCCTTCCTTTGAAAGATTTTCACATGTTTTATATAAAGATGGAGAAGTAGAAAGCCGAAACCTTTCTGTTCCAAAAATGAATCTCCTAGAAATATACCCCTTTCAATTTAAATCATTTTCTCTCGCTAACCATGTGAATAATGTAACGTTAGCAGGATTAATCCACATTCAGTTGGAATTCTCGCGATAAAAATTGAAGGGGAATTGTAACTCACAATTTTTGAATTGTGACGTGCCAAAATCACAAAATACTAACTGAAATACCTACATTGTTCTGATAATAGAACTTTTTGGCATCAAAACTGGCATGAAAATGACACATCACCACACTATATCTTAAATTTAGCTTTCTACTGTAACATTACCATCACCATGACATTGAGTGGCGCAGTATATGTTAATCACCTTTCAAAAGAATCGTAGTGAATATATTTGAATAATTTCTTTTGAAACATCCCAAAAAATATCTGATGGTAGTAATGACTTATTAATGAATATGTAACTGAAATAAGATAGAGTTCTTGTTCCGATTCGAAGGTTTAATGCAGTACACATTTGTTCCTTCATAATACAATAGCCGGTCATAGAATGTCCTCAGAACTGCATCCTGACCATAGCCCAAAAAAGGGATTCAAACATTATCAATATAGAAGATATGTACGGTGCCACTTTACTCATAGTTGAATGGAATGATAGAACGACACAACAAAATGATCCTCATCCAGGGTGGTTATCGTGGAAACTAGTGGATATGTCAGGTGTCCGTTTCTTCACAATTAACCATGTTTCAACCAAAAAAACACAAGACGCGGTTCATCTCATACTTTAAATTATCAGATGGCTATATAACCACGGAAATCTTACCGAACACATACTTTGATACAAAGGATGTAATAAAATTCACATTAGATACATTCATAACATATTATTTGTCTTTCGATTTGGAAACAAGTTTATTAATAGTCTGATTTCTGAAAGCTAGTTTCACATGTTCAAATTGGCTAAAAATTCTTTCAAGATTATGAGATTAGGAACCTAATGAAAAATAAAAATTAAGCTATGGTATCTGAGGATTATTATTATCAATATCATTCAAATTGTAGATACTGACATTATTATAAAAACAATTATTATTCTTAAAGGTTGAGATGATGGAGGGTGTGTTAAAGAGTAATTTGTGGATAAGAGATAACTGTTTTGAAGTAACGATTTTGAGAGTGTTCTTAAATTTCGTACACGAAGGCTGCTAAGGTTAGTGACCACCACTCGATTTTTTATTCCCAAAATGAGGTTTATTTTATGCTTCTCCTGATGGAAGGTGTCATAATTTAAATATCTACCAGATGCACATAGCTTTCTATACCACGGAGTTATTAAGGAATTAGCATGTCGTCGTATCAATAGTCGTATTCGGATTAATTAGGACGATCCTAGAACAGTCCGAAAAAGTTGCACAGTTGTTGAGGCTGAAATTTTTGCGCGAGTTCTTGCTCATGCTCAGTGGGGCAACTGTTTAGAATTTGGAACCGTCCTAGAATCGTTCCCGTTCCGGAATACGCCTTTGATTTGACAGTTTTCACGATTAACTGTGAAAAAATTGGCCTTTTAAATACACGAATATTGCATTTATTCGGAAGGGCAGAAAATGATTTCGAAATAGTCAGAAAAAAGACTCCATTTTAGTTATGTCTCCTGCACATGGTAAACAGGAAATATCTGATCCTGTAGAAGAAATGTTGAAAAAAACTGGTTGTATAAAACTCCACTACAAAGTACAGGTTATCTTCATTCAAAAATATATTTGAAAAGCCTTTTACTAAAAATGTTAGTTTTAGGAGTGCATTGCCGATACCAAAGATTGGAGAAAATGTCAGGATCAAGTATCCCAGTTCAAAAAATGTATGGCTAGATATAAAGACAACAAAAGTTGATTATATAATTGTTATTTACCTGTAAAAGTGTTAAAAGTTTGTTCAGTGATACAATTATGAATGTTTTACTAGGAAAATTGACTTCTTTCATGGCAACCAAAATGGTCATTATAGTACGAACTGATTTAAACATGGGCCGTGGAAAATTAGCTTCTCAAGTTGCCCATGCTGCTATTTTGCTTTTTCAGTCATCTATGAAAACATCACATTCATCTTTAAAATTATGGTTGAGTATGGGTCAACCCAAAATTGTTCTCAAAATTGATAATGACTGTGAGAGACTTTTGGAAGATATTTTTCACAAAGCAAAAAAAAACAACTTGAATGTATGCTTGGTGAGAGATGCAGGAAAGACTCAGGTGGAAATAGGAACTTTAACAGCTGTAGGAATAGGTCCAAACTGCGAGAAAGAAATTAACAAAATAACTGGTGATCTTAAATTGTTATGACTATATGTGTACAATACTTTTCATTAAATCAATTTTTCTATGCATCATATTTTATGAGTTTCAAATACAAAAAATTTGACATGAATCGCTGAAAGAGGTTCACTTTCCGTCTCTGCAGTTTTTATTACAAGGACGACTTGGTATTACCAGAGACAAAAACTCACATTCATAATAATATACCAGACATATCTGTTTCAACCTGCCATATGTCTTCAGTGGTAGCACGCTTGGTCATCTGCCAAATGTGAATGAGATTCGTTTTTCACTGTTTCAAGATTTCACAGCAAGGGCAAGTAGGTCACATATGACATATTCTATTAATTGTATAGAAGTCGTTTGTGTAAAGGGAGCTTTGATTATGTCTGAATGAGTTCAAACTGCTGCATCTTTGACCCAAAATGAAAAGGAGATCTGAACCCCAGATGATGTACCGGGAAACAGGAGAAGGTTGATGAAAAAAAATGAAGGTATTTGTCATTGCACCTGAACGGCTTTTTTTCCATGTACAAATTATATCAACCTCAATATTTAAAAAATTTATTTTCTCGGCATGGACTCTTCATATTTTTTGAATGAAGGGTGATTAACTTCATCCCATAATAAGGTTAATTCCCCGGAACTTGTTGACTTATAACTTTGAATGTAAATCCAGAGAGAACAAGAAATACAGAAATCTTCAAAGTACCATCTTATCATACTATGGCCAGAATGAGTATAGGTAACATTTTGAGACTTGCTAACACTTACAATGTGGATTTAGAACTTTTTAATTCTTCTTTGGATTCATTCAAAAAGATTGTAATTGATTAGCTCATTTTTGCCTGTTTTTATATTTTTTCCTTACATCTAACTGATAGTTATGGTACATATGTGTGAATTTAATTATTTTGTAAAAATAGGCAATGCCGCAAATAAATAAATATTCTTCAGTGAATCATTTCAACACTTCCAAAAAAGACCATGACTAAACAGTTCTCACAATTTGATCGACTTTTCGGTGAGTGACCACCTTTCCTCTTTTTGACAGTATGTGCGGTGAGAACAAGTAGAACACTGCGTCCATTTCCTCAATGCCTTTGATAATGCCTAACACAGTTGCAATCAAATCGCAGGCATGAAAATATACAACAAACTCTGAAAATAGTCAAAGATAAATTTGTGACTTTTTGTATATTTCAGTTTTGGAAAAGACAATTTCAAGATGTTTTGATCATTTCTGGCCTAAAGGTTCAATAACTAAACTGTATTTTGCCTTAAAAAGTTTGCAACTCTCCAAACTTTCTCAAAAATTGTTCTTAGCAAATGCCTATTTATGAATGTCCTTATAGCTTTCCAACTTTCTCAATTATTAACTTAAAGGTGATGGCTATCAATGGGAATTTCTCTTTGAAATGCCCAAACATTCTATGGCAGTCCTTATATTTGTCAATAAATAATTGTGTACGTCTAATAAAAACATGTAGTGCGAACATATCGAGAAATATTTTATTGGATAATATAAAATATAATTTAACAAATGTGCAGATTATATAGTCTAGATGAAGTTGAGAATGATAAAATGAAAAGAAATAAAAATGAAAAATATTTTATATTCACTAGAAAATATGTTAAAACGAAAAATAAAAGTAAACATTGTAAATGTATTTTAAGGACAATCCTCCAACTTCATCTAAATTGAGACAATTAGGTGTATTAATTGGATTACGTATGTAATATAATATTAGAAATATTTTTAAATTGAGAATAATGGTAATTTTTCACAAAAATACGTTTTGATAAATACCATTAATTATTTACATTTCTTCCTCATAAATTACTCAAGCCGAGCAAATAACGCAAAATACACTGTATTTTTGGTACATGTCGAATCAAAAACAGATTTACACAATTGTACTAATCCCAAAGAATATCACTTTCAAAACCTTCCCTTTCTAGTATTCAAGAAACAAATTGAAAAAAAAAAACAATAAGAAATATATTTGAAAAATCAAAAATCGTCTATCTCCATAAGGTATCTTCTACCTCAAATAACATATATGTGAGGTCAATATCTCTTTCCTCTTTGTCAGTAAGAACATTGCAATCAAAATGGGAGAGAAAAAGGATTTTTGTAGTTATTCATATTTTGCATCAAACAAAGTAGGTGCTATTATTATTTCTAGCGAAGATCTCGTGTTTTGAAATATCTGTAAGCTTTAATTTCATTTGATTGTTTCGATGGTTTGCATCAATCAATCATTGGTCACCGATGTTCGATGTCCATTCTTTTGTTAGTGTTTGATTATGCAAAACAAAAATGAGGAAAAGACACATATTTAGGCCTAGCTCAAAGTTAGCTGTCAAACACTCTGTACTAAATGGAAATACATTTTTGTAAATGAAAATATGTAATTATCAAACTCGTAAATTTCATTATCAGTCTTGTTTTTTTTTAGTTTCAGTATTCAATTTCATGAGATTAAATTTGCCATAAACCAAAAATTTACTATTACTTTTGCTTTATTAATAAGTATGGAATTAGTTCCTTCACAAAGTGCTGTTGAAAAAAAATTAATGACAATTTTCTTTGCCATTACATTTATTCATATTGAAAATTTACGTACTGTCCAAAAACCGAGATTGTAATTTGTTTTAAAAATTATACCTATTATCTCATTTACTATTAACCAATTTAGTCAGGAAACTTACTGTTGTATATAAGAATTGTAGCCCAATGTGTATTATTTATTACTAGCAATAAAGCTAAGGTGTAAGAGAAACGCATTCTAGAATTGAAAAAAAATTGTAAAAATTATTCAATCATTATCATGGATACTGTTATTATTAATTTTCATAAGATAATGGATCAGCATATTCATAAGTGGTTAACGGAGAAATATATTTTATACGGACAGATAAAATTATGGACACTATGAATGGAATGTGTCAACCTAAGTGAGATGCACTAAAGCAGCATGTATTATGTACAAAAATTATAAGTGTGTGATAGTAAACTTCTGAAGCAAAACATGTTTTGCAAATATGACGGTGAAAGATCAGATATTGATAGAACTAATATCTATGTAAGATAAATTAACTGAAGGGTACCTAAACTTAGAAGCAATTTCGAGAATAATTATTACTAACCCACCACACACAATTGTGTCTAGAGAATAAAAAATAATCAATATACATTTAGAAAACTGATGAAAATTCAGCTTCCATCTTCTTTCATTTCTTAAATTTTCAATTCTATCTGAGACATAAAATTTTGTCAGTCAATTTCATTCAATTATCTATTGAAATGATTAAATCATCATGGGGGAAAAACTAACGAACTAATTCAAAAATGACATTATTCATCAGAACGAGGATTTATTTTTTAAAACTTGTAAACTCTATTCTTAAAACGCTTTTTTGTGAAAAATCACCAGTAAAAAAAAGGTTTTGTAATTCATAAATGCAAAGACTATTGATAAGTAACAAGTAGGTACACATAATGTTAAATTCCCCAATTATGAGGTAATTATTTACCTTGGCACAAATTACCACTCATTTTACATGTTTAAAGGAAAAAAGGTTACAAATATATATTAAAATCATAAAAAAACTAATATAAAAACTATAATTCATCACATACCCTTTTTGAGCAATACAAAACTTAAAGCAAATAAAAAATTAGGAAATCTATATCATTACGGAAAAGTGTAGAATATGATAATTAATATAGTTGAAAATACAAATTCAGCAGAAAGGATCTGAATTTCCTTTCATGCGTAAGTTTTTTCTGCTGGAATGAACAAAATTTGTCACAGAGAAGAAACTTAGAATGCAATACTGTGTGGTAAAAATGGTTCAATAATTAATTGACTTGCAATTTCGGGGGAACAAATTTTTTCATATCTTTCCATTTGATTAATTCAATTCTAGTTTTTATTTTACTTCAGATAAATAAAATAAATATTGGTACCTGGTAATGTATAAATACCGTTCAGATGTACCAATAACTTGATTTTCTAGGATAAATATTTCCCAATTATGATAACATTGATTCCTTCCTGAGGTAATTTTTTTTTACCACAAAAAATATGTAATAGGGTTAATCTCATCCATAGTGAGAGGTGAAATCTATCACTTCGTAATATTACTTTTTGCATGGAAAATGTTTGACCAACTTTGTTTTACACTGTCAAAGTTTTAGTTTTCAGTTTATTAGTTTCGAAATTTTCACTACATAACTTGGACAAATATTCATGATACTGAACCTATTGTGATATATCCTGATACAACTTATACAAAATGTATGGACGGAAAAACAGTGGAAATACTATGGGATTCATCAAAATTAGAGTATGAGTCTACTTCATGCAAAGTGAGGAAAAGCATTTATCATTTCAATATCAGTCAAGAATATCTGCCAATGAATTTTCACACAGCTTGTCAAGTGAACTATGAAAGCTTAAGGTAAGAACAGCACACCACTGCTTTAGATATAAAAAAAAATGAATTGACTTGTATCACATTCATAGTTTATCAGGGACTTGTAATTTAATCTATCTGAAAACAAAATAGGTTTCAGTGGTTCACATCATGAATTTCTCAACTTTAGATTTTTAGAAATTGACCTGATTCTGATGTCATGTATGGAGATGCTGTGAATTATTTATATCACAGGTTTTATTGGCTAAGATGTACTAGTGAGAGATCCATTTAAAAAATGATACAAAGAATAAAATATTCACTCAACAAGCACAATTACCCAAAACAAACCTAATATTTTTCCAACTGGAATAAACTCAATTACTTAAAGCATACAAGCACTTTCAAATTGTTACATATATAAAAGATTTAAAAATAACATTTTCTCTCAGATTCATACAATTAAATATTAAAAAACTAATAACACATTGCGTCATTTAAGACACCAACATCTTACCTACACAAACACACTTTTATCTTAATCTAAACCTACAGTACCAATTTTTCATAAGAATATCATAAGCTCATTGTGCAGCCTAAGCATTGATGAGTTTGGTTTTCTGCGGATCATCATATTTACAGATCTCATAGGAATTTATGCTACTCATAGAAGTGTAGGAGTTGTTCACAATGTGAGGAGCTTCGTTGAATTCATCTAGTTCTTCTAGGTCGGCCGATGAAGGCCCTTTCAGAAGGAAATACTGCTCAGAACGTGTTGGCCATAATAAGTGAGCCATAACACAGTAGGCAAAGCAGTCTGCTGAGTAAGTTATACCTAAAAATGGGAAAGTTTTTTCACAAAAAAAAATTAAATGTCCCTACCAAATAAACTCTTACCTAATAATAGTTTGAACCTCCATAGAGCAGAAACATGAAGAGCAATCAGAGCTAAAATAGGCAAGTAGATGAACCAAACTAAGCTTGAGGCACCAAAATGCAACAAGAAATTCAGTTTTTGTGTGTTATGTTCATACAACATTGTTGTGCGTAGTTCATACAAGAACCAAACCATTATCAACGATCTGAACACTATTATTAACCATCCTGGCCACGTCTGATATTCATCTATATCTTCAATTATATCAACTTCAGTCTGAAATTGTTAACAATTAATATTTGATAAATCCTGAAATTTTCAAAAACGAACCAAATTCCAAACATATAGTAATATATGTACAATTCCATATCCCAGCCATATGGCAAAAACTAGTGGTTTCCAAGTTAATTCAAGACGAGTGACAGCCCACCCTTTGGCTAGTAAAAGAAGCAGAAGCATAAACGAGGTCTGTAAATAAGTTTAGGGATAAATATTTGGTTTCGAATTTTCGGTATGTATAAGTATTTTGTGACTTTATTTAAAAGACAAAATTCGATGTCAAAATTTTGATAATGAACATACCCTGGATAAAATGTCGAAAATATCTCCGGTCATTGCCATTTTTGGAAACCCTTCTCCATCCAAAGCGAATTTTAGAGTATGAATTAGGATTAAACACAAGGCTACAAAATCCAATAACAAACTAGCAGTAAATAATCTTGTAACTGGATGTTTTTGAGTTTTCACTGCATGACACTGAAGGGGCACAAGGACCATGTAGCACAACCAAAACAAAATGTAGAGTTCTAATGTATTCTGTCTATCAAAAGAGAATTGATACGTGAGTGTACTATAAGCAGAGTTGTTTGGGTTTCCATTCACAAGCCAAATATCATATTCTATTTCATATGGTGTGTAGCTTTTATATTCTTGCCATTCACAAGAGGTGGCATTATGAAAACAAGCCACCATAGAAACATACCAAAAACTGAAATATAAAATAATCAGAACCTTCACGTCATACTATAAATCATACTGCAAACAGTTAAGTATATTATTATTGGCAACTTACGATGGTTGCTTAAAGTCTTGTATGACATAAGTGAATTGATGACCGCTAACAACATTCCATGGATTGTCTTCATCTTCACAAAGTTTCCCTTCAGGACATGGTACCTTTCTTAGATAATCTTTCCCATCAACACTACATTTACTATCATAAGTCCTAGTTTTCAAAGTATGAAACATTCGTCTGCAAGCTTCATTTCTGTTATATATGCCCCTGTTCTTGTAGTAATCTAAGAAATACGATCTATCCAGAACAGCAAAAGTAATAGGATACACGAAGGAATTTTTGGAAGTGATATTTCCAAATATGTATCCATGGGTTGCTTCTGCTTGATGATGATCAGTCTTTTGAAACCCGAACTTTATCAAAAATTTAAAAAAATCGTTAGATTTGAAGGATCCTTTCAAGTGCGTGCACTGTCCTATTTGTATGAATGAATAAATTAAAACAGTTATCACTGAAAAAATGTAATTTTTATACATTTTTGTTTGAAAATATGGTATTTCATGATATATACTTGAAAATGTCAAAACAAAGTGTCAATTTCGAATGTCAAAATGTTTTTTCTTTTTCTTCTCAAATATCTTATGCTTGCATTCAGCAAGCGGTTAAATGCGCCTGAACAGGAAGCATCGGCCAATAAAGAAGAACTTCACCATTGAAATGGTAGACGCTAACTGCAGGATGAAATTGAGGCGCTTTTTTCTTCGCTGAATGATTACTCTGTATAATCTAATAATCAACTGTTTTGATTTTGTTTACAAAGAACGAATCTTGATCAGTGATCGTTGTCGAAGTTTGGTATTGCAACTCGTCGTTGGTACTGTTGGTACTTGATATTCAAGGATTGAGTCTTCTGTCGATATCATAGATGCCGTCTTCATAAGAGAAGATATCATCGCCTTTACTTGCTGTCGGAAGTGTATTGAGTGTATTTATAATTTTTTTGTCAATATTGATATAACACCTATCATAATAAATTACCGCGTCTACTTTACTTGATACAAAATGTGCTTTTAAACTGCATTCAGTGCAGCGATTTCCATTTTTTTATGTGCTGGATAAATCCAGTGACTAATGACATTATTGACAGCCAACTCAGAGATTTTGTACTATGATATGTTCTGAAAGAAAACACTTTCCAAGCACTACTAACTGAATTCATAACAGCGAGTGCCTGAACGAATAATTTTTTCTACTGACGTTGTATAATGATTGTGATTGGAGTTCAAGAACCAAAATAGTTTCTGGAGAAAGAAAGCTGCACTATTGGAAAAATTTTCCATTTTCTCATGGTTTTTATAATTTTTCCGATACAATTAAAATATTTGCTGGTTTATCAGCATTTTTTATTTCAGAATCTCAATCGCTCATTGCTTTATTGTTGTAATTTGTTCACTACTGTGCTTATTTACAATAAAAGTTAATAAATGCATTATTTCACGAATTATTTCTGATACTGGAGAATTGTTTACTATCAAACAAAAATATAATTCACATCAATTTCGCAAGCGAACTATTGTTAATTCAATGTTTTCGATAGTAACTTTTTTCAACCATTGACAAGTTGCTCCAAAACTAACGAAATATAATTTTAATCAAAGAAGGGAGCATTGGAAACCACATATCTGAAAAAGATCATGTTTTATGATGCATAAAGTTTCAAACAGATAGACAGTACTCTAGATTTCCTTACAAGGCATACTGCATCGTTCAGGGTTCGCATCTCTGGTTTTATTCTATCGGTGATGAGCGTGACTTCGTTCTTATACTGGTTGGGTGAACCAATGGGGTCGAATAACAGATGGAATAAAACCGAAAATCCTACCCTCAACGATGTAATATGATCTTCTACACACGGTTGCATTGTATAAAATATGCAATGCAACAGTGTGAAATTGATGTTGTTTGCAGACGCTTCTCTGAAGAACATGACAACTGATAATCGTGTTTTGGAATAATAGCCATCCCCGATTTTTGAACTGTTTTTGTTGTCAGATTGACGTTTCATATGTCATGTTTCGTAAACTACATCAGTTTTTTTTACTGAAATTATCAGTGTAGAAGTCATGTAAATAGTAATAGAAAAACCCTTAAAACACTTCAATAATATACCTGCACATGACCCCTGTTATAATGGAATTGCAAGCACAAGAATATTTGAAACAAAAAAACTGGATTCAAGCCATAGATTTATATAACAAACTTCTCAGCAACAAACAGAATACCATTGAACTAATCGTTTCCTATTTAACTGACAGAGCTGAATGTTTCTTGGAGTTGAATAACCACCATGGAGTTATAGTTGATTCAAAAAACATTATAAAGTTGTCTCAAGATCACACTAGCTACAATGTTTGCTTGGCAAGAAAACGGCTGATACATTCTCTTTATATGTTGAAAATGTTTGCAGGTGAAATTTCAACTTCCCCAGAGAAATATATTATTTTTCACTTATCATTAATGCATGCCATAGTTCTTGTTTATGGGTAAATTATTTTTTGTCTTACATTCTAGAAGCAGATATGGCTGCTAGAGATTGGTTAATTCTCATACAAGAATCTGACATGAACACAGAAATAAAACCGGTCTTAGAGAGTCTTCTAGGAAATTTTATAAATTGTATGAATCCTAAGCAGAAAACAATAAATCTATTGAAAATTTTGGATGCAAATTTCACAAATGCGTTCAACATCAATTCAAAGGTAATTTTTCCAACTCCATTTCAATTAAAAAAAAAATATTTCTTTGTGATATTAGCTGATAATGCAAAGTAACTTGTATTGGTATATTGGCAATGCCGTCTTAAAAGGTTAGGAAATATGCTTTAAAAAAAACAATATTTTTTGTAATATGACAGGAAAATGTTGCTGTCTCAGTGGGTCATATTTTTCTTATCTTTTTAAATGAAGAAGTTGAGTATCTAAAGGTATGATATATGAATGATTTTCTTTCCATAGTTTCATCCAAAACTTTTTTTACCATTATCATTCTAGATTGATAGACCACCTTCTTTGGTATCCTGCATTTACTGCAATGTATCCTTTGTGGACAAAATGGAACTTCGTACACATTGTCAAACTGAAACTCATGAAATGATGATAATGTCTGATGACGGTCATGACTGGTATTGTCGACCACCCCCTAGGGGATTCAAACCTGATAATTACATTATTTGTGAGAACTTTAGAGAAACAGGATGTTGTCGCTTTGGAGTACAATGTGTCCAAGCACACGGAGAAGAGGAACTGATGGAATGGAAAGAAAGATTCCATTACAGAGAAATGAGGTTGCAGAGGGCCAGAGAGAAGGAGTTATTCGGTAAGATTTTTTTAAATCAACGTGAAAACAAAATACATGGTATTGATAACATTGATTCTATCAATAATTTTGACAGTCAATCTAAAATTTTCTGTTCCCCCACATTATTCTAATCGAACGATTTCGTTGATGAAGAGTGAATGAAAAGTAGCAACTGAAAGAGGAATGGTCACTCTAGAATCGGAATCATAGCAAAACAAGCATCTAATATTTGAAATGTTACTTTTATAGTAAAAAATAATGACAAATGATTTCAAGTTTTCATTTTTATAAGAGTCAGCGATCAACTTTCCTTCGTCCACAAGGTGATTATAAATTGTTTGACTTGTTATGCATACACTGTATTCTGTATCTTATATTGGTGGATAAATTTATTCTATTCTGTTTCATTATTAATGCTCCATTTCTTAGCAACAGAAGATTCCTGTTATATTTTGAAATATTTGTTCAAGATTTCTATATCTTCAATTTATCACATTACTGAGAAATTCATAAAAAGCACATTGGGGTTTCCACAAACATTTTTTGTTTTTGTATAACTCAATTAATTGAGACGTTTCTCATTCATACTTTCCATGCTAATCCAAATTAATCATCAAAAAGACAAGAAGTGTCAGAACAATAAGTTTATTCCATGAAAACTGAGTGTTTTAGAGTGTGTCTATGTCAAGCACTAATAATCTGATTGCTAATTTACAACAAACACAGTGGAGCAAGTGCAAACAAACAACTTTTACACTCGTGTTCGATTCACATACAATAATTATTTCAAACAAACGTTTTATGTACTTTGAGTCAGCAAAATTTGTTCATCACTTTTTTGGTATTTCTCATTTCATACTTTCAATCTTGTTCTCAAGTAACACTTTGTTAATATAGTTAATTTGTATTTTTAGACATGGCAAAGCTACAGTTATGAACTTGGTTCGTAGTTGACTTCAATTTTTAATGAAATTATATTTTAGGAAAATCTTACACAGAAGAAATCTTGGAAAAGTGGGTTCAGTCTCCAAATCCAAATACTCTTATGCGAGATAAGATTGAAGATGTTGATGATCATTGTTCATGCCCTCTATCTGCAACAGTTTCCTCAAAAAATAGTATACATGAATGGATTTTCTACTTGAAAACCAGGAGACCTCTCAAAGCAGTAGCTCTCTTACAAGACACACACCGAAACCACTTTTTCATATCAAGTATACTAATAAAAAATTGTAAAATAGATCTAAAAAATAATCAAGAATGGATATCACCTTTATTACATCAGGAATCCATGTTGCCTGTAGAATATAGAATCAAAGTAGTTTTCACTACAGGAATTTTTGGTACCTTTAGACAATCCGTTGTATTTGATTTTTCATCGGAACCTGTGCTAGTGAAACATTTATGTGTTGATGTAGTTCCAGACCCAGATTTAGAAAAAATCAATGAGATTCGCAAAGAAATCACTGTTTCAATAGCTGAACGTTGGACCGTAGATAACTCTGACATTGTTCAGTTTGTCTCATCTATAGTGAACACTGGTGCTAATGAAGAGTGGGAAAAACGTCTGCGATCAATGTACCCTTGTCCACAAGCTGACACATTTTTCCTGTCTCACGCAACAGTGGCAGAAAAAAAATTCACCAAAAACAATTATAGAGAAAGAATGCACGAACTGCTTTTCATAGAAGAAATGGCCAGATATGAGCTCATTGCTCAATACAACCTGACAACGAAATTACAAATAACCTATAGCTATATTTTATCACCAAATAGTATGGCGGCAAGCACAGCAAAGTTTTCTAATGATGGAGAACTATATGCCTCTGTCAGTCTAGGAAAAGAACTGTCAGAAGATACATCAGAAGGGAGGCTCATTCTGATGCATTGCAATACTGTTTATTTATGCCTCTCTGTTTATGATCCACATCATAGAAAAAAAGTGTATGAAGCCCTTATTGAAGATAAGGGCAAGAATAATATTTATGTGAGATTATCAGCCCAGACTGTAACAGAAATGAGGTAAATAAAATTCTGATTATTATAAATACATATTTCAACAGGAATTACTCCAGCTGTGATGAGGAAATAATACAACTTTTTTTCAAGAATGCAAAATTGGTTAACAAATTCCCGTTCAAGAGAACAATATTTTTCATTTGACCATATTTATCTTTGAATTCAACAAATATTCTCAACTTTCTAATACCTTTTCTTCCTACTACTTGGGAGCCTTCTGACTTTCCATTTCTTCCAAGACCTTGGAAAACACTATGACCTCATGGGTTTATTGCGTTTTTCCTCTTTTTTTTTTTTTCATAACATCCATTCTGACAATCTTATTGTACAATTCTCTTGCTAGATGTATGTCGAATTCGTCTGGACATAATTTGGGTTGTCCATGTATTGTTGGCCTCCTGTGATCCATTGCCTAACATTCGCAAATATGAGGAGCTGCCACTAACCCTTTGTTGCATTGCCTTACTTTGTTTAGGTGTCCTCTCAGACAGTGTCCAATGAGTAGTCTCGTAATTGTTCTGAGCCGATTTTCAGTTCTTTGCTTGGATGGTCCCTTGTGTGTGTGTGCCTGGTATTTTTTGTATTTCTTATAGACTCATTTCCCACTCTGGTTCAGTAGCAAAGATTTTGGTACTCCCAAAGTTGGTTTAGGTCGTATATATGGTGTTGATGATCCATGTCTAACACATTCATCAGCTTTTTCATTACCTGAGTGTTCTGGAACCCAGTATATAAGAGGGTGGTCCCAGAAGTACCTGGCTCAACAACGAAAACACAACAATTTGGGAAAAAAATGTATTTAGTTTTCAACATAATCTACTTGCAGCTCTATACACTTTTTCCAGCACATTCAATAAGTTCGATACCGTTTATATAATAAAAACTGTCTTGCTGCTCAAAATAGCCATTAACTGCCAACATCACTTCATCATCATTGGAAAATCTTTGACCAGTGAGCCATTTTTTTCAAGTTTGGGAACAGAAAATAATCCGAGGGGGCTTAACCTGGTGTAACCTCTGGTGTTCCTCAGGGGTCACACCTCGGTCCCTTATTATTCAATTTATTTATTAACGACATTATTCATTGCTTCCGGCACGCCAAAGCACTAACACCTCTCCCACACATCTAGCTTGAAACCGGCCAACGCCTGTTAACCGCAGATGCGGGATTGGGTGGTTGACCGATAACTTTACTGGGTGAGTGCCGTGTGGTCTGCACAGAGGCACTGTCAAACAACCATAAGAGAGAGACAGTGACCCCCCGCCACTCACCCCGAGGAAACATCTCCTTGCATCATTTTAAAACGCAATTACGGAATACTGTCCTTTTATGTTTTAGTGTATAGTTTATAGTAGTATATGTTTTATTGTCGCTCATTGTTTTTTGTTGTTTTATACTCTAAAATTAACCCCTTTTTAAACTTACCCCTTTTAAGCTATTCTTAGTTGGAATTTGTAATTCAGTACCTTATCTGATTTTATTTTAATTATAATTCAACATTGAAATTTATACTATAAATGGGCTTGCCCGTAAATAAATTAATAAAATGTTCGCAATTGATGGCTGCCAAACAAATTCTTAACAACGCAACTTGAAACATATGCTTGATAGATTGTATACTTTCTAATACAGTAATATTTTTCAAAAAACTACCGCCATCTCTAGGTTAGTTCGGGTACTTCTGGGTCCATCCTCGTAGTTGATCTATTCCTGTCCACCAATTTCCCCAGTTCTTCACGGCATTCCCAGAACAGTCTCGATGTCACTTTTAGGTTCACCAGTATTTCAAGTGCAACCTTACTGTCTGTGAAAATATTTATTTGCTCATTTTGTTGAGGTCTCAAATTGCTCATTGCAAGTTTGTATACACTTCAGCCTGGAAGACTGAACACCTCTCATTCCATATACGGTTTTCGACCCATTGACCCACCCTTGGTTTCTCCATTATTACAATAGATGAAGAAGGAAGATTGAAAGAGTATCTTATACAAAAATGATTCGTTTTCATGAATTCTACAAATATTCCCATATTTCTGATACTTGTCAAGTAAACATTATTATAGTTGTTTGAAATTGTTTTATAAAAATAATTTTTAAAACGTTTCATAGGTTGACACCTGAATCTGATGTAGAAGTTGAAATCCAGTTCCAACTCAACAGGATACCATATTGCGAATGGCATTACACAATTGACAAAATGGCTAGTTACAAGATGATATTTCCTGAAACATATATTGAACCAAGCATACCTTGGTCACCCTCAAGGCAGTGGTCTCGAACACTTGACAGTCGCTTAAATACTAAGCAAAAAGAGGCTGTAAATGCTATTACAACTCCCTTATGTGTTCCTCTACCTCCTATATTAGTTATAGGTCCTTTTGGTACAGGAAAGACTTTCACTCTAGCTCAAGCTATAAGGGAATTGATAAAAGAACCAAATAACAGAATTCTTTTGTGTACGCATTCCAACAGTGCTGCAGATTTATACATAAAAGATTATTTGGATCAGTGGGTGGAGGCCGGAGAAGAAAATGCTAGACCATTGAGAATTTATTATAAGAAACGTTGGGTAACAACTGTAAGTCCCATAGTGCAAAAGGTGAGTAGAAATTTCAAGTATCTCAACACACGAATAGAAAATAATATTATGTTTTCAAACAATTAAGAGGTAGTTTCCAATAATCGATGGTATGTGTATAATTGTTTTATAAAGTGTTCAAAACATTGAAAATAATGTAAAACTAAAGAATAATTCAACTCAATCATTGGTTATGAAATAACATTTCTCAAATTTAACCAATAGTAATGACCAGAATTTGTGTCTAAAATGAAGCTCAAAAGAAACACGTATTGAGAAAACTTAAAACTAGGTTTGCTGTTAATTGTCTATTGTTACCACAAAAGTGATCAAAGAGTGTAAACTTTTATGAAAAGATTTAACTGTGTCGAAACTATTTTCCAGATTTGTTGAATGTTTGTTCATTAAAATTTGGAGACAGTTAAGGTAGGGGTGCTTTGAAGTTTTGAGTTGAAAAATGATTTTTCAAATCCTTCAATAATCTTTGAAATAAAAAACTGCTGTTTCTGAAAATCCCATGCATGAAAGTGATCTTCCATAAAGGTAACAAAGGTAAATTAATTACAGACCCATAGCTTCATTATCAAACTTTGGTAAAATTTATGATAAAATCATATTTTTTAAATTTATATGTAAACAAAATACCTGTATTTTGACAAGATTTGGTACTTAAAAAAAAGTACAAATATCCTTAAGATCAATTAGGTATAGTAATAAAATACTTTGTCTAATTTCCACTTACTTAATGTATTGATATTAATACGAACAAGGTTTCGGTTTTTACACCATTCTCAAGTGTTCTAGCACTTCTAGAGTAGTGCTTCAAAGAACAGTTCGAATCGGGGGAAAAATCTCCCAACATTCTAATTATCTAATTGGAAGAGACAGAAGTTTGTGGAGGAATATTGAAAAATTCTGACAAAAGTTATTTTCTTTATCGTATATTCAATACGAATTTCTACAAAATAAATTAGTCATCAATCGAACAAGTTAAAAATTGATTTAATAGTGCTATGACTATAATGTCCCAATTTTAAATGACAAAAACATACTTTAATGTTATGTTGAGACCCACTGACGTCTGCAGAATGTTTCTGTGAGTAGGGGAGCAACTATGAAAAATCCCAATATTGAATGAAGAATTCATGTTTGTTATATAAAATGAAAACTTCCTGAAGGGGTGGAGTCGGTGACAGACAAACCCCGATATTTATCACAAAAATCCCCCATGGGAAGGGGGATGCCCCTAGTGTCCCTTGTATGTGTGTCCCTTGTATGCTTAGACATATCAAAAACTTTCAACAAGGTGAATCATAGAATAGCAATTGTTATCCTCCTATGGAATCAGAGGAATTATAGGTGAATTGATTAATTCATATTTGCAGACCAGGAGACAAAAGGGTTGTTAAAATATGTCATCTTAGGAAGAGGTCATAATATCTGATACCTCAGATCTCCACAAGGTTGTATCCTCAGATATCATGGTTATCAAAGACTGAAGCGATGCTAATCTCTCATCTTTAAATATCGACAAAACTAATTTGATATCTTTTCGAGGTTATATTGACAACTTTCCAATTACTATCAATGAAAGTGTTATCGAGAATAAATTACAAGATCACTTTCAAGCGATAGATTTTTAGCAACAGTTCAAATTATTTGAAAAACATTTTTCAACTCCTGTATCCTGAACTGTCTTCAAATTCATATAAACTAACATTCAACTTTGAAACAAAATAATATTGTGGAAAGAATCAGAATTTCATGATGGTTAAAGTTTGTAATAATTTCCCAGAATATATAAAAGTTATTCATAAATCAGGAAAGTCGTTATGAAGTATTTCTGTTCTCTATTCCATTAATTGTTTACATTTGTACATCAATAAGCTTCATTTCTTTTTGGAATCGAAACGAATCAATCAATTATACGTATACCTGTTTTAGATTATATTTTCATCCTACCAAGTTTTCTTCTTTCAGTACTGCTTAATCCGAAACAATGGCAATGTCAGAACCTTCGAAATTCCAACCATAGAGGACATCATGAAACATAAAATTATTGTGGTAACCCTATCTACATCCGTTTACTTATCTGCAATGGGTTTACCTCAAGGATACTTCACACATATTCTACTTGATGAGGCTGCACAAGCAATAGAATGTGAAACAGTTACACCTTTGGCTGTGGCTCACGAAAATACTAGAGTAGTTCTAGCTGGAGACCACATGCAGTTGGGCCCAGATATATTTTCTTCTTTTGCCAAAGAAAGGAACCTCCACATTTCTCTTTTGGAAAGATTGTATGATCACTACCCTTCTCAATTTCCTTGCAAAATATTGCTTTGTGAAAATTATCGAGCTCATGAGAGTATAATACAATTTACTTCCGAGTCTTTTTATGATCAGAAACTCATATCCAGCAGCAAACAACCCAAACATTATAAATTCTACCCTCTAACATTCTTCACAACAAGGGGTGAAGATGTTCAGGACAAAAACTCCACTGCTTTCTATAACAATTCAGAAGTTTATGAGGTAGTGGAGAGGGTAGCAGAACTGAAACGTAACTGGCCAAGTGAATGGGGAGCTTACAATGATCAATCTATAGGAGTTGTAACACCGTATTCGGATCAAGTTTTCCGAATACGGTCAGAACTTCGAAAGAGGAGGATAGATAATGTATGTGTGGAAAGGGTATTGAACGTTCAAGGCAAACAGTTCCGGGCTATAATACTGTCCACCGTGAGGACCAGGAAGACGTGCAGTAATGATTCAGGGGGAGCGGAGGTGGATTATGGGTTTTTGTCAAATTCTAAATTGTTGAATACAGCAATCACTAGAGCCCAAAGTTTGGTAGCGGTTGTGGGAGATCCTATAGCTCTTTGTTCCCTGGGTAGATGCAGTAAAGTCTGGGAGAGGTTCATACAAATTTGTAAAGATAACAACAGCTTATATGGAATCACTTGGACACAACTAAAGGTAAGCTTTCGCAAAACATTTTGTGTTTTTGATTCAACTAAAAATCAAACAAAAGAAAAATTCATAAAATTTTGGAAAGATTGAAGAATATCAAAAATATTTTATTTATTTTACTCACTATTCATTGAGAATACTTGCATATAACAGTAAGAATTTAAAAAAAATATCTTTATGCAAATGTCAACTATTTTACCCTGTATTATTTTCATATATTATACAGGGTAGTTCTTGAATACTGATTCAGTGATTCCTTGTGATATTTTATAAATAAAAGTTCTTTTTTAAACAGTTTCAAAACTCTTAGTGTGAGGCTTCATTCCTCCTGCGCATTTTGAAATAAAGCAAAGCCTTTTTGTAATATGTGTTATATGTATCGATTAATATGTTGTGACATTGTCAAATAGAAAAGCGACTCATTTTTCATTAATCAATTTTCTTTTTTAGTTACAACTAGATGGTATTGAACTGAAAAAAATATACACTCTCAATCCATTGGCGCCTGAGTTCATTCCAAGAAAGTACAAAGAAATGGGAATTGTCTCCCACCACATCGGACTAGAAAACAACATTCCCAAGGAAATCGTGCCACCCAATTCGAACATGGTGTCTCAGATAGGACCGCCTGTCGTCCCTCAATTTCCAATGCAAGATATTCGGTTTTATCCACCAGTCGTCTTCGCCCAGCAACCTCGACCATTTTTATTCAATCTCATGCCTCCTCCAATTTCTAATGGTTTCAATCGAGCCGTACCCATAGTAAACCCAAATATGGTGGTTCCACCTCGGCCTCCTGTTTCTTCAATACAGCAACCGCTACACTTACCTAGGTCAGTTCCTGTGCAACCTGTTCCAAATATGGTGGTGCAATCAGAGAACAAGCATACCACCACGCAGTCGAATAATAAGTTGATTCAATTTATGAATAACGTTCACTTCCCCGAAGCAAATGTTCTGAATGACTGTATCAATTTGTTGCCTCAGAGCATGTCACTAGCAGATATGCTACTGCAGCCACCAAACATGCAAGAAAAGTAAGTAATATTTTTATGTGTTGAAAGTTACAAAGAAACTATAAAATGAAAAATCTCCATCGTGAGATAATTTTTTAAGCCAGGTGGGAAGCAAATTGAATGATTTTACCATCATCTGTGATATTTTAAGACATTTTGGATGGAAAAGATTTTATGAAAAAATTTGTAGGTTGGAGATATGGGTATAGTAATANTGACAGATTAGTTTATATATTTGGCTTGCTGTTGATATGCTTACACCTGCTCCCGGGTTTGTAAAATTTGTGAAATGTGCGGCTCTTGCAATCACTTTCTTTTTTTTGTTATTGACGTGGCTGTTGAAATTTAGTTTTACATATAAATTTCATATCAGACACATGAGAACATTCCTTTTTCATCGTTCATTGATTTTTCTGGAGTTTTTAAGAACTTTAACGAATGAAAGTCAACTGTTATGTAGAATTGTGTTTTTTTAGGTGGTACAATTTTCTGAAGGAAACTACAGGAGTTGAAGCTGCCGAAAAGTTCAAGTACCTCCTGCACACCACAAATCAAAAAGGATCAAAAGTAATGGATAAGAACATTTTTGAACGTTCAACTCCCTCATCCTGTGAATCTCCTACTTTCTGTTGGTATGACAGTCCTACCAACCAGATAAACTTCAACAAGCCCGTGTACATGACAGAAAACTTGCCAGCAGACAATGGCAGTATCCAACAAAATGGTTTCGAAAAAGAAACCATAGTAGAAATGAATGGTGACGAAAGTTATATGACTGAAGTAGACTTGCAAAGGCATATAAATGAGGAGTTTGCTAACCTGAATATTAACAACAGTGATGTTAATGAAGTATTCAACGCATTCACAGTAAAAAGTGAACATGGGTTTCACTTGAATGGTGGCAATGATATGGCTGGCCCAAAGTTTTACAAATATTTTCAGTAGATCTTCTATTTATGATTAATGTGTAAATTGTACATAAACTTGTATATTATGTGTTATTGTTGTTTAGTAAGTAGACTTATGTATTTGCTTTTTTTTACTGTATTTATAGGTTTTTCATCATCAACCATATCATCTGACATCATCCCAACACCAAACCGTTATTTTTAACACCTCGACACGTGATTCGATCACCAAGTGATCATCTTCAAGAGGAAGATTAAAACTCCCTTGAAGATGATCTTTTGGTGATTGAAACACCTGTCGGGGTATTGAAAATAACAGTTCGGTGTTGAGATAAAACTCCAGTAATATTCATGGTATAGACTTTGAAAAGAGGATATTTTTAGGGAGAGATTAGATTTTTCATTGAAGTTATTTTATTTCTTCCTGCCTTTGGAAGTTCCCCACATTTTTTGTTTAAAGTAGAAAGCCAAAAAGTTTTTTCTCAAGAAGGTGTCTAAAACTTTCAAAAATTGAATCAGCAAATACACCAAGATTTCTATTCATCTTATTAAACCCGTGACATTATTTTTATATGAGAGTGGAGAATACTGTATTGTACTAGTTAAATTCAGTTATGATTCATTATAATGTGTTTTACATAAATATATGAAAATGACTATTAACAGAGCTACTGATGTTCGCATTGATACTGCTACAAATGAGTAGTAATAAAAAAGACCACTTTATGTAACAACATATTTTTTCATAGACACTCGTTTGAAAGTTAACGAATTTTATTTGCAATTTCAAATTAGTCGCTTGTGGAGATGAGTTATTCTGAATTTCAACTTTAAAAAAATTTCCACTTAGCAACTTTCAGTTGCTGAGCTGATAGTTTAATAGCTTTAGGTACAGATAATTTACTTAACGTAAATTAATTATTCATGTAATAAATTTGGAGTCCTACTGATTTATAAATTAATATTGGTTAAAGTTTTATGAATTTTCAATCAAATGTATAATCAGATGAGAGTTTCTATAAATATTGTGCTGAAGATTAATGTGAAGCAAGCAATCAGTCACTATTTATACTGGTACATGACAGTTTAGAGTTCAATTATATTCATCTTCGACTATCAGGTCTAAAACTTCTAAAGAATAAAAAATTTTAAAAAATAATTCAAATAATACATATAAGGAAATATATGAAACAAACAAATAACTAACTTCATTCTCATATTGATGAATCATATTTAGTAGTAATTTTTATCATTTTAAGAAAGATTTGAAGAATATGCTCATGAGACCCACCCAATTTAAAAACCCTTGTTAAATAAATTTTCAATAATTTTGTAGCAGTAAAGATGAGTCCATGTCTGATTGTTTTCAAGATGATTTCAATTCTCTTTTAAAAAGTAAAAACACTTGTAAAGTTATTTTAAGTTTCTGAGGCATACAAAAAATGTTTTTAATAATGCAGTCAAACCAATCGTATAATACAGTATAGAAAAAAAATATTGTGCATATCGTTAAAGCTGCCAACATTACAAACAAAAAGAAGCCATCCACTCTGTAACCCTGAATTTCACAACTGATTTTGCTTTAAAGGTGAAACATTTTAAATTGTTATTTAGACAAACTAAAAGTTTCCAAGATATTCTGATGGAATAAAGGTAGAATGATGACTTGTCAGTAAAAAAATCGGTCAAATAAAATTTTAAAAACCTTGAGAAAAAAGGTTGAACAAGATGATATTGTTTAGAGAGATTGGCAGACAGAGGTACATTTTTGGGTTTCCAAAATCTACAATTTAAAAATTAAATCTATTATATCTATTAAAACTATAATATTTCCAGATCATTAACAATACAATATATAATCACAGTTCTGTAGTTGAGTGAAAAATTAATCATTTATAAAACATATAATGAATGTTTATATGATACCTACTAATTACATCATAGTTTTCTTACATAGAATAGTTCACCGGGTAGATTGAAATAACTTAGAAGTGTGGTAAGCATACTTTTCCAGCAAACAATTCAGATATTACCGTTATCCACAAAGCTAAAATAAATAAAATGTAAGATATTCCTACCTGATGACTACCTGGAAGCTGGTAAGGTTGGCCACCAATCTCATCCACATGAAATCCCATTGGAAAGATTACCGCAGCCAAACAGAAGAGAACCACTAAAAACAATTCATTTGAATTATTACTTACTTTTCATTCCTTAGAAAATTATTGATGGAAAATATAATTGCTGAATGTGAATATCGTAAAATTCAAATGAGAAACTCCAAACTGGTTTAATGAATATGAGGTGAATGATTTTTTTTAAAGTTACCTCATGAATACGCTGACAAGTTACAATTTTCACATTATAAAATAAAGTTATCAAAGAGGATTTTCACTACATGATAAATGCATCATATGGACTGGAACATCAAACTATTGTAAAATGTCTTTTATATAACAGTACAAAACCTATTAAATTTTGGTAAAACAAGTAGATTTTGGAAAACCATTACAATACATATTACTTCTATGAAATTCATAAATATATTATTGGCATTATACAAAAACAACAGAGTTTAACAATGATGAGTGAATAACTTCTTGTTGGTCATTTAAAATGAAATTTCAATGTTTGTGTTTATTTATTTCCAGAGATACTAGCAGGTTTGATTTTTATCTTTTATTTTCTGTAAGTAATATGTCGTAGTCTTAGTTACTTCTCTAAAAGATAACAAACATAGGTGGAATTGGTTTTCTTTAGTTCAAAACTTCTTTTATATTCGAAGATTCTCTTTTAAAATTTCTGGAAATCCTTCCTAGATAAACGGACACAATCCATATGTTAGTTTGTAGACCCCAGATGTGTTTTCTTCGTCCATGTTTGATGTTTTATTGAAAATAACACCTCACAGAAAAATCATCAGATAAAATGGAAAGACTACTAACAAACGTGGACATTGGTCTACAAATTAACATGTGGGTCGTCTCCAAAAGTTTATATAGGACGGACTTCAAGGCATTATAAAACGAGAATCTTCGAACAAAAAAAAAGTTTTGAACTGAAGAAAACCAATTCATTACAAGCTAATGATGTTATCAAAGTTATGGTTCAGGATTTATATGATAAAATAATGATCCATCACTCACTTGCTGTGAATCCAACCCATCTGGCATAAGGAACAACATTTCGATCCCAATGAGAGGAAGCAAGTAAAATTATTGTAGTGGTAATGCATATGCAGCCAACAAAAATACACACTAATGCAAGTAACCATTCTGGTTGAAGGTCAGGTGTGAAACATATTTGAGGTCTATTATATAATGTCATGCAAGTCCACATTAATCCTAATCTGGTGTCTCCTAGAATACCGTAAATTTGTATTAATATACAACAAAACTAGATCCTATTCAAAGGTTTTTCCATACCGCCTACATCAGTAATTATCCAATCTGGCATAGCTAAACTCACTATTGCAAAAATATCAGCAGCCATGAATAAAGTTCCGGATATAAGTGTTAGTTTATCCATTATTGTGGATTTATATAATTATTCTCCACATGAAACAAATTCAAATGCATTCTTTATTTTTATTTATTTTTTAGTCATTCGAACTGGCACTCAAGTACTCAGTGTTGCCAATGATGAATTGTCAAATTATTATCGAATTATTCACAAGTGTTTAAAATTGACCGGTTTTTGCCAGGACACCACATTTACGAAAAGTCTGCGTTTTCAAATAGAAATGCATGTTAAAAACAAGAAATGTGTTGCGTAAAAAGTCAATCTCCACGTCGATTGATACGAAATGTTCGATAGCTACGTTTTTACTTCTCAAGGCTCAATTTGGGAAAATTTTCCACTTCCACTTCAAAAGCTGCAAATGAGTGAATAAACAGTGAAATAGCTAAAACTCGTGTACAAATAATGTATTTCTGTCCAAAAATTAATGAATATAGTCGTTACTATATATTCGTTCGAAAATATCCTTGTAGGATGAAACCACAGTAACGATAGTCACAAATACAAGTGGTATAAAAACAGAAAGTTTTATTTTCTCATTTTTCATGTATCCTTCTACTGCCAAAATAATTTGGTATGAAATGTGCAGGTAGCGATATTAGAGATGTCATTGGCGCCAACTCAATATAGCGAACGACAAGAGGCGTTTTCTGGCGCTTATGTATTTAAAACGTATTTGTCTGTGATTCAAAAACATTCATTATGGCGTTGAAACGATGACGTCACAACAACTATGATTTGAAACGTATTCATCATGAGCGTGAGGTTGGTTTTGAAATGGAATTTGACGTTGTTACGTCAGTTGTCAGTGTCTGCTTTATTTTAATCATTATAGTTTATAAAGTGCTGAATTTTTTTATGAAACATTTAAAGATGTACAAAATAAAGCTGCAAAATTATTACTTGCAGGAATCCGACTCTAATTGAGGTTAGAGAAAATTGTTGCGTTACTATGGAGTTTTCTTCTTCTTATTTGGGTTGTTACTAGGTTTGGTCACAGCACAGCATAATGCTGTGGTTTGGCTCGATGCCCAGAGCTCCGTCATTCGATGATGCAAAGATTTTCTGTTTGGTGAAAACTTTTAATTGTTGGTTGGCGAGTTGTTATGTTGAAAGTTGGAAACATTTATCCGAATAATTTACAAACGGAACACAAAGATACAAAAGATTTATCTATTTTGTGACAAAGATGATATTTCTCAGTATGTTTGCTATTTATTTCAAAAAATGTTCTACACACAGAAGCACATTTCAGCAAGAGAAAGATTAGCTAAAACTTTGTGATTTCTACAATTTACAGTGATTTTTTTTCATTTGATAACTGGTAATAGGTGGTTGCATGGTATTCATGTCCTGTAGAAGATATTTCTCTTATCAATTTTATATACAGATAATTGGTTTAAGAATTCAAAGAGGTGGCAAGTAGGTACTCGTCAAACTATCTCAAAACTTCTTCAGAAAATATTTTGACCTTCTCTCTTAGACAAAGGTTTCATATACTTATACAGCGGAGCCGTGTTGAAATTAATCGAGTCCCAGGCACTTTGATGTCTGGGTAGGGGATCTTTCCTGTACTGACGAGAGGTAATAACTTAAAACCGCGGTCTGCAGGTGATCTACTTGAATAATTTCAGCATGGCCCTGCTGCTGGATGAAAGAGAAACATCTGTGAGACAAATCTCTCGCATAAATGTCTGTCGAATATAATTCAATATCCAGCGTGGTATTAGCCGGGGAAGTAGTTTTCCCCCAGGAATTTACCAGAACCTACTGTGTAGGCAGTTAGAAGAGATTAATATTTCGAAATATTTATTTTTTTGCAGAGTACCTATGTTTTATTCTCAATTAATTGAAGGTCAGATACTGTAAGATATTTCACTGATGATTATAGTACTGAATGTCCAAGTTAATATATATCTCAAACATTCAATCTGAATTTTTTCCACTGCTACACAATGAATTTGATGAAAAGGGATTCAGACACTCGATGCATACTCTAGCTGTGACACTACTGACGATAAATATACCCTTTTCAATGCCTCGATTGATAAACTGTCACTATTACGCAGAACCACACCTGTGTCTTGGGATAATCTCATGGTTATTTATTTATGTTTCACAAATCTCAACTGCTCATGAAAAGTAACTCCTACGACTTTTATGGTTGTCGAGTATTTTGAGGATCAGTATTTATAGATGAGGTGTTTCATGCTTTATTTATTTTGAAGAAGGAAATAGAATAACATTTGTTACTGTTCAGATACAACCTTTTATCAAAGCACCAATGATATACATTGTCTGGGTCATTATGTCAAGTTTTTCGTCATTGATTATCAATATCATTTACGAATATATTTAGGAGTAATGGTGAACAATGTGACTGACCCCAGCCAAGGAGCTGTTCAGTGCACACAAGGTTAACAATAAAATATTGGATCTACTCAAATGCCTTAGAGAAGTCAGTCTAGATATCATCCACCTTTGCTTCCAAAACATTCAATATTTTTGGCTCATAAATGCAGGATTTGATAGGATAGGACTGTTTCTACAAAATAGCTATCGATCTTTCTCAGCAAACAAAATTTAAGGGATCGGACAATAAACCGTTTAGAACTTTTGAAATGGTTGACATGTTACACACACAATAGTTTTTCATTGTTGCCTGATACTATAGGTACCGATATTATGTAGTTATCATTTTCCTTTACAAAGTTGTCAGTTTTCCCTAAAGAGTTATCGTATACTGTTGAAAAATAACTTTCAAGACTTTTGGCTTTTCGATCATTCTTTGCAACTGAATTATTATAATACACATTGGGAGGTGTGACAGCAACTTCTTTTTTTTTTATATATTTCCAGGAGAATTAATGCTTAATATCAAGAGTGGCAGCCGAACCTTGCGAAATGTCCTTTAGTAATCATGAATATTCTGCCTTTTTTTGCCAAATGAAACACTATAATTCTGAGCTAAACCATCTTGGACAAATAGAAGTTTCAAACATTTTTTAAAATGTTTTTATTAATATAATTGAGTTACTTAATTCTAACAACATAGAGGATATTTAATATTTGTTTTATTGCATGCCTCAGTGTTTCAAGTTCAATTAGGTGAATATTCCAATATGATTTAAGAATACAATCTATCTTGCTATCTATCTAACTGATATATGAAATTTCTAAGATCCCCTTGGAGATATTTCTTTCAAGAACTTTCAAGTTTTCACTGTGAGAGAAATTGTGCAAATTTTATAACATACAAATTTGCAAAATTACTTTCACAGTGAAAACTTGAAAGCTCATAAAGGAACTCATACTGGAAAAAAACCCCTCCATTGTAAAATTTGCACAAAGTTTTTGTGCAAATCTTACAATGGAGGGGGTTTTCTCCATTATGAGTTCTTTCATGTACTTTCGGGTCAGCTTTCTGAATAGAAGCTTTTGTGCAAATTTTACAATGGAATAATTCTCCTCTGTTATGAGAACTCAACAATGTTCAACAGTATTTCTGATTTTTGAAAATTATACTTTTTCCATATGATTCCAGACCAACTTCCAACTTAATTGGTGGTTAAACATTCTGTGCTAGAAATGTCATCACTTTTTTCATAACACGACCATCCTCAACTAGAAACTCTTCGCAAAAGTAAATGTGAAGATGCCTCGCCTTCCTCTTTGATGATTATTTCACTATCTTTTGTGAAATAGCGATGAACCAGGATCTGTAAAAAAAAAGCTGCAAAAACTGCCGTGTTATGGAATATTATTTATTGTTCACTTATCAAATCAGACATATATAATAAAAACTAATACAATTTCCAATATTGCAAATATTCATTTTGGAGTTCCTCAAATATCTAATCTTGGTCCAATTCTATTTTTATTATATGTGAATGATCTAAAGATGCTCTATATATCAAAAACATTTATATGTTTGACACGATGGATATCTGACTCTGCTCAAGAATAGTATAAGTTAAAAGTTGGCTAACTTTTCAGGTTCATAAGTTGAACAACTCAACATGGTACATGAATGCCTTCATTTAGCGATAGCGTATATTGCCTTTGAAAGACCTGAATATCAAGACCAGGAGATTGTTGCATGGGCCCTTGCAGGAGGCACACAATGTTAATATAAGTTGACTACAAGTCCACAATTAATGTCACCACTAAAGCTACAGCTATCTACTTGTTACATGAGGATACGATTATAAGTTATTTATTTAAATGACAGAAATTACCTGTTGTTGTTGTTAGTAGGATTGCCAGAAGAGAAATAGTTGGAATTCTCAGTCACCTCACCTCCTACAAAACTTGACTGCTTGCCCAGACCACTAGATCTACCATAAGTACAGTACTAAAATTTCTGTTGACCCACATTCGGATTTTTCCTTCTCAATATCGCTTCCTTGCTTGCTCTTTATGATTTTTACTAGGTTTTTACCCGTTTTTCAAGAAATTCAAGTGTTTTATGCTTTTAACATTTTTCTGATATACCTATCCATTGATATCCAAACGCATCCACAATACTTTGAATCCTTCAATTTTTACATGCCTATAAATTTTATATAATTCTGTATATATAGACTTATTTACAAATAAAAAAATAATAAGTATATATCAATTACATGGACATGACACATACTACGTCACTGAACAGTTGCCGGCATCAATTTTCACCGGAAGCACACCACAGAACACAAGTTTTCGAGGAAATCTATTTAAAAAGACTACGACTTTAAACTCAAAATTTCGGCTTCAATGTCGACATTTCGGCTTCAATGTCGACATTTCGACTTTAACCCCGAAATTTTGAATTTCAGAGTCGTAATTTATAAGAAACATATAATAAAAATATGTGGCCCTTCTGCGCTTCTGTAGATTACAGTTTCGAACCAGAGTTTTTGGCAAGTGGTAATCAGCTTTATGGTGGACTGCCAATTGCTACTCTGAAAGGTTTGAAGTTGAGATGATGACATGCTTCAAATTCGATTAGGTATACTTTGTTCTGTTATAGAGACAAAATATTGTTGTTGATGATAATCACTTTGAATAATTGTGCAATGGATTCTAATTCCGATTCAAGTCTTGATTTTGAGATTCAGATAAGCACATAAGAATATTTTTAATTGACACCACAAGGATGGACTAGTTAGGAACTTTCCTCTCTACTTTTCAAGGTCACATTGAAGTCCAATATCTCCGTTCTGATTGTTTACTTCACAGAACTCATAATTAATGAGTAATAATAATAAGTAAGCAGGAATAATCACTAACACCAGAGGCCTTTGGTGAGTGGCGCCATCACTTACCCAAGCAACTAGGCAAAACCGGACCGGCAACCCAGGCACACCCGAAAGGAAAAACATTACTCCCCCTCCGGTGTCGGCTGTGAGTCAACAGGGTTAACCACTCGGTAGACCCAAAATATGGTTTCCTGTAATAAAGGAAGGGGTCCCTACAATCAACCCACTAGGTGGGGTACGAGACAAGGTGGTGCGCTCCACAGAATTAGGCCGCTGGAGCTATGAGAACTGGCTTGTTTTGATGCATAGGTTCATAGTTTTCTCACAGAAAAGGCTGACATCTGATATTTCATTACCATCTATATTTGATTCATATTTCACTCGGAAATATTTCATATTTCACTCGGAAATAAGTCTGAAATTCATAATTATTTTACATTTCTTTTATTACAGTTTGAATCTACTGCTACTCGTTTACTAGATTCTGTATACTAACCTGTCTATTAATTCACTTTTTTTCCAGTTACTTTTAAATTACGGCATGCAAGCCAACGTTTTGATGTTACAACATTGTTATCCTTTATAGTTGCAAATTTTAGTTTTGCTCCAGGAACATTTTCTTCTGTTAAAAACATTATTTTTTAATTGTACTTTACCATATGTTTATATGAGGATTAGGCAGTGTTTGTCCCTACCGAACTACTAGCGCTGCTAGTGAGTTATTTTTCATACTTCAGGAAAAAGGTTCATTGGAAAGGCAAAATCCCAGCCTTGCGGTTTGGAAGATTGAACGGCAGATACACAAGATGATCACGTTGGCGAGACAACACGCGTCTCGTATCCAATATGTAATGGATTACAGGTACAGGGCGGCCAACAGACCTTTCACACCCGCAGTGCGGAATTAGTCGCCAAATTATGACGTATCCATCACACTTTGAGTCAAGGCGTGCTGACCACTAAACAGCACTACCATGATAGGATACGAATGCCAGTGGCTGCTAAGAAGTCATCAGTGAGGCAAGCGAGAAGTATGGAGGAAAACCAGCCTTCGCCTGTTGAGAATAATCCACCGACCGCTAATCAGGTGGAATCCTTCTGAAAAGACATCTATGAACACCCGCAGCTATTCAACTTAGACACTCCAGTGCAGTTCAAAGCTTTCATCAGAGAACTTCAACAGTCTGAACTCAATGAACTGCGCAACCTAGATGACGGGTGTGGGTTCCAAGAACTTTTCTGCTCCGGGCCCAGATGGGCTGAACACTTATTGGTGGAGAAAACTACCAAGCACACACCGCCATCTGACCAGAGTTTTCAACTCATGGCTGGACGGAGAGCATCCGGTTAATGAATTGGTTTCCCGAGGGACAGATCGTTCTCGTCCCTAAAAGCGAAAATTCGTCGATTCCTGAGAATTACACACCAATAACATGCTAACGGTACATCTCAAAATATGACGATGCGGGGACTATGGAGAGGATGTGCAGCTCATAGATGAAAGCATCCTGCAACATCTGAATGCCGCAGAGACGTATACTCACTTTGGGGTGGAACAACACCACTTATAAGAGGTAATAGATGTGAAGAACCCTCTCCGCGATAAGTACCATCACAAACTCCGACAGATCTGTTCATCGGAAATGTCAAGGAAGAACAAAGTCTTTGTAGTAAATATGCTTGCCATTCCAATCTTATTCTACTTGTTCGGAGTAGCAAAAAGGATCCGAGATGAGCTGTATCAACTCGACGTAAATACTCAAAAAATGATGCATCTCGATAGGAGTTTGCATCCCGAATCGTCTGTTTCACGGTTGTACTTCCCCCGACAATAGGAAGACTGTGAATTTTTGAATTGGGAATGTTTACATGATGGAATGGCACTGGATGGAACCTGTATAAAATCATCAGGAGTACGCATCTCCTTCTCTGCATGGTCCACGACCGTGAGAGAGCAGAAATCAGAGTATTTCTCTTTAGGGCAACTGCCAGAGTGGCTGATGAACTCAGTTTAAATTTCGACACTGATCAAGGTGATAACAACTCTGTCACCAAGTTGGAACCCGTGCAGCAAAAGGTCCATATAAAAGGCACAGAGATCACTTCACTCCTGCGGCAACATAAGGATAAGCTGATGCATGAGGTTTCCTTCAACAATATTAAAGACCTCAGCTTATCAAAGCTCCTGACCTTCGCTTACATCAGGTCGAGTAGAGACACCGAAGGGTTCATCATGTCCTACCAGGATGGTGTCTTCAGCACCTTGGTCTAGTCGTGTGATGGGTGTAGAGGTTCCAGATACCAGGTGCAGGGCCTATCACAAGGCACCTGCAACCTTATTGCACTTACTGTCAGCATGTCCAGCATATGTAGTCTCAGCCTATATTTATCAACATAATGTAGCCCTAAGAGTGCATTATTGCCACCTACGGCACTTTTACGGTATTGACAAGACACCGGTGTTGCCCTACGCTTCAGAGGATATTGAATCCGTTGTGGGGAACAAGAAATGCCGCATTCATTGGAATCATTAGTTCCCTACCCTCAGGCTCATGTAAGCTAATGAGCCTGATGTAGTTCTTCTCGACCGTCAGATAATTGTCCTGTAGTTTTTCTCCTGACCAGAGGACTATCTTCCGAAAAGAGGAGAAAATGGATAAAATATCGAGATTTTCTTATCGAACTCCACAGAATCTATTCAGACCACTCTGACAAAATGATTGTTTTGATTATTGGAATCCTTGATGTAATGATGCCCTCTCGACTCTCGAATCTTAAGATCCTGTCGGCTTGCCATACTAAGCTTTGACTTATGCAGGAGGCTGTCATTCTTGGGTTACTGAATTTGCTTAGGGAACTTGATTCTCGGACCCAATGATCACTTACCTCTGGTGTTGAGAGTGGTCATTGGCTGATAATGCACCCTCCTGAATGTATCGGAGCTTCGGGGATTAGGGCACGACTAGCTCAACCTTAAGGAAAAATAATAATAATGATGTCTTTTATTGAGAGGAAAAAATATCGGTACCTATCAAGGGGCAGGATTCAATAGAACAGACGATACAGAGATTTATGAAATAAACGGTCCTTTTTCCTCCATCCGAACTATATCATAATTATGAGTTTTGTGATTTATCTTCTGCTAGGTGAAACAGTGACACTAGTGGCCAGTGACAAGATGACAAATATGATTCCTTTACTGTGCCCTGAGTGCTTAATTTCTTTTCCTTAGACAAGTTTAAGTTCTTTTCTTTATGCGACAAGACTGAAAAAATTGAAGAAGAAAAGAAGAAGACAAGTGTAATCGAAGGGGAAAGTGAACTGAAGTTGAATAGTATTCAGAGATCACAACAACTTGTCATAGTATTTAGTATTTGTTTTATGTCAAGGTGTATCTCTGTGTATACAACAAGACTATTTTATTTGAGGAACAGTTTTCCTCTTATATTTTTAATGTTCTGGAATAAATCATTTACCCATTCGAAAAATGTCCAATTCAAACAATAACAAGACCAAAAACTGGTTGTCTCGACTAATGAGAATTCCAAGGAGATCTTTGGAAAACTTGGAAAATAGCAATGACCAGGAAAGACCCATAGTTTACCGTAGGGGTGTCTCTGTGTATAATGGTGATAGTTCAAGTCATCAACCTAGAACTTTGAATAGTTTCAGAAGGAGTATCATGAAAATGCATACACGCATGAAAAATGCTTTTAGGCATAATAATTCTAATTCTAACACCACCAGACATACACTACCAATTCTACCGATTACAAACAATTTAGCGTCACCCTCTCACTCGCAAATAAGATATTCAGTCTGTTACCCAATTATGTGCAGTTGATGTGCTTCTAAGAAATAGATGGAAATTTGACATTAATTTCTTTATAAAAATATTGAGAAAATTAATATTTCGTATATGAAATTCAAAAAATTCACCCCTCTCTTGGAATGTAAATGTCTGTCCTTAATATAACCATCAGAGTTATGAAAAAAAATGATAATTTCAGAATTATTTATTGTCATTGTCAGTTCATCAATATCTTCTTTTCTCTGTTAGTGATAAATTTCATTATATAATTTTACATCCATTTATTCTAATGGTTTGTTTGGAGAATCTTGACAGCTGCAATACGAAGAATATGGAAAACGTCATTGAAATATGCCATATCTTGGATGAAAGTATTCATTCTTCTCTATTGATTTCTGCCAATTCTTCACTAATTTCTCGATAATTTTATAAGGTTAAATGAATGATTAGTTCACTAGGAATTCAGAAAATTCTTGATTAGATAAAAGGGTGATGATAATGGTTTTATTCTGTGGTTTTCTTTTGTGGTTAAACATGTCATTAAAGTTTCTCATGAATGAATTGTTGATTTAGGTTTATTTTTAAAATTTCAATAAGAAAGTCACTTCTATTTTTAGTTATTGTAATAAATGTAAATGTATTTTCAATGCAGTCAGCAAATATTATCTTAAAAATTTGGTAAGTTTTCTTGAAACCTCAAATTGGATATAATTTTATCAGTCGTTCCTGATATCGCACCATGCTTTTGCAAAATGAACATTTAGCAAACCAAACTTATCTAAACAATGTTTCAACTGTTGAAAAAAAAACAGTTTGCTTTCTCTCTAGGAGGTATGACTTCAGAACAAGAAGACATTTATTGGAAAAATCGTAATGCTCTAATTTATGTGAAAGAATATCCCAAAACTCATAGTCAGAAGCCTTCGTTAGGTCAAAGAAGATACTAACAATGTATTCTTCATTTTCGAATCCCTCTTCAACTGTGGAGATTAGGGTAATAATTGCATCTGTTGTCAAATGTGAATTCGTATTGACAAATGTTAAATACAAAAACAAGCACTTTTCAAGACATGAAGTTTTTGTATTGTTTTTCTGGTGATTGGGAAAAGAGCTTGTTTTTGGATTTATTCTAGCCAAAGGTTCCAATTTTACTTTCATTTTATGGATATTAAATAAATTATTTGACTCAAAAAACCTACTATCCTTTTCTTCAAAGCTTTTTTGAAAGACTGCTCAAAATTGGACTGATAGCAATCAGTTTCAAATTATTGCAACCATTGTTCTTCTTAGGTAGGAGTAGAAGTTTAAAAGCTTCCGGTAATACTGAAAACTTTAAACAGAGATTCAAATGTTTAGTGAGTAGAACTGCAATATGATTTCTTATGCATTTCAGAATTTGACAGTTCATGACATATACATCACTGCATTGTTAATTTTTCAGCTGATACATAATATCTCCAATTTCTATGAGAAAAATTAATTCAAGGTAAAAACAATCTCCCTTTCAATATCAGATCTGTTAAAATCTGTTTTTCTTTCAATCATAGTAATCAACATTACTGTCAGGAAGTTCATTACCTCACTCCATATAGTCATTATAACTATTGTATAATAGTACTCTTTTCCTACTATCAAATCGATCGTTCTGTTGCCAGATAACTCTTGGGTCACCAGCCAAACATTCAGAAAACATTTATAGTTTGGAACCTACGAAGAAAGTATCAACTTCACCACAACTTGGGAATTCCATTCCAAGGGTATCATCAAGGACAAATTCAGTAAGTGAAAATGGACATGAAATCACACAGTATTTATTTTCTCTGAAATTCAGTCGTAAAAATAATTTATAATCCAGGACTGCTGCTGAGAAAATTGCATTTTGACTACTGTTCCTCAGTCCTATATTTTTTCAACTCAAATAAAATATTTCGACTACCGAAATTGCAGAATCGTTGCTACAGAAATTGCAGAATGCTATTCATTACAGTGGTTTTCTGTTATCACAAAGACTGTTAAGCTTACAATAATATTCATATTTAAAATTCCTAATAATCCAGCCCCTTATTATTTTCAATAACGCCCATTTTCTAGTATGGACGATTATGCATGAATATTTATTATATTCCTATCACATTCAACGGGTTCAGGCTCTACTTCCTTGAGACTTCTCCTTTTAAGTGAATTTCTGCAAATGGTTTCTTCAAAAAGTTACCGAAAATCCTTCATTTGACAGGGAAATTTTATTCACTGACCAAGCTAGTTTTACTGAAAACAGGATGGAAAATGTTTGTAATAATCATTTTTGGGCTGAGGAAAATCCACGTAATCGTGGAATCTCATCAGAAGAGGCAGTTCTCATTTAATGTCCGGGCTGTAATTATTGGAGATTTACCTAATAGGACTTTTTTTAATAACGCTTTTTCAATGGACATACTTATCGCCGATTTCTTAAAGATAATTTTCCAATTCTGACGAATGTTTCTATTTCAATGCGAAATCCCATGTGGTTTATGCACGATGATGCACCTATTCATTTTAGTGTTCAGGCATGCGAATATTCAAATCAAAACTTTCATAACCGCTGGATAGGTCAGAGGAATAGTCATGGCCAGCTAGATTTCCAGACTTGAACAGTCCTGACTTTTTTTGGGGATATATCAAAACTCTGGTGTACAGTCGACAAATTCAAACTGGAATGTTCCAAGGAGTATGTGAGTCAATGAAATGGAGAGCTGAATCTTGCATACTCACAGGAGGCGGTCATTTTGAACAGTTGATTTGATTTTGGTATTTTTTGTTTATGATAGTTTTGTTTTTGAAAATAAAAAATGTATTTTTATGAGTACTATTACAAAAAGTAAATAATTAAAAATAGTATTAAAAATAAAAACTTATAAAAATCTCAAAACTCATTAATATAGTTTATTTTATGATTGTCACTATAAAGAGTTTTACAAAAACCGCGACACGTGTTTCGCTATACAATAGCTTTCTCAAGGCTTTATAGTGAAAATCATACATTAAACTATAGTAATGAGTTTTGATACTTCGGGGTTAGATTAAGTNTTTTTTTCAGTTGCAAATTTGGCAGCATTTGAGAAATTGTAAGCAAACAATTCTGTTATTTCATTTAGGTCTGTAATTTCTTGATCATTTTTTAAAATACTGATAATTTTGTTCGATGATCTACTCTTCCTTCCTAGTTCATTATTTATAATGTTCCATGTTGCTTTGGTCTTATTGTCTGCATTCAGAATTTTGTTGTTGAAATAATTGATTTTAGCCTCTTTCAAGTTTTTTTTATGTTCTTTTAAACTGTTTTGATATAAAGTTAAACTTCTGGCATCTGCTTCCTTAGAAGCTTTGATATTTCGAAACATTTCTCTCAAATTTTTTCCCTTGTGGATAATATCATTTGTAACCCAGGATTTAGAATGATTTTTTACAGTGCCTCACTGGCTTTATGTTTCACTACTGCTGATTTGTCATTATGCTAGAGGCAATTCCAATAAGAACGAATCCAAGCCCACCACCGAAGGAATAAAACCGGTGACCCGAATCATTTTTTTAAGGACAAAACAAAAGTACTACAGGAAAATCCTTAAGGCGCTCCAAGAGCGGTGCCTGTGCGAAAGTAGCGTTCCACGTTGGATGTGAATCGCTAGAGATGAAATTCATTTGAAAAATTTACATTGTTCTTTAGAAAGTTTATTCCACATAAACGCAGTTCTCCAAATGAAAAAGTTCTTGAACAGTGAAGTTGAGGTGTACTGAGTTGAACCTTAAATTGATGAGCAACCACAGTGTTCTCGTATGTACCGCTCTTGGTGGATTTAAATGTGCCACTTGAACACTTCCCGAGATAGTATCTATAGAAGGATAATTATAATAATGACTTCTGCAGTTGAAGACGAAACACGGCCTACAAACTCAGAAAGTAGCTTGCACAGATAAAAAATACCTTGTTACATGATATAATAGGTCCGATTTATATTTGAAACCATTAAAAGGTGATTTATTTGAAACAATTGAAAAATTCTACTTTCTAGGTTCTACAAGAAGAAAATATAGATCCCGCTCCTTTAATACCACCCAGAAGAAGGTACTATCCTCAACTGACAGCCGATGATCAAATTAGCAGAGTCCCCAAGAATGAAATTGCAAACCTTTCAAATTTTTATTGGTACTGGGGACCAATATCAAGGTCACAGGCGGAAGAAAGGCTCAAAAGCTCACCAGATGGGGCTTTTCTTGTCAGAGACTCTACATCAGATAGGTAAAAATAATTTCTGCAAATTGAACAGTTTTATAAATTTATTTATCATTTAACTAACTTAAGAAAAAAACGGAAAAAGATAATGAAATGTTATACAACGTGCATAGCAATATTAAAAGTGAATCAACAGACCTTCATTTATCCGTGATGATAATTATACAATTTTCACACAAAATGTTATTAAAAATCGCATTTTGCTACACAGTAGCTTCATCGGTTGGACCAGTCCAACTGATGATTTAGCTTTGTTTATTTTTTATATTGTGTAAGGTTATAATAGAGCGCTTTCGACAGTTGGTAGTACTGTCATCTTCTAGGCACCCTCAAACTGACAGTTTGTAAACATCATTATTATTTTAAATTTGAAAGTCTTGAACATTCAGTTTTTATTTATGTAATGGAATAGGAGATGTAATCTCTATCTTGCCACGCTTCCCCTTTCCAAACCGGATAAACCTGAAATCGGATAAAATCATTGAATAGATTTATTTTCAATTATTTAGTTATCTATTCTTTACCTCGGATACACAATAGTAAACAAGGCCTATAGTTATAAATATAGATAATCATAACAGCAGTAACAGATCATAACAATAACATCTATCTAAAATCTTCGGATATTCATCAAAAATAAAATATTCTGAAAAATCGTTGATCCTGAAACTGTTACTTTTCACAATATAAACTTACTTTTTTAGGTACCTTTTCACTATGAGTTTTCGAAGTCTTGGAAAAATTCTTCATACAAGAATTGAATTCAGCAAATCTGGTTACAGTCTTTTCGACCAAATTGGGTATAACAGCGTCTCTGAGCTTGTTGAAGACGCAATAGTCCGATCACAAAACAGTGTTTATTGTTATACCAGGTATGATCGAGATGAAGTACGTCCGAATTTTCCAGTGAGGCTCACTCTGCCAGTTTCGAGATATGATAAAGTACCCACTTTGAAATATCTCTCCCGATTCATCATACGACAGTCTGTGATTATCAACGATATGGATAAGTTACCATTGCCTGTTTCATTGATTGCATATTTACAAGAAGAAGGACCTTATTTTTAAAGAATATAAAATAGTTAAGTGTCATTTACTTTCTTTTTCTGTTTCAAGTTGGGGCAGTTTTTTCATGTATATGGTTTTTCAGCATGATCTTGTTTTCAATGTTTCTTCGGTAAATGACTAGAAGTGAGACAATATTCAAATCACTTCATTCTTTGGAATTACAGAATTTTCTCTGAGAGAAAACAAAAAGGTTCAAGTTTTAAACAAAAGGTATTAGCACATTAAATTTTTCCCATTTGAGTTTTTGAAGTTAAGTTTGTTGTTCCTGATAAGAATAATAGAATATTCTTTTTTGTGAATATAAATTATGATTTGTTTTATTCTCNCTATGTTCTTTTTATTCTCATAGTCAATATTGGAATATTACAATTAATCCCTTTTGATTTTAAAAAAATTGCACATATTAAACTCAAAAACTGTATTGAATCTACCATAGTATAGTTCAAACTGCCCCAAAAAAACACTGACATCAAAGACAGATTGATCAAAATCGCCCTGTTTTATTGATACCTATATACAGATAGGTAACTGCTTTTCATTTGAATTTTCTTATTTATATTTATGTATTATATACAAAAGTGCACTTAATAGCTTTAAATAAAGGATCTTTAAAGAAGAATGGTAAGTATATTATATAGGATTATAACTAATTGTTTATTTGGAAACCAAAATTATTTTGTTGTTCATTATTTTTTTTATTTGAATTTATTACTGTTACGTTTTGTTTTGGAGACCAATTTGATTTTGAAGTAAATTTAATTACATGTGATTGTATTCTTTATTTTCGGAATATTGATACTAATTAGTCTTGTTCAACTTGCATAGTAAAACATCAAAAGTGACATCAGAGAAAGGATCAGAATTGAGAATACAAGTGAGTTTTTCAATTAAATTCATGTTTGTCTTGGTCAAACATTTTATCTAATGCTTTCATGCAATTGTTCCATTGTTTATTAGTCTTGTTCAACTTGCATAGTAAAACATCAAAAGTGACATCAGAGAAAGGATCAGAATTGAGAATACAAGTGAATTTTTCAATTAAATTCATGTTTGTCTTGGTCAAACATTTTATCTAATGCTTTCATGCAATTGTTCCATTGTTTATTGGTTAAAGTTTATTGAAATAGAACTTGCAGAAAATTTAAATTATTGGCAATAATTCGCATAAGAGGTTCCTTCGAAAAATGACGTTAATATTTAGTATTATGCATAAAAGTCATAAATCCAGTATTTGTGAGTCCTTAACAGACTTGATTCATGGTGGATCCAAATTTTCATAAAGTTATTTGATTAAATTAGTCAATATTTGATGAAAGTTCATTATGCACTTATTTAAGAACAATTGTGTGATTTTCATTTTTTCAAATTGCACATATTCCACTTTACAATAACTTCTTCAGGTACCTGAGGAAGCTTCAGTTGCCTCAAACTATTTTATTTTTTATTTCATATTCCTGGTTATGCTGCTACATTTATTCAAGCACCACCAAACTATCCTTAGCTTTTTCAGAGTTATTACTCTTTAAAATTGGTATGAGGACAATCTTATTTCCTGTCATTTTAATTTTTTTCCTCTTGAACCCTTCAATTTAATATCTATATCATGGGGTCGTAAAAAACAAAGTGGCATGATGTTTAATTTCCGTATCGTTTCTGAAACCTTTTCACTTGATACCCATACCATTGGCGTGCATAAAAAAAAAAGCTAGTCCGCCATGTTGAATGTAGAATGGATCCAGCCACCTAATCATGCATCGTCATCCAAATAACCTTGTATGCAAAATTTCAGCTCAATCGGTTAAGAATAACTCCTTTAAAGTTCAGTTGCAAAATTTGACCCGAACTAACATACCTACATTGCAAGTTAAATGAAATTTTGGCAAAATAAAGTGAAACTTCTAAGAAAGTTGATTTTTTGGCTCTTGTTCTGACATTCATCATGAAAATTGACATGTGACAAACTTTCTGATTAGTAAACTGCCAACATATGAAAAATCTTGATAAATTTTTTATATTTTGTTATGAATAGGACATGAAGTAACCGAGTTTGAGCAATAATATATTTTGAATATGAATTGTAAAACAAGACCTAAATACAATGAAGGTCATTAGAGAGGTAGTACTTTTTGACATTTTGTTAGCTTGACAATTTAGCGACAATTCTCTGTTGGGCAGTGTTATCAGAAATTTTGAGGAATGTACTTTTACTAGTGTAGAAAATTAAAAAAGCTATTTAAAATTAGAAGCTCAACTAGATATAGTAGAATCAAAAGTCATTGACCAGGTAGTCCACTCTGGTTTGAATAGATGAAATGCTGAACATATCATTTTCATTTGTACAACTACTTAGAGAAGGAGTAGGATATATATTTTCAATGGACACTTCCGTGTTGAAATTTTCACCGGTTGATGCATATGTTGTGAAACGAAATTTTCCATTCCTTCACAGAACAAACCATATACGATTTTATTCTTGATGACCTTCATGACCTGTTCTTCATTTTGATACCACATGACTGGGAAATCCTTCAGAGAATTTTTACATTTTCACTGTTATGAATTATAAACACATTTTAGGAAAGTGTTGAAAAAGACTTAATTAAAAAAAGAACAATAAACAGCTATTTTGTAGAGTCATATTCATAAAAACTTATACAAAAGTTATGTAAATATTAGAGACTATGTTGCTAAGAAAATCGTTGAATGATATATAAAAAATAAATGTATTAGAAATGTATAGTTATTCCACTTGTTAAAAGTATATATAGATTTGTGATAAAAGGTTTTGAATAAAAAGAGATCTTTTTCATTGTCTATTTTTTATTAGGTATATTGTATATTATATTTAATAATAACACAGCTGAATACAAGGTATCTATGAATACCTCATAGTTTCGTTGGTGAAAATATAGTACTACCTATTCCAGTTAAGCCCAAGTATATTACGAGCCTGAAAAGAAAACAGATTCAATTGAAATAATTGATGATGGTTTGGTTATCCAACCGATATCACATGTTTTTAATGGGAAAGGGAGCAAAAATGACATTTGATATTAATGATGACATTGACTTTCTCTGATTTCAAGCAATGGGAAATTCAAAATAAAATATGACATTTCTTCAGAGCAGTAACTTACTGTAATAAACACAGACTGTACTGTTTCCTTGGCAGATTGACTAGTGACCTCGGACTTGCACAATAAATCATGTAACTGCACTGCTTCTCCTAGACGGCGGTTCAAAAAAGTCCATGTGTTTAGGAATTCATCTGACTTATCCTGAATCATGTACAGTTCTGTAGCTTTATAAACTCCAGCAATTCCTATCCTCCTCAGATACCAGTTGAACTACCCAAAAAAAAAAAACAAATAAAGCCTTTCAAAAACTGAGAAGACTTTAAATAGTTTTTTGACAAGAAATTTTATAACTTAAAACCTTGAGGAACTTTTAGCTTGGGTGAAAATAAGCAGATAAATAATAGAAATTTCAGTGTCACACAATCCTTGGTATAGCAACGTTGTTGAAACAGCAAAGATAGCTTCTCAGAAGTTTGAAAAATTATTTTGAACTAGAAAGATGTACTAGTCTCGCCACTTTGAATATTTCATAAAGCTCAAATTACACCTTTATTGGAACAGAGGTTACAATAAAAGGATCTCCCCCCCAAACGTACTCGAAGGATGTTCTAGGACACTATTCAAAAAAGATCAAATCAAACACAAGCACAAGGTACAATTGGTGTGATATCTACTCCAGTGAACAGAACAAAAAACATTTGGAGCAACATTACAATCTTTCAAAATTAATTGTTTAAATCAAAATGATGTGGTTTAATACAGCAATACCAGTAGTATGAATTTTTTGTGTATACATATTTTTTTATTTCCGTTTAATTTTATTGTTTTACAAAAATTGAAATTGAAAACTGCAAAAAAGAGTTTTCTGTCGAAGAATAAAAAAATTATGTAGTTTAAAAATCTCTCTGAAATTAACCTGAATATACTAAATGAAGTGTTATTGAATGACAGATGTCAACTCAAAAATTGTGATACTTTTGTTTATAAGGAAAGTATTTTCTTCTATGAATAATGCTCAAAAATATTTGGTTATTGACTATTTGTGTCAAATCAGTAATACACAACATTCATTCCAAATAATCGAAAGTATTCCTCCAAGCTGTTTCTGCTTATTAAAAAGATATTGCTGATTCAAAATGACTTGACGAATCATTTATTACATTTCTATATTCATGTCAATATTGATTCTCAATACAACAAGAATATATGGAATGTTGAAAATTCTGACTATGTAATTATAGAACTTACGTCAACTGATCTATCACCAGCATAATAACAAATGTCATCTACCATGGTCAAGAGTGTTGCTAAAGAATTTGGTACATTTGGTGGCATTGACATAATTGCTATAGCTTGTGGCCATTTGCTAATATAGGGTTGTATCATTTTTAAGCGGGCCTGAATGGCTTTCTCTGCAAACTCTCCTGGTAGTATAGGATTTTCTTTACATTCCTCCTGAATCTAAAAAATATTTAATACAAAATACAGGTTACAAAATATTATTGTTTTAGTTGGTTTCCGGGTTTTGCTGTGGTTTTCTTTGATTACAATCTACAAACGTTTCAACTGCAACTGCGGAGGTCAGCTTCGGTGGCGTGCTTGAAGTACTCTCCTTGACATATCAAAAAGAGTACTTCGACCACGCCACTGAAGATTACTGCTGCAGTTGCAGTTGAAATCTTTGAAAATTGTAACCAAATAAGACCACGCCAAAACCTAGAAACTAACCAAAACATTGACTTCAGCCGTGAAAGCCTACATTCCCATAAAAGTATTATTACACATTGTTGCTTTCCCAGTAACAGTAACCTAAGCACGCTGTTTTTTAAATTTACTACACTTTTTCAGGATATTTTAGTGTTGCTGATACGATTATTGAAATAGTATTGCAGTTTCTATTTCAACCACATTAATATAATTTCTTCAGTAACTAATATAAAAAATATGTAGATTGGAACTTAGCTTTTTAAGTTGTTTTCTTCATTTATCAATGTGAAGATGATGCTACGCCTTTCTAAGGCTTCAAAGACCGTTGATTAGTAAATTCAAGTAATTTTGAATTCAAATAGTATCTAAAATGGGCAACTTTTTCCTTAATTAAGTGACTTCGTATCTTCGGATTTTTCCATGCTGGCCCTATTTATTTTGAACGTATTGTATATCTCGTCTTCTCATCAACTCTATACAAATAAAACTTAACCAGATAATTAATAAAGGGGAGTTGATTTCAAAATATTTCAGGATGTAGCAAATATTGTTGTATTTCAACTATGTTTTTATGCTACTTTTTTATATCTTAGTAACTTATTATGAATGTTGATTGCATATCTGATAGTTTTATATTTAGTTTTTCCTCATTTTTAATGACATATAAAACTTTATCAAAAACAAAACTTGAACTTTTCATCATTTCTCACAAGTATCAAAAATATTTAATTAAGAATAACACTGAAAAATTTTCGGATAGCCAATAAATAAAATTTACCTTTTTCAAAATGTCTACTAATTTTGAATTTGAACTAGTTTGAAAATAGTGTACTAGATCTGCTCCACCTCTGGTAAACATTCCGTGGCTGATTCCAGGGTAACCAATACATTCGGCTCCATTGCTTATAGCTTCTTTGGACCATCCTAGCTCAGGTACAAAAGGAAGAGATGCTGCTAATATTTTATTTCTAATTTCATCTTCATATGTTGGTCCATTACATTCTTTGGTGCTGGAGGAATCTGTAGAGCTCAAACGAGTTACTTGCCATACTATTAGCTTGGAGGTACCTAAATGAAACAGAATTGAGAATCGAGTTTTCCAATTTTCGAAATTAATAGACTCAATCTTTTCAATACATCATGGTACTGATGTTATGCTGGAGTCTCACACTATTTTAATAATCAATTAAGTTTGTGATGTAAGAAAATTTCATTGTTTGCTTGATTATAAACATATATTCGTTCATAAGAGTTTATAAGAAAAATCTTCATTCACAACAATATGCATTCGACAATATTTTTGTCAAAATTCATAACCAGAAGTTCAGTTGATGAAGTAAATTCATTAAACTATTTTTGATTCATGTGTGATGTGGTTGTGTAACATAATTCTTAGATTCCGTTAATCCTGATTGGATGAAATACATTTACATCAAACTTTTTTTCATTTCAGTCAATTTGAACCTATGTATTCCGTTATCAACTGCTTGAGGGTCTAGTTGATATTTTAATTAAAATTTTATTTTTCAATTCTTGAGGTAGGTTATCCAGTTTTGGGCCACAATGGAACATGAATCTGTTTATTAATTTTTTCGTTAGAGAGGAATTGAATTATTGGAATTTTCAACAGCCCTATTTCTTATTGTCATCAGTTTTATACTTGTTGATGTTCGCTATCTTGATAAGAACAACATGTTGAAAATGTCTAACCTTAGTACCAGTTACTTTCGGATTTTTGTATACAAAGACTGAAGATGGTGAAAAATTAGTTCTTTCTCTTATTTTTTGCATAAGACCAAAACATCCTGTTAGTTTTTATAGAATTTTTCAATTATTTATTGTGGCCATTCAAATTGTTTCATCATGTATTTCAAATGGCTTCTCTCAGCTTGATTTGAGGTCATCATCTGACGAATGTTTCAGTTTTCTATGTTCTTTCCTTTTCATCAAATATTATTTTACCTCCTCAGTAAATATTCATTCCAAATCATCAATACAAAGTGTACTGTTTCTGTTGGTTTGCCGTGGTTTGAACTATCTATTATCCCAATCATTAATCTGCTCCTCTTTTTTTCATGATATTTGTGCAAACCTTTGCAAATTTATTAATGCTGGATTCAAAAATATATCATCAAGTCGCGTTTCTGTACCAATAATTATATCATGCATTTAGACTTCAATACTCAGTTTCAAAGCTCACAACTTTGTTCTCAAACTTCCTTAATATTATTAATCATATAATTCAATCCTCTTGCATGAATCAAAATTAAAAACTAATCATAATGGAGATCAGCCAAAAATTTCACTAATTAACAATGCTACAGTTAGGTTTATGTGAGTTGTTATTTGCATCATTCTTTATCAATTTTTCAACTCCACAGACCTTCATGCTCCATTTACGAATGTAAATTTTGTGGTAGCAGCCTTCAGAATATTAAGTTTCTATTTACCCAAGTCAAGTTAAAAAAAGGGAATAAGATCTACGATTTTTTGTTACATTCATATATTCTTTTCATTCTTTATACCTCCACTGCATGTGGCCAGTGTGCAGAAACATACAGACTCCAGATCTAAAGGTTTAGGAACTTCTACTTACACATAACCATAAACGCTCCCAGATACATACCCAACCGGGACATGTACCGGAACCTGGATCTTTGATCCCTGCGACATTCGCAAAAGTTTTTCATAATTAATTTGTATATTACTGAAGTATTTTCCAACGCCAAACCTTTATTTTAACACCTCGACATGTGTTTCGAACACCAAATGATCATCTTCAAGTTTGATCTTTCTCCGTTATTTTAACACCTCGACATGAGTTTCGATCACCAAGTGATCATCTTCAAGTTTGATCCTCCTCCATTATTTCAACACCTCGACACGTGTTTCGATCACCAAGTGATTCTTCAAGTTTGATCTTTTTCTTGAAGATGATCACTTGGTAATCGAAACACGTGTCAAGGTGTTAAAATAACGGTTTGGTGTTGGGAAAAACTCCACGATGCACATAGTTTCTCTTCTGTAGTTTTTGTATCTATTTTTGAACTTCCTTTCCTCCTAGTTATCATGTCATCCTTGTTTGCTATTTCTTTTCATTTGCCCTTCCTCCTCACTTTTCATACATTGTAATATATCGTAAAAATTCTAGATTTCTTTCTCCGTTAGGTGTTTGTCCATATATCCATCTAATTTACTTATGAGTATGTCAATTGTACTCTTGTAATTAAGTGCTAAAAAGGGATTTGAGAAGCACCTCAACCTACCCACATTGTTTGTGCCTTTTTTACATCTGATATTCTTTTATGTAGTACTCTTTATTACTTTTACTTCTTTTGAAAATCTAATATATTACCTATCTAGAAGAATAGCGAGAGATAGGGAACTTGAAACTTTATTACCTTGATTAATTTTTTGAAGTTTATTACGCATAATTTTAAAACTTTTTCTTCAGCGATTATTTTAGAGGAGGCAAATAAAAATATTTATCGAATTCATACATTATTTATTCAACATTAATTTGAAAATTTACATATAACAATCATCTTTTGCATTCAATACACTCGATAAGCCTACTCAGAAGGTTGTCAATGAGGTCAAAAGCAGTTAATGAGGATTTAAAAACATTCAACTTCTCTTGAGCAGTCATTTCTAATAAATTTTGGCCAGAAACAATTACAGAAACTTCACTTGTTTTCATTTTGGGTGTTACCTCTTCCTGAATTTCCTTAATTTTAAGTTGATAGTGGGCCCTTGAAAGCTCAATTCCTCTTCTCAACGGCCTGAAGTAAATATCTTCAAGTTGTCCAAAATAATCCCAAATTTTTGTTACATTGTGTTTATCCCTCAAAGCTAAATAAAGAAGTAAATTGAGAGATGCCATGATTTGATCAAACAGTTCTATCAAATCACTTTCTTCTTTTTTGTGCAAATAACAGAACTTCCTAAGTATAGATAGAAGTTTTTGACCCTTTAGAAAATCTGAGAAATTATTTTCATTGTTCATAAATTCTTCAGATAAAAGATCTTTATATTGGGTTACGGTATACCCTATAAGACCTGAATGGTTCAATTCAGATATCAGATTGTAAACTATCAAGTAAAATCCTTTAACTTCAAATGAGAAAAGATACATTTTGTAAGTATTTAATGCAGACTTTCTCAAAAAGTCATGCTCATTGAAGACAATGATTTTAGCCAAATTCTTGCAAAACTCTCTGTGATCATCACAATCCAAGAGAGAATACGACAGTTTTGAAAATTTAACATGCTGCAGCAAGGTAACAGATAACTTGAGACCCTTTTCAATTAGGATTTGGTGTTCTTCATTCAAAAGTGTGGATACAAGATGCAAGCTACTTTGAAAAAAATATATAGAACTATACACCTTAGGTACTCTTTCAATTAAAATATATTCCGTATAGACCAAATAAAATAAAGTTGCAATGCCCAATGTATTCAAATTGAGGAGTTCTACATTTTCTTTTGAAAGACGCAAATTCAGTAATGATAAGGGATCACTTGAAATTTGAAATATTTTCATAATAATTCTCTCCCCTAAGACTCTTGCCCTACTTTTAATACCATCAAAAACTTCCGTATCCAAAAAAACAAGTGGTTTTGCTAAGAGACGAATCAAATATTTCCTAATAACTCCCATTCGACCTTCAACATCTTCAACTACAGAAATTGTTTCAAGCAGGTTATCAAAGAAATGCACCACCTCTTGGCATAATATACTAATTCTAATAGTTTTTTCATCACAGTCTAAACATAGTTTTTCTTTCCCAACCAAACCTCTGCTATCAGGTCCTTCACATTTTGACAAATATGACTGTACTGCATTAAACCCCCAAGCAAAGGAAATCAATTTTCTTGAACTAATACGAACTAACACTTTCTTCAAAGGTTTCAGTAATGTCATGAATTTTATGTCATCAGTACATTCTTCAATTTCTTCTATGAGTTGCAACAGGACTTCTTCAGGATTTGACTGATCTGCTATGATGTCTACTAATTGTTCACAACATATAAACACTTTTTCATTATCTTTTTCACACTGACTCGTTAAATATTCTGTAATGATTGGTATTAGGTCCCATGAGCTATTTTTAACATTGGAACTGTTTTCAATATTATGAAATAAATCTATAACATCACTTGTTTTACCATCTTTCAAAAGTGTCTGAACACTTTTCACAAAAATACCATCACTATTTTCCTCCATTCTTTTATTTCCTGGATTTCAGTAGGTATCACCGAACTTCAATGTCTGTAAAGAGATTGTCGATTTCGAAGATATGCATTGATAGTTTCAAATATCTTAGGAAAAATGAGTAATAATAAATACTGACTGGGTTTTATGATTTGTTAGGTTAGAACAATTAGTAAACTTACTTCGCAAATTGAATCTTCTCAACATTATTGAAGCGGCAAAAGCTATCAATACCATGTATACCTGGTTCTATGACGAAATTACTGAAGTTTAAAATTTATTACATTTTATATCTCACAATCAGTAGGCAATAATAGCCATATAGCCAATTGAAAGATTGAACATTAAACCACAGACCACAAAATATTGATTAGACAATAGACATTAGACTGTGATCATACCATGATAATATCAAAGTATAATAGAAAGCTAAAGGCCATTAACTAGCCGTGACGTCACTTACATATATTTCACCTGTGGATCACAAATGTCTTGGCCACTGCGTCACAGCACCGTGTGAAATATTAAATCCCAAAATTTTCACAATGGAAATATGCAACTGTGAAATATCGTTATATCTGACGTTAATGTATGAGTGACGCATGCCAAAACATGAATCTCTTCATCATGTTTCAGTTGTTGGAGTCAATACCCTCTATTCAATGCCTAGTCCATATTATGACCTCACTGACTGATTGAAACATAGAAACTAGAATCATATGCTTCCTCTTGAAGATAATCACTTGGTGATCGAAACACGTGTCAAGGTGTTACAAAAAATAACGATTTGGTGTTGTGAAAAAACTCCAGTAATATTCATTAATACACTAAAGGTGCATCATAAATATAGTGACGTAATAATAATTACGAACTGGCAATTGAAGAGAGGTTCTGACTACAACAATTAAAGAAATGAAGTTTCGCGACCTGGCCTTTACGTCACTCATACAGTTAACATCAGATACGTCACGATGTTATACGTGTTGCATATTAAGAGCCACCGGTAGACAGCTGTTTCAGCCTACTGGGCATCGTCAGTACCGGGCAGGTGGTCCTCGATTGAAGACAAAATGTGAATAACCAAGAAAAGTACTTAATAAAAATAACTGCGTAAACGCAAGCGAGACATAAGTGGAACCACCTACTGATGGTATATTATATATTTTCACGGACAAAGTATGATGGGTTGTTTTTCCGAGTTTCATTCCGTGCTGTGTGTTTTTGATTCTCGAAAGGATTATGTTCTGGCTGAATGCGCCGCACGGAAGCAGCAGCCAAGATAACCTAGAGATGTTTCGGCCAAAGTCCATGTTCCATGTTTAACTAACCATATAAATTATAATCTGAGGTGTTTTCTGGCTTTTAATCGTATTCGAGCGTCTATTAAAAAACGATTCGTAGCTACGCATTAATAATGAGATTTGCCAGAATAGAATGATTAAATTTGTGTCAGATGTAAAATTCAATAATAAAAACAAACTTCAATTTTCTCTTAAGTCAATTATAATCGTATTTGTGCAAGTAATAATTTTCCAGCTTTTGTATATCCTTACAACGTATTTGATGAAAAGTTTTCAGCACTTTATAAACTATAACTCAGAGTAATAATGATCCAAATAAAGCAGAAACTGACAATGACGTAACATAATGTCAAATTTAGTTTCAATTCAATATTGTCTTTTGTTACTCTGAGTTCAATACAATACCAATCTCACGCCAATTATGATGAATACGTTTCAAACATCGACATAACCTTATGTCGGTGGTTTCAAATCATAGTGGATGTGACGTCATCGTTTCAACGCCAGAATGAATGTGTTTGAATCAGACGAATACGTTTTGAATACGTGAGCGCCAGAAAACGCCTAGAAGTATCTATGTGTGTAAGCAGTTTTTCAGTAGACAGTAGAACCACCAAACGATGATTTTAAAAACACCAAACCACATTTTCAGTTACTTTAGGAACATATCTTCAACTGATATAGTCGATAATTAGAAACATTCACTTTAAAAATTGCTGATAGTTTTACATCAACCGCGAATAGGACAAACTCCAATCGAAAACGACTTTTATGGATAATAAATGTATAATTTCAAATTGGCCGCGGAAAATTTTTAGCTGACTAGTGGATAATATGACTGTTGGTCACCCTAGTACAAACAGGGTACAAGTCATAAACTACTTACTCTTGGAGTAAGTGGTTTGTGGTACAAGTACGACTAGTACCGGGGGAAGGTGTAGAAAACAAAATTAATGATAGGAAACTATTAACAACTATATATATATCTAAAAAAAATAGGTCAGATTTTGATGCCCATAGTGTAGGTGTGCTCGAAAGGTAAAGTTCCTTTGCTATAATAATTATTAATTACATAATGGTTTTTATTTCAAGAAAATGAAAATCAAGAATCAACTTTTCATTGCTGATAAGGGAACGATTTGAGTTTTTTTGTCTGTGGTGGTGTAGACAAAAATAAATAAAACCAAAAAAAGGTACAATGAAAGATATTGGGGAGAGACTAAGGCTCAAGGACAAACGTTTCATTTATAGATACCCTAGACTAGTTGTGGGAACATTTACAACAACTGCATTATTAATTTTTTTTTCAAAGCCCATTTACGACATTTGCTTTAGCAGAGAGGTGATAGATATAGAAGAACTAAGAAGAACTCATATTTCCAGATTGACTAAAAATTGAGGTATGGAATCGGTAAATAAAGCAAGACAACGCTACAGACAGTATCCCGTTATTTTAGCAAAATGCAGCAGTGAGGCCTCAAAATATGCAACATGTGTTTTGAAAACAGACAATATACGTATGAATGACTGTAGTGAAGAATTTGTACGGTTCAAAAGTTGCTTACAGAAAACTGCCAGAACATTGAATACTAGAATATAGAACTCCAATTATGTTTCCTTTATTCAAGAGAATTGTATGTATTAGCTACAAGAAACATTTGCTTATATCCTTGATTATTAGATTGATACTGATTTCTTATGGAATACATCACGATCAGATTTCAGAAGTAAAATATACTGACATTGATTACAAAGTATTTACAGATGCTTCACGTCACATTGTAAATGGGAATTCACCATATGACCGCCATACATTCAGATACAGCCCTTTTATAGCAATATTTCTTATTCCAAATCTTACCATACACCACAGTTTTGGTAAAGTTATATTTTCACTGGTAGATATTATTGTTGGTCTCTTAATTCGTATCATAGTTAAGTACAATCTGAAAGAGTATGATTGTTACAAGCTAAGATATTTCAAGAGACTTTCAATTAGAGATGAGTCTCAGTTGACAGAAACTAACCAGAAATATGACAGAAAAATGAAGGAGAAAATGAAAAAGTCTAGAAAACAAGGAATGAACATCATGGGTACTGATATACTATCTGCAGATGATGTGAATGTTAATGCTAACATAGCTATGATATTTTGGCTGTATAATCCTTTGACAATTGCAATCGGAACTAGAGGAAATTGCGATTCAATAGCAGGTTTTCTTGTTTTATTGAGCCTTTATTTTCTTCAGTGTAGGCAATATCCTTTTTTTGCTGGTTTGATTCATGGTGTTTCTATACACTTCCGGTTGTATCCAATAATGTACAGTCTTACTTTTTTCATGTTTCTGAGTGAATATTCTTTTTATTCTATTGAGGACCGTAAAGAGAAATGTTCAATAGAAAATATTTCAGGTAAACAATTAAAAAATGTTAAATCGATTCCAACCTCTTTCTCAACTAATAATGAAATAGTGGCTGATGGTGAAAATACTGTGAATAGGAAGACAATATTTAGGAAGGAATATTTACACTATTTAGTGCCAAATTCAGACCAACTAAAGTTAATATTTGGGTGCATTTCATCTTTGTCTATCCTAACTTGGTTTTTTTATCAGTTATTTGGTTACAAATTTGTTTTTGAAACATATGTTTACCATCTGGTGCGTAAAGATACGAGGCACAATTTTTCTTTATTTTTTTATCTGCAATATCTTACTGCATGGGTAAAAAATATTGGCATTTGGCAAAAAGTTTTGACAGTATTGCCCCAAATTATCCTAATTCTTGTTTTTTCAGTTCGATATGGATTGAATAGATTTTCTTTGAATTTTGCCATACTTACACAGACAATAGTAATGGTTATTTACAACAGCGTATTAACATCCCAATATTTCGTATGGATAATGACAATTTTGCCTTTGTGTCTATGGCAAGTAAAAATGTCTATTAAAATGGCCTTTTTCTTGTTGTTTATATGGTTTGTTGCACAGGGGGCATGGCTTTTGCCAGCATACTTGTTGGAGTTCCAAGGTCAGAACACTTTTTTCTTCATTTGGATACAGAGTGTATCCTTTTTCTGTGCTAATATTGCCATTTTAGGTCGTCTCATAATGTATTTCATGCCACGGAAAGAAAAAACATGTTGATTCTCAATCAGATACATTTAAATATATGGAAATTTGTACTATTTATATTGTGAAAAAACATTTTACTATCAGTAAAAATTTATTGGTAACTAAAGTATATATAATTTGAGGCCTGCTACATGCAGTGTTAACTGAAATTGTTTTCAAACTAAGATTATGTAAGGACTTTGTAATTGAATTTGTGCCACAGTATACTTGTTTAATATTTGTAGTAAATTGTGGGTAGCATTAATGTAGACTACTTGTAAAAATGTTCATGTTTATTATATATTCATTTACAGTTGTCAACAAATCAACGTTTGTTTTTATTCATTATGTTGTAATAAGAAATATTATTCATGTGCTTTGGATGAAGCAAGTTCATCGTTCAGAACAGTCCCAAAAATAATTCACATTTGTAATTGTTGTGATATTGAAAGGGCTCACTTTGAAAAGTTGAATATATAACAACTCAAACTGGTTCAGTACCACTTCGTTAATAATTGAAATATTCAAAAACTGAACTGATCAAGAAATTGTGTATTGAAAACAAAAATCAGTTTATGAACTATTTCAGTAAGCTTAATAAAATATCTTTGAATTTTACAACAATACTTGAAATTGAGTTACACTGCTGAATTGTACACAATGAAAGACAGTTTGAAGTGAGTTTCATCAGAGATACTGAAATAAAGTTCAATTTTTCAATCTACCGCTAAGCAAGAAGAACTTTACTCCTCCAAACATAAAGTTACCAATGATGAAGAGAAGCTGTGAAACATTAGAAATTGCGGCCTCATCCTTTTAAACTTTTGTTTGATTTTTGTACCTTTATTGAAATTCATCAATTGTTCTGAGCTCAATCTCTCCAACTGAATTCAGAATCCTGGGTAAACCCCTATTTCACAATAATAATAGTAAATATGCTTTATTGTTCAAAAATCAATTTTATTGGCAAAGAAAAATGATGACGTTGAGAATACATAACAAGACAATGTCAGGAATATTATATGTTATAACAAACTATATGAGCAAATAAATGTAAAATAAATATAATAATAATTAATATAAACAAACAACAGTACAGATTATATCAATGAAAATGTGATGAATGAATATTGAATCCACAAAAGCATATCCTTGTCTTGGAAAAATTCACGATATTAATATTTAAATTTGATTATAATTACTATTATTATGATAATATTGATGCGGTATACATACGTATACGAGTGATTTTCTTGGGATTACATTTTCATAAGATTACTGAAGATAAGAAAAACATTGAAGAACTGTAATGAGTATCTAAGAAAGAGCACTAATAATTTTTCAGACGATGAGCAAAAATTCTCGTTTTTTTGAATAAACTGAGAAAGTTGATCATTTTTAGTTCAATAGGTACTACATTGCATACTTTTAGTTTTAGATAGTAGGTATGAAGACAGGTTTTGATAAACTGGAACCATTATATTCAAAAATTAAGAATAATGCAGGTATTTTAGCATTTATAATTTTCAGCAATCAAACGAGAACCGTCTAAAACACGTAATAATTTTTCCACTCATCAGAAGTAAATACAGAGTACACTGATCAAAAGAAAAAAATCTTCTAATGTAATAAAAAAAATTATTGCAATAATGAATGACCGGAAACTAGTATCTTCTGAATTTTCAAACGCTACAATCTTCACTGATGCTCAAACATGCCCCTGACAGATAGAAAAAATGCGTTAAAAATACAGGTCGTGTATGCTGGTTGCTTTCATGGTATTGTTAAATAATAAAGTACTTATGGTGTACTGTTTGGAACCTTTGGTGTAGTAATGAATATTACTGGAGTTTTTTCCAACACCAAATCGTTATTTTTACACCTCGACACGTGTTTCAATCACCAAGTGATCATCTTCAACAGGAAGATAAAACTGTTTTATCTTCCTCTTGAAGATGATCACTTGGTGATCGAAACACGTGTCGAGGTCTAAAAATAACGATTTGGTGTTGGAAAAAACTCCAGTAATATTCAATAAAGTACTTATTTGGTGAAAAATGGTAACTTTTATTAATGAAATTTTAGGGTGTTCTCTGGTATTACTTTCTACAAAATATGATAAGGTCACATATTAAATTTTTCAATCTTTACTTTTTTTCTGGCAACAAAATTCATTCAAGAGGTCACCTTACATTTAAGCAATTTTTGAATTTTCTTCGTAAAACGTACAACATAAACCAAGCTTTGAAACGTATTGCATTGCATCTGCAATTTGGTGACTTTTTGGTGATTTTCAGCGTAACAAATATGACACGATTTACTAAATAAAATTTGACATTTTTTTTATTGGACATTTTATTAAGTGAAACCAGGGCCGTCGCCATGGGGGGGGACGGAGGGAGCCTCCCCCTTGCTTTTTCGACTTGGGAAAAAGTTGAGAAATTTTGGGCCGTGAAAATAGAAAAAAATAATAGTAAAAAAAAATGAAAAAATAAAAATGAGAGAAAAGAAAGGGAGAGGTGATAAGAAAAGAGAGAGAACCAGGGGATTTCCCAACGTGCATAACTTGGAGATCCCGTACTTTGAAATTCTGAGTTGTTTGAAACCTTCAAAAAAGTTCAATTTCTCCCAACTAGGAGAACAGTCCACAATTTTTGAAGTGACAATTTTACAAAATTCACAACTTTTCGCTGTTTTTCAACTTGGAAAAGTTGGGAAATTTCGGGCCATGAAGATAGAAAAAATAATTGTAGAAAACAATAAGCATAATATTATTCAAGTGTTGTTTCCTTTCCGTGTTAGGAATCACACGTTAAAAGGTAAGACCTCGTTAGTCCTTAGCTCGCACAAGTTTCTCAACTTCTGAGAGTTGTCGTTCGTATGGGGGCGACAGCTGATTGACGGAAAAACAGACAGAACATATTTGTACATGGTGGATATGGTGGAAGAACAAGGACTTTGATCCAAAGTAGAATAATTCCCATTATTATTTTTATAATTACCAAAATTTATATTTGTTTGTGCATACCCTAACGGGCATATTATAGGTAAGCATTCAGCCAATCTTTGGATAGTTAAGTAAGAAAATTAATATATTATAGTAATAACTAATCCCTTGGCTTTCATTTTTTCGAAAGTTGGGAAATTTTGCTGGTGGGGTTGGGAAAATTTGGATTTCCCCCCCCCCGGTTTTTCTTTTCGCTACGGCCCTGAGCGAAACTAATAATATATAATACTCATGGTCTGCATGTGAAATTTTATCCTTGATCAAAGGAAATCGGTCTCTTTCCATTGCAGCAATTCGGAAAATACCATTTTTACCGATCGGTAGAAGTTTCAGATATATTATGCCAGATGTCAGTGTGGGTATTAATTAAAATGGAAATAAATTTGAATACTTTCCGTGACTATAGCATTATAATAAACAGAATGTAGAATGTACGATAAGCTATAAACAAGATAAGAAAATTCTGAATTGTCATTGGAATACAAATTCCATCATTGGTGGCACACAGAATCAGTTCATTTCTTTAGTACAACTTGTGACGTGCATGGGTGTGAAGGACACACCTCCGTAATGCTGAAAGTAAAAGCAGGATAGGTTAATAGGTTATAGTTTAAAATAAAAATCCTTCAAAAGTCATTCATTACGTTTGCCATGTAAGTACAGACGTCTTGGCAGTCATGAATTTTTTAAATAGGTAGATTAACATTGTTTTTGCGAATTATGGTCATTTTATACATTTTAAGAAATAAGTTGTTTTTTTTTCTCAGACAACTTGCTGCTTTATTCTTGAAAACAACTATAAAATATTCCTCTGAACAAGCCTTAAATGTTGATATTAACAGCTAGGACAATGAGTTCAATTTTGAAAAAATTTTGGAAGCCCTTGTTTGGCACATTTATTTATTTTAAGATATTAAAAGGATGAATCACGAAGACTACGAAGGGCCCTTAATTGGGGTGGTAGATGCTGGTACAAGAACTGTAAAGTTTTGTGTATTTCGTAGTGAGCACATAAAGGAAATATGTAAACACACTATTGATATTACCACTTATACCCCACAAGAGGGATGGTCAGAACAAGATCCCAAAGAAATATTGATTGCTGTGGAAAAATGTATGGAGGCAGTGGTAAATAAGCTGGGAGACTCAGGTAAGAATGATTGAGAATCTTGAAATATTTTATGTAATTCCTAAACTCCCTATAATCTTTTTAAACCACTTTATAAAAAATTTGATGTACCAACTCACAGCAAATTTTTAGTTTTGGAATAAGTATGTGGTTAAAGATAACAATCTATTTTAAATTGATATACCTATTTTGAAAATTTTACATTGACCTGTCAAATTGAAATTCATGAAAATTTTTAAATCATTTAATTTTTCATTGTGACAATTTAAAATTTTCCAGGTTGCTGTGAGCTCAACTGATGTATGTTACATTCCCATCTGCCCATAATTTAATATTTTATAGTTTTGTGAAGATTTGTTTCATATGCTTTGCCCAGTTTGTTAAATACATATATTTTTACTATGCAAATTTCAGGGTATCTTCAACAAATGAAATTTGGCACCCATGCTCTTTTAAGACATAAATAATTATATCATCACAATTTTGATAGAGCTTTTATGAAGGCAACGTTTTCATACATTGAATTCAAAAAATATTGCATTTTCCTTTTACATATATCTTCATGTTATTAGATGGTAGAGCAGAAATATGAATTTCATAAAAGTACAGTCTTCTCAATTACTAAGTACACCTTTTAATGATATTTCAAAAACTTCTCAAATGATATATACTTATGTTAAAGACATACTAATAAAGTTATATTCTGTATTGAATCTCTTATCTGAAGTGAGTGGTTCATGAAATTAATGATGTAATTCATAAGTAGTACTTGATGATATAGTCATCCTACAAGAGAGTTGAATAATGAATTGAAAATAATTTAATTTTTTTTTTAAATTTTCCTAAGATCATATAATTATGGAAAGCATTCTCCCGTTCATAGATCTCATTCCGCATTTTTCGATTTCTAAACTTTCAAAGGCGTTTAAAAACTAGTCATGTCTCAACAATTTGGAGCATTTTTGATGATGCTAACCTTTCGAATCAGTACATCCATTGGTGAAAATCATATAAAATTCACTTTTCAGTTTTTCAGTTTATCATGTTCAGACTGAAAACACGGCGGGGGACAAACACTCATAATATTGAATGAAATTTCAATTTGAACTCTTAACTTATATCTGTTTTAATCTCAAGCATTAAACTAGCATTTCAGCTTCGAGACAATGTTCACTTTTTTAATAGCATTTTTTATATTGTTATGAACTGATCCAACCATTTGGGTCCTTTACAATCGACTTTTTCATATATTTTATTGCAAATTTGTACATTGTACAGTCAATGGAATTATGAATCTCTACTAGTCAAAACTTTCCTATATATAGACATTTTAATTACCATGAACTTTTGTATGCTAATTGTATGTATAATGAAGACAAACTTATGTGATTCAACTGTTATTCTTGAGGATATGCGAATTAACCTATTCAAAATAATAAAAAAATGGAAAAGATAAATAAATTACCAGTTGAAATAGCTGTCCATCAAAATATTTGCACCCACAAATACAATTCTAACAGCAGCCACGCTCCTTCACTATTTGATTGTCTTCTAATAGAATCTTTTATTTCAGCAAAAAATATCGTCACTTTAGGAATAACAAATCAAAGAGAAACTACTATTGTTTGGGATAAAACTACAGGGGAACCTCTTCATAATGCTATCGGTAATTTTCTTTTATTTTGTTGGGGCCTATGTATCTCACATATCTTTTTTCGTAGTATGGAATGACATAAGGACCGACTCCACAGTAGATATCATTTTGGCAAAGGTACCAGAAAACAATACGAACTATTTTAAACATAACTGTGGTCTTCCAATTTCTCCCTATTTTAGTGCATTCAAACTTAAGTGGCTTATTCACTTCATACCTCAAGTGAAAAAGGCAATGAAAGCAAAGAAGTGCCTTTTTGGGACAGTTGACACATGGATATTATGGGTATGAATTCAGTAGTGATTTCAGTTTTTTTCTATTCTCAAATGTTTCATCTAGAATTTAACAGGTGGTATAAATGGGGGAAAACACTTAACAGACGTCACAAACGCATCTAGAACGTTTCTTATGAACATAGAACTCTTGAATTGGGATCCTTTGTTATTGCACACTTTCAAAATTCCCCTTGAGATCCTTCCAGAGATTAGAAGTAGCTCAGAGATTTACGGAAAGGTTTCTCAGGGAAAACCATTGGAGGGAGTTTATATATCAGGGGTGAGATTCAGAAGATAAACTTTGACCGCTAGTTACATTCGAAGTCATTTTTAGATATTGGGTAATCAGCAAGCTTCATTGGTGGGGCAAAGATGTTTGAGTGAAGGACAGGCAAAAAATACCTACAGAAGCGGATGTTTTCTCTTGTATAATACAGGAACATCAGTGAGAATTGACATTTACTCTCATTTTTCCAAAACAAATTTAATTCTGTTTTAGAGAGTTCAGTCTACTCATGGGTTAGTCACGACTCTGGCATATAAATTTGGAAGTGCTCCTCCTGTATATGCTCTAGAAGGTACTCACAGGTCACAATTTTTTTAGGAAATAACTGAATTAAAAAATTGTGTCTCTAAAAATTTTATTTCAATCTAAAATTCAGCTAGAAGGCGATTTAAAGAAATCCAACTAATCGACCTATACTTATCCTAACAGATAATTTTTCATTAGGTAGTGTGGCAGTGGCAGGTGCCGCCATGAAGTGGCTGAGGGACAACATGGGTTTCGTTAAAGATGTTCAAAAGGATACCGAATCGCTTGCCCAGGAAGTGTTCAATACAGGAGATGTTTACTTTGTACCTGCTTTCAAGGGCCTGTATGCTCCGTATTGGAGGAAGGATGCAAGAGGGTATGTTTGACAGCTTTTTTTTTCAACTAGAAATTGCTTTCTGAAATGTATAAAAATAGCTGCTTCTTTTCTTCACCAAATGCTTTACTATTTCAAGTGAACAAGACACGAATCTTTGACAAAATGCTAGATATTTATAATGTTATTTGATGGAGTCCAATATGGGTTGATTGATTTTAAGAAGTATTTCTCATAGGAGTGAAACTGAGCAAAAAGATGTACTTTGAAGTATAGTCTATACGAAGTCAATCCGAACATCTAAATGAATGTAAAAGACTAATGAATCGGGTCTGACAAATTAACTAGTTAATACCATTTTGAAACTCCCACATAAAAATGATGATTAGACCTCGTATTATACCACGCCGCCCATGCCATACAAAAAAACTGCCGACGTTCGGTAACTATTTAGTTTTTATTCTATTCGATTGGACTTCGTATATACTATATCTCTGAACCGTCTGGACTCCAGGTAAACACATGATGTTTATTTATGTGTACGGGTAATCCCCATGAAGAAAAAGAAATATACAAATAAATTAATACCTTAAAAACTTACTTAACCTTAATGTATGTATAAATGTAGACATAATCAATGTAAACATATAAAATTGTAATGGTATAAACTTAAAATTAACATTAACATCCTAGCTAGTTATTGAATTCGTTTGAAACACTGTTTTTTAAAAGTAGGTTTACAGTGAAATTCCTGTAATGCAACAAATAAGACGGTTAACTTCTCGCATAATTCTTGACATGGGGGAGAAGTATCTGTAGTTCTTCATGTAATAGATCATTATTATTAATGTCACTCGATAAAATTTTGAATAAGGTAATGATATCGGTATTTTTTCTACAAAAAGACAGGGTGTGAAAGGTGTTATTGACTATATCATATTAAGAAAAACCCAAAAAAACTTACTACGTTAAACCTGACGAATATTTAATCAACTTGTGTCTAATTTCTACATTATTAATATTTGATAAGAATTTATTCCAAAGTAATTACCGGAATCGATGGAAAATTCGAATTGTCCATGGTTAATCATTTTATTACAAAAGTATATGCCATATCTAGGATACTTTTTTGTTTCTAGGGCATTGATAATGAATGTATTAGTGAAAATTCTGTCATATACATTTGTTGGTGAACATAAATTTTTCTAAATATCAAAGCCAAGGTAGGTCCCGAGTGAGTGGATCTCTTCGACACTCCACTGCAAACCTCTACACCAACCCAAAAGCTTAAAATTGTGATAGTCTTAACTATTTAATGTGAAGTAACAATTGGTAATTTGGTGAAAGAAGTCTTGATTATTATTTATTCAAAATGAATAAAAATCATAAAATACTGGAGCACAAAACTCAAACAAAAAAATTCTGTAGACTCTCTGAAGTTATATACTGAGAAATTCACGTCAAGTTATACTTCTTGGCGTGCATAAGCTTTGTGGAGTCAACTTACCAAAGAAACTGAACATTATTATTTGTGGAACTCGTAAAGCTCGGCCAATTCCATTAAAAATCATCATTATTAGTGAGGCCCATCTGGCTTTAATCGTGACCAATAGAATTTATGAGAGAAATCAATTCTCCAAGTTTATGAGAGAAATCATTCAAGAATTGCGAAACCAACCACGGCGTATATTTGTCACACCCGCTTGACATTTTTACTTCTTGAAACTCCAGAATATCGGTCTAGGTAGCAAGCAACACATATGTGTGGCTTGGGAAGTAGATCTCCTGTGACACATTTGTGGGAGACGTCCTCTCATGGCTGTATTAACTACATCCATCAACCAGGTAAAACTTATGATGTACTGTTTGGAACCTTTGGTGTAGTAATGAATATTACTGGAGTTTTTTCCCAACACCAAATCGTTATTTTTACACCTCGACACGTGTTTCGATCACCAAGTGATCATCTTAATGATCACTTGGTGATCGAAACACGTGTCGAGGTGTAAAAATAACGATTTGGTGTTGGGAAAAAACTCCAGTAATATTCAGGTAAAACTTTTCCAATCCAGTCAGGTAACTTGTGGACCACTTTCTGGAACACCAGTTGAATGGTTGATATCAAGGTCAGATATTCGAAATGCAAAATTCCCTTCTTAATGGTCGCAGTAATCGTCATATATGAGGGCATCTAAATGTTGGCCATACCTGACGATGCATCAGAGATAGTTGTGGTTGTGAAGTCGATGTCCATCTACTCTGTAGACTCATGGTAGGATTCTTTGGTTACTTCAGGGTCCATCGAGGGTTCCAGGAGTAACTATGAAAAGGAGGTTCATCACGGCAGAGTCCTGCATTATCGTGACAAGGCTTTCTATGACGTGAGGGCGACCGGTATCTCGAAGGTTCTCTTAGTGACACTGATGGGCTTGGAGTCATGCATCCTATCAGCACAGATACATGCACTTTAGATGAAGCCATTATTGTGATGACATTCAGGTAGGGAATTATGGGGAATAATAATATCCTGCCATTCTCATATCCAGGTTTTGGGTATGGTGAAGCAGACACCATATGCCGAAATTTGCTCACCATTCACAACCCAAGCTAAGAGACATGCAAAAAGCTGTGAGCAGTAGTTTAGGCAGTGAGATGATGAACAAAGATGGCCATCTCAACAAAAGAAAACTAAGTCGTCATATGTGAAATATCAGATCTTATGATAGAAATATAATTTTGTATATGGTAAAGCTTTACATGAATTCACTCTGAAATCTCTTTGATGAATATGCAAGACTCTTTCAAATCGATTAAAGTAAAACTTCTAAACCGGTTATTTTCTTAATAAAACTCGTACAACATGTTTGTGAAAAATCACCGATTTTTACCAATAGCAAGAATAAAAATCAAATAATTTTTCAATAGTATGAAAAAGATTTCGGACTCTTTCAAAATGACTTCATACGTAGGGACTTTTGAGAGTGCTGAATCCTAATTTGAAAATAATTTTCATTTACATTGACTCCTAATATACTTTTCCTGAATAATAAACCCTATTGCATCCCATAAAACCGCAAATGTTTGGTTGATTTGAAGGAATTTGACGTATATATCATTCTTAACAATAGGGATATGAAGGTGGATTCATAAAAAGCGGGGCACACTGTATATAAAATACTTCCTTCACAGATTTATCTATTATAAAAATTCTCAGGGACATCACGTAGGTAAAAACGTATAGTCTATTTTTATTCGGTATTCTCAAAAACACAAAGTAAATATAATTTCTGGCAGGCATGAAATATAATATTCTTGGATTAGATTACCTTGTCTGGAGATAATCCGTTATATCAATTTATTGACACAATTTAAGTGATAAGAAGTTTATATGTACTACAGTTCAAAGTGCTAAGTTGAGAGTGATCGAACCACTATGGAGGAAAGGTGGTGTTAGATGATGATCACAAATTATTTCTCATTCAGGTTACGAGAAAGGATACATGTCCATATTATTCTGATACTGAATGAAAATTTTTGGAACATATTGTATTACTTCAAATATGATTAGAACATGTCATGAACTATTTCAACAGAATTTGACAATTTTGAAAACATGTCCATATTATTCTGATAGTCAATGAAAATTTTGGAATATATTGTATTATTTCGAAGATTTGTTTACATAGCAGATTAGTTACATATATCATGAAATATTTTAACAGATTTGACAATTTTGAAAACTTTCATTATTGGAAGAATTCTAGAATTTTCGTCTGCTATTTAGGGAACAATTTCCTATATAGGCAAAGAGAGGATATGACTTTTATTAATCGAGTTTTATTCACTGATGAAGCAGGTTTCAGTAGAGATGGAGTTATCAACTCTCATAATCTCCATATATGGGCCGAAGAAAATCCCCATGGGATATTGCAAACCAAACACCAACGGAAATTATCAATATAAGTATATTCTGGATTTTGGTGATCATAATTAATTGATAATTATCAATCATATATTATAATTATATCCATTATGTATTCGGAAAGCTTATTGGACTGTGACTTTCTTATCTCACGAATTATATGCCTGATATTTACATGAATAAGGTTATCAGATGTCATTAATGAAGTGCTTGTTGGTTCTTAATGCTGGATTGTTTATTAACCTTCAAGTAATTTATCATTCAGTTCATCTTGTTGGGTATTAGAAGGAATATTGGTGTATCCCTAAAATTATTAATTTCGTGATTGTTAATATTCCCCCAACAGGGAAGCTCTCAAATATGAAATGAATTGTGATTTTTAAATTTCAAATGCAAAAAAAACAACACCAATGTTATTTTATTTCAAACCGACGAAAATTAATGCCTTACACTCGTAGAACAAAATACAAAACCATGCCCAGAGGGAAGTTCTCTCCCCAAAGTGTGTATACCAGTACTGAACAATTTTTTTGAGTTACTTTGCCCCCAATTGCAGTCACGACCTTGGTAAAACATATTCACTTTAATAAACCTATAGATACATGAAATATCATCATTAAAAATAAAAAAGCTAAGAACAAATGCAACTATCAAAAGTCTAACTTGTGCGAGATAATGATTAACGAGGTCTTACTGATTAACATGCAATTTATAACACGGCCCGGGATATGGAACTCGTTTTTTCGTTGGTTTATCAGACTCAACTCACACATAAAATGAATAGAAACGCCATTGCCGTTTTGTCCCGCTTCATCAACGAAGCCTGGCTAAACCATTGCTGTCCTTGACGGACAAGCCTGCGTAAGGCGATGACATCTTCCCTTACGAAGACGCCATCTGTCTTCTGTCTTTCCCATAGATGGCGTCTTCGTAAGGGGAGATGTGATCGTATTTTCTTACGTAAAAAGAAACCCCAATCTATTATATTGCATGTGCAATTCTACCCATCTAGAGAATACATAGAAATTCTTTTATTGTAGTAAATTTTTTAATGACATTAACTTTATAGGTGCAAACTTTTTTCACAAGATGCTTATGTTATGGCTTTCTCCTCTTATTA